AAACGACGCTGGGTTGATGTACCCGAAGGGCGGGGGGGGGGGGGGTTGCGACGAAAAACTATCAGAAACTTCTGTAGGGCGTTTACCCTTCACTCACCGTGCTTGCGAGTGGCCGAACCGAGCACGACGCCCTCCTCGACGCCGCGGAGAAGACCAGCAGCGATGTCCTTAGCCTTCTTTGGGTCCATCGTGCGCGGCGTCCACGCCATGGGGACCGGCGATGAGTTCGGTTGCGGGGCAGGGGTGGTGGTCGGGCCAAGCGGGTAGCACTGGAGGTCCTCGCGACCCAGGACGTTCCCATCAGGGCAGGCGGTCTGAGGGCATACATAGCGGTAGAGCCAGCAGTAGTACGGAACTGGCTTGCCATCCGCAACGGTGCGCGGGCATCCCATGTTATCATACTGGTTCTGCGGCATCGTGCACTGCCCGTTGGGGACGGAGGGGCGGGAGTAATCCATCATGCGGCGGAAGCCGTCGAGCGGACAGATGCCGGTTGCCGCCAGGTACTGGTTGCCGGCAGCGTCGATGCAGCGCACCTCCATGTCATTCAGCACAAACTTATAGCTGCCGGTGTCCTGCAGAATCGGGTTGCCGCGCAGCGGACGCACGTACCAGTCGTTGGGCGACTCCGTGTCCTGCAGCAGCTCCACGATGATGGAGGTGGCGTACGGAGGATTCATGGTCACGTCGTTGTGGTCGCCGATGGTCGCCGCGAGCGGCGACACCATTACGTCGTGCGTGCTGAACTCGTACAGCGTGAAGGACGGCGACAGCTTGTGTGCGTTCATGTTGGCCACCATGGTCTGCGCGAGGTTTTGCGCTGCGGACCCCTGAGTGTTGTCGATCTCCACGGACTTGTCGTAGTCGTAGATAAAGCGGTACCACCCAATAGTGTACGCGACAAGAGCTGGCATAATCGCCGCCAATTTCTTTTTGGCTTTAAGGCGTCCGGCAGCGTCAAAAGAAGTCGCAATATCGTATAGGTTGTAAGCACAGTTCGAACGTTGCTCGAAGTCACTGCAAAGACCCTCGATGTAGGCTTCCTTCGCAGCGTCCTCAATTTGCGTCTTTGTAAGGTGTGAATCGATGATGGGGTTGAGCGCAGCGTTCTGCTTGTCCATATCTAACCACCGCTTTCCAGCAACAGAAGGCACAATGTCCGTGTTCAAGAGGGTGTCGGTGGTGTAGTTGTGAGAGTACACCACCGGATAGAAGTAGTCGTCCGGAAAGAGGCCGCTCAGGAAGGCGGTGGCGCTCTGGATGGTGCGCTGGATGCCCGTGGAGCGGGTGTACACCACCGAGGAGTTGTAGCGCGTGGTCGGGAAGAGAGGTTTCTCCACCAGCGAGAGGTCGCTGTAGCGCTCACGCACGAACTGGCCCACGGAGTTGAGCATCGCGATGCCTGCGCCCGTGAGCTCACCACACGGGTACTCGAGGCCGCAGATATCCGTGGTGTTGTCCACCACCAGGGAACCACGCGCACCGTGGCGATGCGCGACTTGAACCATGCGCACGACAAGACGCGCCTCCGCGGAGAGCGCCGCCGTGACCAGCAACACCGCCAGCAGCAGCTGGGTGACCTTGAAAGGCATTTTGAGAAGTAAAGATTTCGAAAAAAGAAAACTTCGGTAGTGGTGGTAATGTTACGTTAGAGCTGGTGACGAGTTGAAAGCTGTGGTGTTGGCGTTCGTTCTCTTGGCCAACGGTTGTCATGAAAGGATGCAGAACATAGGAAGTATTATAGGAAAGCGTGCTCGAGGTGGACGGTTGCGAAGTTCTTCCGCGCCAAGAGGAAATACGTGGCAGTCAGAAAGCGCGTCGTTGGTCCATCGCCTCATGTGTGAGAGTCGCCAGTTCTCATTCGTTGTGCTTCCATGTAACAGTAGGAATAGTATTGGCAACACTGCAGGCTTCATAAAGATAATTCAAAACTGGCGTTGTAAACCGCCTCTGATTGCCATGCCATGTGTGTGTGGCTTTTCCCTGCCCACCACAAAAAAGAACCGCAGTTGGAGGAGCTAAAAACACAGAACTCACAAACAAGGATGGATATGACACACAAGACATTCGAGCCTGCTCATCTAGGCGTAACACGTAACCGCACTCTCGATCAACACCAAGAATGAAAAAGGAGCTACCAGCAGCGAGGCGTGAGACGTGAGGACCTTTTGCTGCGTCAGACCTCATTGAACACCGATCCCAACACACCCACAAGGCGGAGGGTTTCTGTCTGGCGGCCGTCGTGATCGAGGACAAGAGCGCTTTATCCGTCGAGATCAACGGTAGATGAAGCTTCTTCTCCTCTATCCTTTTTTGTGTGTGGGCGGGGTTAAACACCGTGGTGCTTAGACGTGCTTTGCACCACCACCCAGGGCTCGGAGGCGCATCTCGCGCAGCTCCTCTGGACTGGGACGGACGACAGACGTAGCCGAGGACGCACCATCAGTTGCATCGCACGTTGACACCGCGCTGCCGCGCAAGGAACGACCGGTGCCTGTGAAGGCGCCGCTCCTCTGACCGTCTTGATGCGCGGAAGATGATGGCTGCTCAGATGAGACTGCCGTAGAGGCGCCGGCAGGTGTCTGCGACGCCCCTGCTGGCGCGTTCGTGTCGGTGAGGCTCGGTGGTTTGAAGTGGAAAGGCTTGAACTGCACCCCAGTAGGGCTGCCTGCGCCAATCACGTTGGAGCCGGTGGGGGAGGCCACTGAGTGCAGGCTTTCCTCTGGTGGGGAGGGCGGCATGTCGAGCGGCCGCTCAAAGTCCACCTTCAGCTCCACCGGCGCACCATCGGCACGCACAGTGAGTATGCCGTCGACAGAATTCTGCTTCAAGTCGATGATATCCACCAAGTCGAGCCGAAACTCGCGATCAAGGTAACTAATAACGATAGTTGCCTCTTTCGTTAGGACAGGGTACTGTGACAGCCGCAGCTCCAGCAAGTGACGTGGGTTTTCAAACATCACCAAAGCCTTCTGGTGCGGCCGCAGCTTGATGAGAGAGCCTGGCGGCAGGCTGCAGCTTTGCACCTTGACAATCATCGTACACTTCAGCCCGAGGTGGTCGAACATCCAATCCGGTAGCACGACGGAGCCCGCCTGTGCGTTGAACTCTAGCACAGCCGCGTACACCCGCTTCCTAGCGGGGGTGACGATCTCAAATTGCAGAGGATAGACCATCGTAATCCTGCTCAAGTCGTCCAACACGCTGGATGGCAGCAGCACACGACTGCCGTAGTTGATGCGTTGCTGATTGACGGTGGAGGCCGCCACTGCCGCCAGACGCGTTTCGTAGCCTTCCAGTAGTGCAGCCATGGTGGGAGAAGGCTGTGTATGTAGTAGCGGTAGCAGAAATAGTAGCTGTTTTGCTTTGGAGGTGATTCCGCCACACGTGCTTACAAACGCTTCAGGTGCCAAAAATATTTAAAAAAAAAAAGATGCTTCTTCTTCCGATTTGTGTGCACTAAAGCACTTGGCGACGACGAACGTATTGGAGGACAAATACTGGTTCTTCAAGAAGTGCAGTGTTTGTGTGGAAGCGGTGCCACGGCAGAAGGGATAAAACGACAACGCGTAGTCAGCTTGGAAAAATTTATAATACCGCTAAGAGCAGAAGCCTAAAGGTTTCCTGCCAAGAATAGAGAAGGTAAAAATACGTGAGCTGACGGAGAGGCGCGGAGACAGGGAAAAAAAGAAGAGAAGAAAATGAGGAGCAGTAAGCCGCCGGTAACAGTTTTTTTTATTGCCGTTGTTGCTGAGAGGGGAGAGCCACGTTAAAAAGAACGGCTTAGCATTACCCGTTGGGGGTCTTTCGATGATCACCGACAAAGGCGTATCGAGGGCATGCCTTGGTCAGCAAAAGAAAAACCAATAACAGCGGCGTGGGTGAGTGGACAAAAACAAAAAAAACTCTTGAAAATAATTATAACAATCACTCCTGAAATTCAAAAAGAAGCTAATTGGCTTCCACGTTTGTCAAGTTCTCGGGTATTTGTGTGTGTGTGTGTGTGTTTGAATGTGTTGAGGAGCAACAGGCCGTAGAAAAACCGGCGGAGGAGCACAGTCTATTCGAAACAGAAAGAGAGAGAGGGAGAGAAGATTAACTACCAGCCTTCTCGTTCTACCCAACAGACACTTCGCCCATGAAGGTTCGACGGTACTGCTCCAACTCTCGCGGAAAGACGGCGCTGTCCGCGTACAGCCACCGCGCAACGAGCCAGCTACCCTCGCGAACCTGCACGCCGTCGATACGCAGGCTTGTTTCTGGCGGGGCGACGGCGAGTCCGTCCACCGCAAACGCCGCCTGGCCCGCCCCGTTTGCCGTGCGCTTCAGCCCGCTCGGCGTCAAAAAGAGTGTCTCGAGGTAGGCAAAGAAGGCGCAAAGATCTTGCTTGTGGATGTCATTCATGCAGCGCAGCTCCAGCTCAAAAAGGTCGGTCTCCGACGACACGGCGGCGGCGATGAAGAGCGTGACAAAAGGGTCGTGCGGGTGCTCGCACACCTTGGTACAAAACTGCTCCGGCGGTGGCAGAAGAAGGGTGAGGGAGGAGGAGGCGTAGGCGTCCACGGGCGTCGCCGCATCGGCGGTAGAAGCACGTCGTGCGGTGACCTGCTTGAGGGGCTCAGGGAAAGTGGTTGGAGCGTGATCTGCGTGGTGCAGAGTGAGCGTGATCAACACGTGCGCGTCGCGTAGCAGTGTGCTAGCGCCAGGGAGAGATGCAGTGGCTGTGGAGTTCGCAGGCCGGATTTCGACCTTGGCGTTCCATAAAACGCTGCTTCTGCCTCCGCTGCTCGGCGACAACGTTAACGTGCTGCGATAACTACTCGACTGGGCTGGTGCTCGCACGACAAGGTCTACTGGAACGTCGAGGAAATAACGGCTCTCGACACCCGCTATTTGCATCTGGAAGACGTTATGTCCACATGGTGAGCTACTGTCGCGCTCATACAGCCGCGCGCTCTGCGCGGTGTAGAGTAAGTCAGACAGCCGCTCCTCGTACACGCCCGTGTGTGTCTGCAGCTGAATGATGTACGCCACACCGTGGGAGACGAGGTAAAAGCAGGCGAGGACGACTGGCGACGGACCGACGTGGGCGTTCACGTATGACTCCATCACTGTCGTCGCGATATTGCGGGCGGCGGTTGACAGTTTCACTTTAAAGTAGGCCTTCGACGCGTCGGCGGCGGCGCGAGCGCGGGCCAGGGAGCGCTGCACGTATGCTGCCGTGGTCACGACGCCTCCACCGTCGCTTTCCACCGCGGCGCAGCTCTCCGCCATGATGCTGAGGCGTGAGCCATCCTCGTGTAAGAAGCGCATGACATCCAACGGGTAGCGGCAGGTGCACGACTCCTCAGTGTAGCCGCGCGTGACGGCGGCGGAGAGGGCGGCAATGCGCACCTGCACGGCACCACCAGGCGCGCGAGGGCAGCTGTGCTCGGACGGAGCGGACTCGCTGGGCTTTTCAACGGTGCCGCGGCCGCGGAGGAGGACTGGCGCAAGACGAACGGAGGTGGGACGAGCGGCGCCGCTGCTTGTCAGCTCCGCAGGGGGGACAGGAGGTGTTTTAGCGCTAGCGTCGGTGTCGCAGAAGCCGGTGGCCTTCCCATCTCTCGTGCCCGGACTCGTGCCGCGTCCGCGCAGGTTCTCGACGATCGTCTCGGAGGCCGCTTGGATCGTGCCGACGACGGAGACAAGAGAGCCGTACAACCAAGAAAAGAAACCACATTCCGCGCTGGCAGGGCGCCCGCTTCGTCCGCCTTGCGACGCCTCCCGTTGCGACACAGACCGGCCATCACGGCTTTCGGCGGTGGCGAGAGAAGCAGAAGGGGAGGAGAGGAGGGCGAGGGATGTGCGTGGCACACCAGCGTCGACGAGCTCAGCGCGGGTGTAGCCTTCCTCTAAAAGCGTGCGCGGCGAGGTGCCGCCGTGGAGCCGCTGGAGAATTTCCCGCCGACGCTGCTGCGGAGCGGCGGATAGCTTCAGCGTGGCACAGTAGTACGCGAAAACGCCAACGGCGACAATGACCGGCAGACCCCACCCGCTTCTATTTTTCGTTTCCATTTATCGAGGCTTGAGGACTGTGGTGGTGATCATGAAAAGAACCAAACCATCAGTAAAGAAAAGCAGAGGTGGAGTTGCTTCTTGTGAGTACTTGGTACAACACAGAAGCGGAGACTATGAAACGCGCGTTCTTCTTGCGCTAACACTATTTAACACGTCAACAAAATTTGTGAGGCGGTCACACACACACAAAAGAAGAAACACAGTTTTTGTTGTTGCCTGACTAGGAAGTTCCGTCGAATGAGTCAACAAGAAAACATACAACAAGTGGTGACTCTCGTTGAAACTTCCGCCTGTGACAGTACCGCTTTTCTCGATGTGTCGACAGTTTTTGTTGTTGTGTGCGTGGCAAATGAGGGTAAAACAAAAAGAAGGTCGCAAAGCACGAACAGGTCGTTTTGCGTCGTCACAGCACGACGTCGACGTTCCAGTGAAACGTCAGCGCTGCAATGCGGTAGAATGCAAGAGGGAGAGCAGGAAAGAAAGAAAGCGTAGAGACTCGATGTAAAAAAAAAAAACTTACACAAGTAGGTTCGTCAAACTGATAATATTGAACTTTTCTTTGGTCTCGTTTTTCTCTGTTTCGGAGAAGGGCCTGAGCCGGCTGAAAGGAAAGCAGCCCATGTGAAACGACATATAGGTACGTTCTACATGATCATGCGTTGGCCTCAAACGCAAATGAGAGCTGTATCATAGTTTCCTCTGTTACCGAAAGAAAAAACAGAAACCAAAGTCGAAAAAAGCAAAGTATTAAATCGGCGAAAGTGATTCAGACATCTTGCCTTCAAATGGATCAAAGCCCCCGCTTCAACTTCAATGAATGAGTCGAAAAAGGCCCATCATACACAGTTGCTGAACGTCAGCAAAAAAGAACTTTCGAACGCGACATCTAAAAAAAAAAGACAACGTGACCAACAGGGAAATGACGACACAACAGCAGCGTCGACGATAGATAACAGAGGAAAAAAGTGGCAGATTTGTGGACTACCCGATAACAAAAGCGTGTGTGAGTGCTGTTTTTGCTGCTAGGAGAGCAGGTCAGGACGAGCTGCAGCGATGACCGCCGTCGCCTTCGCAATTCGATTAAACACGTCCGCGTCCGTCATCACGCGCTGCCGTGCACCTGCCTGTCCTTCGCCGAACTCGATAAAGCCCGTATCCTGATGAATAGCCACCGGTAACCGCTGCGCGTGTACCATCGACACCAGCAGGTCGTAGAGCTCCCCTTCGGTGATGGCATCATCGTCCATGTGTACGCACAAAGAGCGCCAGTAGACGCAGTCGAAGGCTTTTGCGAGCAGCAGAATGTTGTGCTCGCGCAGCGCGTCACGAAGGACATTTGTAGGCACGTATTCCCCCGCAGCAGCCAAGACGGCTGCCGTGTCTGCGGCGCGGAAGAGTTGTTGGCTGTAGGCCTGTTGCACGTAAGGATAAAGAGACGGCAACGCGGCGGGGCTGCATCGAAGTAACACGTCATGCAGTGCCCCCTGCCGCACCCCTTCACCTGCCCGTATGCACAGCGCGGCAAGCGCAGCCCGGCAAAGGACCTCCGTTTGCTTATTTTTGTCATGGAGAGCCAAGAACGATTGAAAGGCACGCACGTAGTCGTTCTGTTTCTGCCGGTAGCACGCCAGCTCAAAGAGGTAGGCGCACACGACGGCATCGCGTTGCCGCTGCGCAGCGTCGCCCAGTCGCACGCACGACTTGACCAGTCCGTGGTACAACGACATCCCCTTGTGCACCGCCGAGTCCACGTAGCGGGTCCCGTCGGTCATGCGGGACGCCACGAGTATGCGCGCCACGCATGCCAGCCGCTCGATAGCCGTAAAGCCGTCGTAGGTGAAGAAGGCCGGCGACTGCAGCAGCTCGCGGTCAAAGACGAGCACCTTCTCGTAGTTCTGCAGCGTCACGTTCGCCGTGGCCAGCGCAGCGGCGAGGAGCAGTGTCTCACCGGACACGGTGGTGGTCGCCGAGGAACTGGAGCGAACCTCCGGCATCATCCATAGCAGCTCGCCCGCCTCGGCTACACACACGGCGCCGTCGCTGGTGCGGGTATGACGCAGCAGCACCGTGCAGAGCTGCGTGAAGAAGCGTCTGCGCTCATCATAGGCGACGGCGCGCAGACCTTCCTGCGCCACTGACGCGGCGCCTTTCGCGTCTCCCCGCTCCAACGCCCTGTCTACCCCGTCCCAGCAAAAGGAGGACGTACTTGCCATGCTACAAGTGCGGTGTTGACACGACGATGATGTTGCTGGGAACACACACACACACACACGTGGCGATGTTTGTTTTGTTTGAGACGAGAGACGTCTTGTTTCAGCCTTCTGTGAAGCGACGAATTGCCGGTCTTGCTGTGCAGACAAATGAAGACAGACCTTCTTTTTGTAAAGCAGTGAAATTGCGATAATAATAATAATAATAATAAAAGCGTCGTCATGCTGTTGGCCCGAAGAGATGGAAAGAGAACAGGGGAAGGCAATTCAGCAGAGCCGGAAGTACATTGTGGCCACCTGAGGAGCACCGCACGCCACCAAAAAATCAACAACAACAACAGCGTCTCCTTGAAGCAGCGAATCCATTTCTTCATGTTGCGTGCCCGATAAGCAGCAACAAAAAACAACGTTCGTGTGTTGCTGTGTTTTTTTTTCCTTCTGTTTTGGAGGGGGTCAAGCTGCATTGACATCCCACCAAGTCCCTTGTGTTGCCAAAAGCACCACGAAATAAGGGAGAGCTATTGTGTTTTAGAGAGAAAAAAGAAAAGCACACCTTACATTATACGTCCAATTATTCGTGTAAAAGTTGTCAGGGAAACCAACCATCGTCGATTCGTCCTGGTTGGGGCTCGCTGGCTGCCTTACGGCATTCCTTTACTTGCGTGCCTTCTTCTTGGCCAGAAAGAAGTCCAGTGTGTCCTTCATCGAGTTTTGGGAGTTGGCGGGCTTCGCATCTTCGGCTCGCTCGCGCTTCCCTTGACGGGCCTTGGCGACGGTAGAGGCGAGCTGCGCCACGTCTTCCGTGACACGCTTGTCCTTCTGCGCCACCTCTAAATGGAAGCGCGGATCGGAAAGCAGCTTCGACTTGAAACGGTCGTCAATTTGCTCCGCCGCTTTCTGCGCCTCCTGCTCGCGCCGTACGTGCTGCACCTGCAGTGTCACCCCGAGCTGACTCGCCGCGCGCATTTTCTTCTTTGCCGCCCGCTCCTCTGCGAGTCGCTCCTTCACCTGCTTCGCGTGCGTCTTGCGGCGCTCCTTGCCGCTTGCCTTTGCCGAGCCATCGTCGTCGGTGCCCATCAACTCTTTCAGCTTCTGACGGTTCTCGGCTTGGTGGTCCGCCTGAGCCGCCTTCTCGGTCTCGCGCTCCTGACGCAGCATGTCCTTCTTTGACTTCTTCATCTCCTTGCGGCGCAGCTTGTACTTGACCGCCGCCTGAGTGGCGAGGTCGGCTGACTGGAGCTTTTGCTTTAAACGGGTGTCGTGCTGCAGCCCCGCCGCCTTCGTGTCGGCGTCTAAGTCAAAGGTGGTCTCCATGTTGCCGGTGACTTCACCATCGTCACCGTCGTCCTCCTCCTCCTCTTCGTCCTCTTGCATCTCCACGTCGCTGAAGCGATTAAGGGAGTCGTCATCGCTGCCGTCGTCTAGCCCATCCACCGCACTCGCCGTGGCGCCATGTGCATCTTTCTCCTCCTCTTCCTCCTCCAGTTTGTCTGGGATGCCGCCGACCTCCTCGAGCAACGCAGCGTACTTGCGACGGATGTCGCGCTTCTCACGCGTCCTCTTCGCCGGATCGGCCGGGCCGCCATCGTCGTCCGCGTCGGAGTCCGCCGGGGCAAGATACGCGGCAAGGTCGTCCTCCTCCGTCGTGCCGGTGAAGCTGTCCTGCACGGACTGGTGGCGAAAGACGTCGTCCTGATCCCACGAGATGCGGAACTTGCTCTGACTCATCGCACTCATCTTGAAGGAGGCGAGGGGGCGGAAGTTGGCGGGGATGTGGTCGGCCCGACTGACGGGCTGCGCGAAGGTCTCGTCGTCGTCGATGTAGCGCAGGTCAAGCACCACCCCGCTGGCCTCAATATCCATCCCGTCCAGCTCGTTGTACACCGCCGCGGCCGTGTCAGCCGAGTCGAAGGAGGCAACGGCGTAGTAGTACTTCATGCGGTCCATCTCGTAGCGGCGAAACTTACCGTCCGAGAAGAACTCGCCATCCTCGCCCTGCTCATGCAGCATGTCGGGGTTGTCGTCCGTCCACCCGTCACTGCGCGGCTCGCTGATCTCGTCATCGGAGACCTCCTCGGGCAGCTCCACCGCCGCCGGCATCTCGGCTTCCCCCTCTGCTGGTGCACCATCTTCACCCTCCGCGGACGCTGTCGCGTCTGCCTCGCCCGGTTTCACCCACAAGTCCGGCCCGTGCGTCTTCTCCAGCGCGATCATCTTCTTGCCCCACTCGCTCATGTACACGCAGACCTCGTGCAGCTGCCCGCCGAGTGGGAGGGCGTGGAAGAGGATGGCGTAGAGGTCGACGGCGCGGACGTGGTCCCAGTCGCAGTTGACGATGGCAACGCGGCGACGTGCCTCGATGAACTCGACCTCGTCCGGTGCCCAGGCGTTGACTTCGTCATCCAACGCCGCCTCCTCCTCCAAAGGCAGAGAGCCGACCTCCTCGACGTCGACATCCTCATCACTGGAGGTGTGCTGCGAGACCTCCTCGTTTTCCTCGTCGTCCTCCTCCGTTGCCTCTTCCATCGCGCCGTCATGGTCAGATGGGGCGAAATACTTCGCAAATCGCGGGTCCTGCTCGGCAGACTTCTCGGCGGTGTCGCGGTGGCGGCGGTGGGACTGACGGCCCGCCTGTGCTGACACCTGAAAGCGCGGATCGGTAAAGCGGGCGGCGAAGCGGCGGTCTCCGTTGTCGCGTCCACGGCCGTGGCCACTGCTCACACTTCGGCCGCGACCGCCTCCGCTGCTACCGCGGCCACGGTAATTAGAGCCGCCTCCGCGACCGCGAGAGGAACTCTGCAGTGTTTTCATACCTTCCTGGGTGTTTATACGTGTGTGTGTGTGTGTGTTCTTCGTTGTGATGAGTGCCTATGCGTGCATGTTGTTCTGTGTCTGACGGTGCATTTTGAAACGTTAAGGGAGGGATGAGGCGAAGAAAGAAGAAGAAGATATGAACCGTAAGTGCAACATGCACCAGTCAAATTGAAGCTGAGGATATCAGTGAAAAAAAAAACCCGGCGCCAATCCACGAAAAGAGAAAAAAAAGGGAGTAATATGAGTCAATAATCTCCTCTACGTATACGCGTGGACTAATCTACTTGCCGATTAACGTCAGATATGCTTGCTTCAAACATCGAAGTTTAGTGGCCCCACGGATGTATGGCGTTCAACTTTCTTTTCTTCCCGTATCGTTCCTTTGTTGATATTGCTACTGCCCATTTTTGAGGCCTCCAATGCAAGCTGCGAGCGCTTTTGGTGCCGAGTGTTGGTGTTCTATCGTAGCATTGGGATGGTGAGCCACATGCGACTGCAAGACCGTGCTGGCGTCTCCACACTTCTGGCAACCTACGTGCCTCTCAACACAGAATAGTAAAAAAAAAAGAAAACACCTTAACACACACACACACACACAGACATGGAATCCATAGAGCCAAAGACGGAAAATGTAGAATTCACGCAGACATTACTAGCACCGAATGACAACTCACCAGCAGTCGCGCCAACGAGCTGGATAAGAAGAAGAGAGGAAAACTGTTTTGAAGAACAAAAAAAAAGTAGCAAAAAAAGTATAGAGGTTGCGCATGTTTACAGGTGTGAGAGAGACAGTGAGAACAAGGAAAATCCGGGCTACAGCCAAACTATATCTTCCCTCCCACCCAACAGCCTTTTTCTGCTTTTGAAGTGCTCTGTCGCGCCGTTTTTTTCCCGGCTGCTTTGAAGGTACGCAATGCCAGAACCGGACAACAATAATAACAACAACAAAAACCAAGAACGGGAACATAGCGAGAAGGAACACGCGTACAACATCACTAATAATAATAATAATAAAGTTATGCACATGGTCAACAGCAACAAAAAAATGCACTGTGACAGCTATATATATATATGACTGTTCACATGGAACACAGCAGCTGCCGCCATCATCGATGCGTTCGCTGCAGCCGCCACAAAAAGAAGGAGCATGAATTCAGTGTCGAGGCGCACACCAAAAACAAAGAGTTTTCACGGAAGCAGAACGACCATCCAGTTTCAATATACCGCAAAACCCAAAAACCGCGGGCCGCCGCTGTTTTCAACTTGCATCTACACAAGCTTCTTCTTTCGGATGCTGTCCTGAAGGTAGGTGAGGGCGCCGTTCACGTTCCCAATGAGGCAGACCCATATAAACACGATTGCACAGCTCCACATGTGGTAGATCGGATAGATAGCTACGATGAGCATACAGGGTCCAAAGCAGATCAGGATTGAGGCGACTAGGATGTACCCCTCGTGATGGCGGTACCACATCGGATCCTTCGGGATCATAAAGTAGGCCGTGACACCCCACATCGTGAAGAAGGCGGCAATGCAGAACAGCGAGGGGTAAAGAAAAAGGTTGTTGGTGTGCTTCGCCGAGATGCATTCCTGGATCATCCCAGTGGAGTAGATGATGCAGAACAGGAACGTAGAAATGCAAGAGCGCCGCACAAAGCTCTGCAGCGTCTCCGGCTCCATCCTTTGCATGTTTGACTGCATGTTGAACGTGCGCGTTTCAACGACAGAAAAGCAGCAGCAAATCGATAGCGGAATGATAAGCGGCGCTCCGATACCAAAAGCAGCGGTATGCAACAGTAACAACACGAATCGAAATAGGTACTCACAGGGCGGTTCTAAAGGAGAGGTGGGAGAGAAGACACAGAAAAAGATACAGTGAGTAACCAAGAGCGAAGTCGTGTTCATGATAGGGAAAGGACTCTACAACGCCATTGAGAGAAATCGATAGCGTTACCTGCATTTTCAAGAGAAAAAAACCAAGAAGCATCCGAGCCTTGAAAGGTCCCCGTTGGGAAATGTTTCGAGCGCGTGCCTTTGTGGGTGGAGGGAGAAGGGCCACAATAGCTTTTCCTTTGCTCACTTCGTCATCATAACAATTCAACCTCGATAACACAACCAACACACACCAATATAGGTGTAATTGAAACGAAATACATTTTCGTTTTTACATCGCGTAAACGCAGATAAGTAAGAATAAGAAAATGTTTCCAAAAAGAAGGTGAAAAAGCTGACCCGCTGTACTGTACATCAACGAAACCGTTCTCCAGTATAAAGAGCGAAAGAAAACAGCAGCAGCAACACATTCAAGGGTGAACTCTCCTGTGCTTCGCTTCGCTACGCATTTCATTTTCGTTTCCAATGGTTTATTTGTGCTCTACGACGCACTCTCAAACATTGTCGTGTTCCCCCCGAGCTTCTTGAGTCGTCGAAGCGTCACCGCCTCTAACACATCCATCTCATCCGGCTTCAGCACATCACCGCTAAGAGGAGGCAGCGGACTGCCCGTCGCAGCGGCGTTCGCCGCCGCAGCGCCATCAACTGAACAGCGAACAGCGGGCGTAAGTTCCACCGGGATGTCTAAGCTGGTGATAGATCGCATGGTGTCCACAGGTGGCACCGCGGTGACGGTCGCTTCCTTCCCCACCGGGTGCGGACTCCGTCGTGCAGCGCCGCCAGTGGCAGAGAGGCGGGTGGCGCTTGCGGACGAGGACGCCGAGCACCGCACCCCGCCGTTCCCCTTTGCGGCCTGCGCCTTCAGCAGCGCCCCGACATCACGCCGCAGCAGGTCCTCCTCCAACGAGCCGATCTCCTTCTCCAGCCGCGCGGTCTGCTGCACGGCGGACACCCAATTCGCCTCCATGTTCGTAGCGTGCTGACGCAAGTCTTTCACATTCGCCATGGGACGCAGCGGCGCCGACTTGCGCAGGGAGTTCTGCTGCAGCAGTTTGAGGGCGTCGCGCGCCTCATTCGCGCTCTGCAGTTTGCGCGGATCGCCGACGGCGGTGCGGAAAATCAGCAGTGGCGGCTCGGTGAAGTCATCCATCACTTTTTCCTCCGGCCGCATGTCGATCGCGGCGGTGTACTTCGCGGTGGCGTGCAGCGTTGTGGGCACGTAGAAGCGGTTGGCCCACTCCGCCGTCATGGTGTCGTAATACGACGACAGAATGTACGAGAGCAGCGCGGCGGTCTGTGCCGTGGCCTCTTCGTTGTGGCGGTGGAAGGGGACGGGGTGCAGCGGGGAGCCGATGAGGTGCACGACTGCAATGACCGACGCGATGCCGGCAGGCGTCACACTTGTGGCGGGTGCCGCGGCGGCTGAGGTCGAGGTGCGTGCGACGGCGTTGCAGTCGGTGTAGCGGTCGTGCACCGGCACCAGCAGCTGCGCCGCATTCGTCTGCTCCATTAGCTCCGTCAGGGACAAGTCAGCGGCCAGCCCCTTCGTCGCCGCTGCGGAGGGGTGCGACTGGGGCAGCATGTTCAGCGCTACGCCAGTTTGACACACTACACAGGGCATCGAGGTCCCCGGTGTGCTATAGGGTGCGGAGTGGACGAGGGAGGAAAGGTCGCGTCCCACCACAAATGGTGCGACGAGGTCGGAAGAGGAGTTCTGGCGAGGGCGTAGCCACAACAGCGCCACGCCCGCCCTGCACTGCACCGCCAAGCTCTCCAGCACGTTGTACAGGGTGGCTGAGACTAAGTCAAAGGCGCTCACCATACGCTTCAGCTGATACGGTGGCACCACGCCGTCAAACATCTTGAGCGGAGCAGCGCCCGCAGTGCGGTCTAACGTCGTGGCGTTGGCCGTCAACATCATCTGCTGCTGCTGCCGAGAGGTGCTCCTCGCCGTGTCGTTCATCGCCGCTGCGGCGTCGCGTTGCCCGTTCTGAGGGTGCGTCGGTGCATCAGCACTGCCCTTATTTGTCGCCGCACGCGTGTTGCCACCGCGCGGGTCCTTCTGGCGATCTTGCAGGATTTGTGCCTCCTCCGTCATCATCCCGCAGAGCTGCTGGAGGAGCTGTCCGAGCTGCACGAGCCGGTGCGCGTCCTCACTCGTTTTCCCATGCGTTTCACGCAGTAATTGGGTGGTCTGACTTAGGCAGCGGCCAACGCGATCGCTGAAGGGGATGGGTTCGAGCAGGCTATCAGGGAAGCTGTGCCCACAGCTTGCACAGAGATGCGCAGACATGATGTACTTCAATAGAAGGTCACAGACGGATCGATGCTGCTGAACAGCAAAAGAAAGAAAAAAGACAACGGTGACGCGGAAAACGACGCGTGATCGGAGTCTGTCGTTTGTGGTTGAACAAAACAGGGTCAATCGTGCAGTCGCACCCTTGCATGGACCTCACTGAAAAAAAAAAAAAAACAAGGAGAGGAAAATGAGAGAAAACGCGGAGGAGGAGGAGGAGGCATACAAGAAGGGGGAGAAAGAACCTTCAAGCAAACAGCGACGCAATTTTGCGCGTCCAAGGGTCGGCAGGCATGAATAATACCACTCGCGTTTCTGTCTAACGCCAACCCGTTCGAGTATCAAAAGAAAAGTCAGCAGCACAGGGCTTTCTTCGCGCATGATTTACACTGCCATTGTGTGTTACGCACCAATCAATGGCAAACGGGGACAACGCAGTAAAAAGAGGAGGGGGGAGAGGGGATAGAGAGAGAAACACTACGGAAATATCGATGTTTCAACAATGAAAAAGGGACGGAAAATAAAAAACCCCGAGAAAGCTGAAACAAGAGAACCACGACAGAGAACACCGTGAAAACAAGCGTGTGCCGTGCTGGCCGGACGCTACGCTAGCACAACAATTTGTAGCCATCCATTCAACAAAACACAACCGTTGCCGTTTTTATCGCACACCTCTCACCGCACTTGTTTTATTCAAACGCAAAATCTGTGTCGTCCAACGGCGTTGCGAGGCTGCCAAAAAGGCTTCCCAGCGGTACGTTGTCTTCCCGATCGTGGCGCATGGCCATGTCGAAGAGCGTCTCGTTCCCGCTGTCCAGATGCTGTGGCTGCTCCCGCCTCGTCTTCTTCGCCGCCTCGGCCACCTCCTTAGCGTCATCTGCAGCGACTACATCGCGTTTACGCTTGCGTGGTTTCGCACCAGTGGGGGCAGCCGTTGCTTCTTCCCCTGCGTCCAGAGCCGCCGGTGGCAGCACCGCCTCCGCCTCTCCGATGTTCACCGTCGACGATGCACGCACCGGCATGCCGCTTTCAATCTCGTCCACCAACGCCAGCTCCTCCACCGTCAGCTTCTTCGTCGCGACGGGCACCTGCGCCTCCTTCTTCTTCGCCTCGTAACGCTCCTGAAATACCTTCATATCGATGGGGCTCTTCTGGTTCAACGCCTGCTGCACCTCTGTCGGCTTCAGCCGCATCTCCCGTTGGTACAGCCGCTTAATATCACTGCGGCTGCGACGAGGGAAGAGCACCGCGATGGCGCCGAAGTCGGTGCCGTATTCGGAAAGAGCGCGATAAAAGCTGCGCACTTCGCCCTCGCTCCAGTCGATGCGGGCCGGCCGACCCGAAAGCGGTGGCACCGCGATGGCCGTCTCACGAAAACCATGAGTCCCATCACGCTCGCCGTCGCCGTCGCTGGTCGGCTGCGCCACGCCGGCCTCTGCCCCGCCGTCGCGCTCCTCCTCGTCGGACGAGACCGAGCGCTGCGGTGGGTGTCCGGCAGCGAGGTATGGCGAGTGCCGGCGAGAGTCGCTGCTCCGTGCATAAGACGCGAACGGGAGGGGGGAGATGCTTGTGGGCGGCCGTGGCAGGTTCCCGCCGCCGCTGCCGCCTGCGGAGGACCGCATGTGGGCAGTGGAGAGAGCACCGCGCATCACTTGTCCAATGGAGAATTTTTGCGGATTACTTGGCTGCGTCGGTGGTAGCTGGTCCACCGGCATCTGTGCCAGCACACTTAACGGAAAGCTCTGCGGTGCGTAGACGAAAGGTGCATTGGACAGGCTAGGGGCGGAAGCCGGGAAGGCGGATATGCCGGCTGCCACGTCGTCGTCGAGCTGATCGGGCGGGAATTCAAACTCGCTAGCGTCCATCTTGTTGTTCTCTGCTTCTTCGTAATGTGTTATTCTACTTTATGAGTGATCAATACGGTGGGAAAGACAACCACCAATGAGCAAAGGATGAAAATGTCAAAAAAATGAAGCAGCTCGACCAGAAAGAACTTCTCTACACGTTTATCAAGAAAACAAATTACACACAAACCAACCGGCAAAATTTTGTGTTGTGTGTGTTACCGTGGAATATGAAAGCCTTCGTGTGCTTCTTTTCACCACAGCACGGTGCTTACAGAGAAACACAAAGAGAGACAGGGGAAGGAGAAGAGAGGGAATGTGGAGCACGTACTCTACGACACGTAACAACGCTGACGGCGCCGTAGTTGCGCAGCGAGCTGAAGCGCTAACCCCCAACGAAGGGACGAAAAACAAAGGTCTAACGAATACCACTACCGGAGAGCTTGACGCCGGAAAGTGACGATCATTGTCCTGTGACAGCGTGGCGACACAGCGTCTACAGCAACAACAACAAAAAGGTCTCTTGCGCTCTCCGATGGGGAATCAGGAAGACGTGTGTCTGCCTCTTCGACTTACTTCCATTCGCAGTCGTTCATGTCACCTGGAGGATTCAGCTTTCCATGTGCCGTTCTAAAGGCTACTGCACGATTCAATCAGTGACTTCAAGAAAAAAAAAAAAGCATAAGTGATGCTGTTACAGTGTAGAGAGAAAACAAATGGGTTATCCAAACGACAATAACAACAGAGCGATGTATGTCCGTTACGCGAATGGAGAAACCACGAGAGAAATCGATGTGTTAATAGATCGTCGCGATTGCGTTATGTTTTGTCGCACCCGAAAACGTTTTATACATTTTTGCAGGAAAATAAAGCTTGAAGGAAAACTCATTGAAAGAAATTTTTTTTTGAAAGAAAACAAAGTGACATAAAAGGGAAAAAAAAAGAATTGACTACAGAAAAAGACTTCAAAGAGGCCTTTCCACGCTGGAGACGCAGAATGCGCGTAGACGGCCCTAAATAAGGAAGGAGAGAACGAAAATAGTGGTCGGGCTTCCACAATGCGCCGTCTACACGATCTTCCGATAGTGAAGATCAGTTGTATCCAAAGTGTAGGCCAAGTTTCAACGCTTGACTGCACCGGTATGCACTGTGCAACACGCTTCTCTCCCTCTCCTTACGCCCCACAAACACCGGGTCGAATCTTGTCTGCGCACGCTCCTTCCATCTCAATGCAGCGTCTTCTTGAAGAAGTCGAGGGCCAACTGGCGGGCCACCTCCACCTCCTCCAGCTGCTCCGGCGTGTATGTGTCGGGGTCGTAGCGGGAGCCGAAGTAGCCGTGCGGGATCTTGTCGAAGCGCCTGTACACGTGCGGCTCGACAGGGTGGGCGTTGACAGCCGCCTCCACGTCGTCGAAGTTCGGCTCATCCATCGATGGCATCACCAGCACCGGCGTCTTCGCCGCTTTGACCGAGTCCGCGTTGAAGAATGACGGGTGTGCCGTGCAGACCGAGTCCACCGTGCCGTCCGCCGCCGCCTGGAAGGACAGCGCCGCGCCCCAGCAAAGGCCAATGATGCCAACCTTCTCACAGCCCATTTTGTGCAGCATCTGCACGGCACGGGTGACGCGCGGCTTGTGGTACTCAAAATCGGACGCGTAGGCGAGGAAATCCTTCCACTTCTGCGAGTCGTAGTTCGGAGGGTACTCGTCGCGGCTCCACGCCTTCTTGCCGAAGAAGTCCGGCATGACGACCAGGTAGCCCTGCGAAGCGAACAGATCAGCCAGACGCTGCGAGTTGGGCAGCATGCCGAAGATGTCGCTCACACAAATGAGACCCGCCTTGCTGTCCAGCGGACCGGCCACGTACAAGTTATCACCGGTGGGGTGGTACACGCACGTGGCGGCCGTGGCGTCGGTCGGGCAGCAGCGGTTGGGGTGCCCAGATGACATGTTTACTCGCTGTGTGTGTGTGTGTCGGGTAAGAATAAAGGTCTTATGCTTAAAGCGAAACGACAAGAGAAGAATAGGTGAAAAAGACAGGTTTTTGATGGCTATACAGTTGACTAAACGACGGATATCTGTTGGATAAAGAAAGCCCCGCAAAAGCGGAGACAACAGTTCATCAACCATGCATGCACAGATGAGTGTAGTGCACGAGGAGAGACGAGAAGAGGAGCCAACGAAGGTACATTGCAAGTTGAGTAACAGGCGTCTGCGCCCAGTGAGCATTGCTGAGAGAACACCACTTTTTGCTGCTACATCTCTGGTTCGTGCAGAAGCAGCTGAACGAGGCAGGGATGAGGTGGGAAAGCGCAAGGATCAGAGTTGCGGCAGCTGATGCATTTCCATAAAGCACTTCAAGCTCACAAAGGCGGTCTTTTTCCTTCCTCTATCTTACCAGTTTCGTGTCCCTTTTCCTTCTGCCTTTTCGTTGACACTACGCGGACCCGAGCACACACGATGAGGGGGCGACGTTGGTATTGAAACAAACAAAAAAGGAAGAGCCGGCTCAGACAGTCTTTGAACAGTTGTCGCGATATCCTCCTTGCAAGTCGTGACGTCGCGCTTCGACCAAAGAACTTTTGGTCTCACTGGAGAGAGTGATAGAAAACGAAGTAAAGGACAATAAAAACAGAATAAAGCGCCTTTAGCTAAAGAGAAGGAACAAGGCACCGCGAAACTCGAGACGGGTGCGTTGGAAGATGACAGGCGGTAGTCTCCATCCGGTTCATTTGATGTTTGAGTCCATTAATGGAGACGGCGGCCTTTATATAAATAGAAAAGAGAACGAGAATTACCCCCAAAAAGATATAACCATAGAGTGGAGAATGGTAACAAGAAAGTTAAAGGAGGCTACTGTTGTGGTCGTACGTGAGGAGCGGGCAGCAAAGGGTAAAGATGACGGCGACAAGCACACAGCGACTGCAACGAGTTTTGATCCGCTTGCAATGCAAAGCACAACACACACACACACACAAAGATGAAATAAAAATGAATCCTGCACGCCGGTATTCATGGCTTCAAATAAACGAAGTACAGTAGCGAATAAAAAAAAAAAAGGTGACTAGTGCAGCGTCGTCTGCAGGAAGTCCAGAAGAAGGTGGCGTGCCTCCAGTGCCTCCTTCATCTGCACTTCCGTGTAGTTATCCGGATCATACCGCGATCCAAAGAAGCCGTGTTCAATGTTTTCAAAGGAGCGGAAGACTTTTGGCTCAATCGGGTGCGCCTTCACAGCCTTGCCAACTTCCATCAGCGGACCGTCGTCGACACCGCCCAGCACCAACACACCCGTCTTGGCCAGTTGCACATCCGAGGCATTGAAGAAGGCCGGGTGTGCCGTCGCCGCCGCATCGATGGTGCCTTCGCCCGACAAGATAAAGGGCAGCACCGCTCCCCAGCACATGCCGACGGCTCCGACCTTCGCACATCCCATCTGCCGCAGCATCTCCACTGCCCGATCCATGCGCGGCTTGAAGTTGTCCATGTTGCGGCTCCACACAATGTGGTCCTTCCACTTCTGCGACTCTGGGTCCACGGGCCAGTTCTCCACCGGCCACACACGCTTGCCAAAGAAGTCAGGCATGACGACGAGGTAGCCATTCTCCGCCAGCATATCCGCAAAGCGCTTCGAGTTTGGTTGCATGCCGAAGATGTCGCTCACCACCACCACACCTGCCTTGCTCTTGTACGGGCCGACGACGTAGAAATCGTCGCCGGTGGGGTCGTAAGGGCACTTCGCAGCCGGCTTGTCCGTAGGGCAGCAGATATACGACTCAGTGGAAGGCATCTTTGCTTGTGTGTTTGTTTGGCGATTGTTTTTCCCTTTCTGGAGTCGAGAGGACAGTGTAAAGGAAAGAGAAATGTGCGTGGCTAGAGAGGGAAGACAAGGGGAAAAGAGGCACAGCATGGCAAACGAGTAATTATATATATGTATAGGTGAAAGGAACTCAATTAAAGCTGGAAAGACCGTATTCGGAATCAAATATTGTGCATGGCCACCGACATTCTTGTCGCGCTTGACGTCATTTATTGGAAAATGACGGAAGGCTTTGCCCCCGAGGAAATGTTTATCGGGTATTCTTCTGTGCATGCACGAATTGTACTTTGAGAACAGCACGCTTTTTGAAGTAGAGGATAACGAAAAGAGGAACACGTACTCACCAAGAAAGAGGGAGAGAGAGAACAACAACAACAAAAGCAGCGGTGTTTTGCGCGATCAGCGGTTTAACGGACAGCTCGTGAAAGAACATCTGAAGAATTTTAAAAATGAAAAGCAGTGGAATTGTGTAATGCGATAAAGAAAAAAACGAAAAAGAAAAGCCTTTACACTCGTTTGTGCTCGCACGCGACGGATCGCATGACACTTTCAGGGAAGCAGGTTGAAAAAAGAAGGAGAAAAAAATCGTTTGCGCTCGCTCATCTTTTGTAATTGTTCTGTTTTTTCCGCTGGGCTGAACAAGGGCCGTCTGCCTTCTCCTCAGCGCGAGTTTCGTTCCTCATCAAAAACAGGCAACAAATCAAAAGACAGCAACTGAATTGCCGTGCCGACCGCACGACGCTGACAACAAACAAGCCAACAACACCGAAAATGACACCCCACGAGAGCGATGGAGGCGTCCTCCTTGAATCGTTCAGCGAATCAACAGCAGGTATTACGACCCTCAACGTGGCCTCGTGGCGTGCACGTCGTCACGGACGCGGTGATCTCGAGCAAAACAGGAGAAGCAGCGTAACGAAACACCGCAGCCACTCTCTCTCCCCCTGTTATCAGACGTTACTATTGCTTGCATTTCGGCCGAGTTGGGTATCCAGCGAGGTGAGAGGAACAAACTGCACGTCGCACACGTGTCGAATCGACACCTCCCCGGCGCATTTTTTTGAGAAGACGCGCAGCGCCTGCACCTCGGAGGGCTGACCGACGGGAATGACCAGCGTACCGCCGTTGCGCAGCAGACGCAAATACTCCGGCACTACCGCCTGCGGTGCCGTCGCACCGACGTGAATCACATCAAACGCGTCCGCCGGCCCAATTCCAGCGCCGGCGATTGACCGCGGCTTGCGGCCGTCCCCGTTCAACAGCCGCACCCGCTGCTCCCGCATCCAGTCGGGAAAGTGCTCCGTCAGCACCTTCTCCGACTGCCGCAGCAGCTCCGGCGCGTGCTCGACGCCCACCACGTCAAACATCGGCGCCGGCCCGCCGTGACCGACGGCCTCGCACAGGGCCGCAAAGGCCGCCGTCATGTAGCCGCTGCCGCTGCCCACGTCCAACAGACGCAGTGGCTGGCGGTGTCCTCGGTCGAGCTGTTGGTGATGCAGCACAGAGTCGCACACAAGCTCCAGCATGATGGCGTGCATGTGCGGGGCGCTGATCGTCACCCCGTAGCCGATGGAGAGGGGCTGATCGAGGTACGCCTCCGCCCGGTTGCGCACGAAGAAGGCGCGATCCACGCGCCGCATCACATCGGCCACCTCCGGCGTTTTGATGAGACCTTCCTGTTGAAGGGCGGCCACCATTCCCGCGTTCGTCGCTGCGGAGCAACGCCACGCCATTTTGTGCTTTCAAGCTCTTGTGGTTGTTTCGAGGAGATGAATAGCTGGTTATTGAAAAGGAGCGCCAAAAAGTGAGAGGCCTCGAGTCGTTCGTGCGTATTTCAGCACACAAGAATGACGGACAGAAGCGAAAAGAAACACAACACAACTGAAGACAAACCGTGCGATTTGGAAATGTAAGTACGGTGGTCGCTACAACACAAGCAAAAAAAAGACCACGGTGAGAGGAGGGAAGAAGAGTAACGCGTGGTGGCCGGGTTGAAAGGCACAGCGACTGACCGGCACTCCGTTGCGTGTCCTCGTTGACGCAAAAAGCCGTTGTGTACCCTACGTGGTGATCTGCGAAGCACTGCGTGTCCACCAATTGCGCTCGGCCCAGCACCAAGACCATTTTATTTTGTTGTGGCATACGATATAAAGGCGATTAGGGAAGCGCACACCGCAAGCAGAGCACATGCGCGGAGGAAACCTGACGAACACTTCACCGAAGAAGACAATTAGAGACGGCGGCAAACACAGTGAAAGGGAAAAAGAAAACGGTAGGTATCGCAGGCGTCCGCGAGGTTGGGGCGTCCCTCTCTCCTTCCAGCCTCCTCAATACCAAGTAAACCAGGAGGTGCTGGTGTCAGGCGGAGGAGCAGGGGTAGGGTCCTGCACTACCCTTTTCCTCGCATACGTTTCAAGAGGAGGCCGCACCGCCGCCTCCGTCAGCGACCGGGCTGAGAAGCGCACCGGTGGCGGGACAATCGGCAGGGGCATCGCCGCCCCATTTTTCGTCCACACCGGCTTCAGCGGCGGCACGGCAGACGCAGTGTGGGACTGCCCCGAGCTCAACGACGGCGAAGACGTAGGCGGCAAAAGCACGGGCAACTTCTCTGAACGCGAGCCATTTACATGGCACCCCTCCACCAAAACCGTTTCGCGTGCCTGGCGAAGTGCCTCTCGTGTACGCATCAGCTCTGTCGCGAGAAAGCGAATGTTGTCTAGCGTGAGGGCCGCGTGGGCGACAATGTCGCCGTCCCACCTTTGCATCTCCTCCGCGGAGAGAGAAACAGGAAGTGACGGCGCAGATTGAGGGGAAGGGGGCGATGATAACGCCGGATTCGCTTCTTCGGTCGAGCGCTGCTCCGCCGTGCCATTGCGGATGCCCTTCTCCTCCCTTTCGTCCTTCTCCGATGAACTCGCCTGCAGTTCTCGCAATCGGGTAGGCCAGTCAACCGTGACCTTCATCGAGGCATCGGCCGCGGACACGTCCTCGCCGGGGTGCTCGAGGGCCCAGAGCACCCGCTCAAACTGCTGCACAAAAAACACCATCGCCTCAAAGGTGGAGATGCGGCCGAGCTGCTTCCACGCCTGGTGCTTGTGCCGCTCCGTCAGGTGCCACAGCGACGGCTGGGGCTCGTTGCAGGGGCCGTGCTCAGCCTGTTGTCGCAGTGCGTAGAAGAGAAGGCGCTGCGCATCCGTCAGCAGCGGTGTCTGCTCTACATCGCCGATATAGAAATCAAAGTACTTCGCCACTTCGTAGTACTTCTCCGGAAAAGGCAGGTCCATTTTTACTTGTTCTTCGTTTTGCGAACACAACCACCACAACAAAAGGCCACTCCGTCAGCTACACAGTTTCGAAGCCACTGCTTTCGAGGTTTTCCTCGTCAGCGCAAAAGACGAGAAGGAGGAGGTCGCTAGAGTCGCATGCGCCAACGCCGCTCGTGAGGAGGAGGTGGAGGGCGGTTGTTCGTTGCAAAACAAGAAGCGAAATAATGGGGAGAAGCAAACCGATCGCGAGCCTGTTGATTAGGAGCCACCACAACAATAGGGCGCCGAACTGATGTGTGAAGAGTTGCTTTGTAACAGCGACACAGACGCCACGTCAGGCGTTGTTTTGAAGAGAGAAAACACCCTCGTGAAGAAGGGGAGACAGGGGGAGGGGGGTACAACGAAGCTGAGTTGAGAGAGAAAGAGGACAAGAACCAAAAGATAATCCGCATTCAAAAGGAAGGAGCTTTTCAGCTCCACTTTTTCTTTCCCACGCTTCAGTACGGCCTTAAAGCCCTTCCGATTCGCGTTCCGCCGCTCACAGGCTCTTGCGCGTGCCGTGAGGCACCTTCTAGGCGGCGTGGAGCAATAAGCCTTCAAGGGAGACGTGAAGAAGAGAGAGAAAAAGCGCCTTTCATGAAATGTGTTCGTTCGCTTCGTCACTTTCTTGTGATTTCAACACATCGGATGGCGCAAATGGAAAATCCACAGCGGAACAACATATGTATGTGTGCCAACTATAGTACCAAACAAATAACCAGAAATCCATACACTTGCGTCAATTCTGTGGCACCAGCGACAAAGATACAGTAGCGCAACACAAGAGACTCCAGGAAAACAAGAATGAAAGCGACCACGGAGATAAAGCGAGTATGCCAGCCTCTGCTGTTTCGTGGTAACAGCTCGGTCAATGAAAAATAACAACAACAAAAATGTGCGTGGAGGGCGTCTCCGCGTTCAAAAGACAGGTTTTTCTTTTGAGCGCTGCAGCACATCTACTTTTCTCCCTTGGACGCAGAGCGATGCTCTGAACGGCCTGTTAAGCAAATCGCTTCCCTTTGTGTTTCAGTTAGACGGCATCCACCTCTTGGGAGGAACACATGCCTGTTCTTTCTCTCTTCTTTTTTATATATTTTACTGTTGGAGGAGAACTGATGCAAGTAGCAGTGGCCATTCTTTTTTGTTATGCTTGTTGATGTTGTTGTTCGTACTGCACGATCCGCAAAAACCCATAGCAGCAGCACAAGAGCTTCCCACTTCTTGTTACAACCAAAAAAAAAACTGACGCGAAGGTCAGAGAGAGCCCACTGCTTAAGCTCATAATAACAATCATCATCATCATCATAGAAAAGGACGGCGTGATTGAGTTAGGACGGCACACCAGCTCAGCTGCGGGCAGCGACACACGTCCACGAGCTCACTTATCACGTCCATCTCCTCACCTCAAACTGCCGCCAACGACAACACTCCATGCGGGAGCCCACGGTGCCCGACGCAGAAACCACGGAGCCCTCTGGCATTTTTGTGTTTTCCACCGCTACGGCGTTTCTCATAGAACGCGTGATGCTGGTGGCGACTTCGTTTCCAGTACGAGCGCTTGCGTGTCTGCGCTGCACGCCAGACGCTCAACTTTGTTCGCAGTCGCCATTGTGAGTTGCCTTCAATGTGCTGATGCTTTCTGTTTTTGTATGTCACGCGCACGTCGTCCTTTTCCCGGTGTGTATGTGCGGAGGTGCCTCAGACCGAGAACAGTTTTTGTTGTTGTTGTTGTCGAATGGTGCGGATGAGAGCTACGCGTTGTGGTGAGCAAGGGCATCGCTGCAAGCCTGGGGACCTTCTTTCCAGCCAACTGGGGGTGAGGCCAGAGAAACAAGAAACGGAAAAAAAGAAAAGTAGCACAGCTGAATAAGCACTGGCAATTCAAAAGTGGCACTACAGGGCCAAAACAACGTCATGCACGAACGCCTAAAGGAGGTGAAAAGGAAGAAATCAATTAATCACTTTCATCCATTTTTGAAACACGAAGCGTGCGTCAACATCGGCGGATAGCGCGTTCGCTCTGCCTCATGGATTCCCAGGGGATGCTGTGCGCACACGAGTGTGCGTGTGTGTAGCGTTGACAAGGAAACTGGGTTTAGAAATTGAAGAGGAGGAAAAACGCGAGTCTTCGTTTTCAATTACCCTTCCAGTTTCACTTAACGACAATCGCACACCCGCACACACATACGCGTGAAAGCTCTGCTTTTCCCCACCAACATCGTCACCGACCACACCCGTGCGTCACACATTATGTTTTCGGGTACAACACAACGGGCGTGCGATGTGGAAAAAGAAAAGCGGGAAAAACGCGAAAAAAAAGGTACACCCTTCACCACGAGTGCCAACACGTGTAAAGGCTCAACACGTGCGTCTCCATTTTTTCCTAACGATGTTGTTGCTTTTCCTCTGCCACCGCATGACAACACACAGCCGCAGAGAACGGTGGGAAGGGTAGAAGGACACGAAGGTGGATCACACAAGAGCGACGCAGCGACACTTGCGTTTCTCCACTAACAGCAAAAAAAAAAAAACAAGAGAGGGAAAGAGGAGGGAAAAGAGCGCGTGCACAGGAACAGCCGTCAACGAGCTCAAGGAAACCAACAAACAAACAAGAGGAAAAAAAAGGTCATTCGGTGTGTGGCAACAACAACATTAGCAGCAGATGCCCATTACGTTTTACAGACTTAGTAAGGCCGGTAGTACTGCGGCTGCGGAGCATAGCCGCCACGGTAGGCGTTCGGAGGGCGCGGCCCGTAGTGATAGGTGGGAGGATAAGACGGATACGGACCACCGCGTCCGCGCCCACGACCGCGACCACGACCCCGGCCGCGACCACGATAAGGCGTGATGTCGGCATAGAGGTCCACCTCCTCATCCGGGTCTGGTGCCGCCGTCAGGACAAAAGCTACCGGCTTCGTCGGCACCGGCTGCTGCTGCGGCGGCGGTTGTGGCAGAGGCTGCTGTGGTAGGGGATGCAAGACGCCGACCACCTCGTCGGTCAGCGCCGGCGCCGCGAGCTCGTGAGTGGGACTGGCGGACGGCTGCAGAGACGGCGTCTGCGCGGCGCTGGGCCGGGTGGAGAGGTTGCGTGACTCGGTCGGGTCGCTTTCTGCGGTGGTCGTGCGCCGGTCTGCCTTCTCTTCTGCCAAGGATGGGGCGACGGGTGCCTCACTCGAGGCCGCGGTGGACGCTGCTGCTGCTGCGGCGGTCGCCTTCGTCGGCTCACGCACGGACGTCGCGGTCGAGGCGAGCTCCGCGACGGTCTCCCGCTCTGCCTTGAGCTCATCCCTCTTCTTGGCCATGCGGGCCTTAAAGGCACTGAAGCTGAGGGCGGGCGCAGCAGCGACGGAGGTGGATGGCGAAGACGCCGCGGCACACGACTGCGGTGCGGTTGCGTTTGCGGAGGCATCGGTGGACGGCGCGTTTGCCTCGCCTTCCGCACTCAGCCGCTGCGTGAGAGAGTCGAGGAGCCCCGACGAGACGTTGGGATGACTCTCAAGAAGCGTCTTCAGCGCAGCGAGTGTGGCGCGTGTGAGCGACGCGGCGGCGGTGGGCAGCGACGTGACGCCGTCGGCGACTTCTCGCGTCAGCGCCTTCATCTCCTCCACGTCGATGTGGCCGTCTTCCTCGTAGATCTCGAGAACGGCCTTGATGTGCTCACGCACTTCACGTTTGTTGGAAATCGACATGTGCCAAGAGAGGGAGGAGGGGGGTATGAGGTGAAACTGCAGGGCTGCGAAGGCACCTCAGAAACAAGAAATAACCAACCGATTCGATTCAGAGGCGATGGCGTCACAAAAAGAGACAACACGTGCGAAGAAAGAAGGAGCCTTCGATGTGCTGGTGTGCATCTTTAAGGTGATGAAAAGGATCAGAATAGCCGCAGAAGGTCACCAGCCCGATGCGGATCATCAGCAAAGAAGTCAAGAAGGAAAGAGGGAGAGAGAGAGACGAGGGGATGAGATAGAAACAGGAAGACGAGGGGAAACAAGGACTCTGCATAGTTACCTTCCTTTTGATGTGGTGCGTAAGCGCAGGTGGCCCTCACCGTCGCGATGTCATCTACCTGTGCCTTTCCGTTGATCGTCGCAGAATAAACAACAACAAGAAAAGCAGAGAGTTGATGGAAGAAAATGGTGCTTCCGCACGGAGTCTCAGCACGGCTGTTGCGAGTCTCTACGAGATGCTTCGCTGCGCTGTCCAGGTGGAACAAAAGACAATCAGCAGCCGCAATTCGGGCAGATTCTTCGCGTTTTCAATTTGAAGAATCTCATGCACACAGAGAGAGAGGGAAAAAAAAACGATAGAAAGCAACGCAAGTTCGAAGCTTAATACAAAAAAAAAACGCACATGCGGAGGTAGCTGTGCGCCGTAGAAGAGAAGCAGGTCACGTGCATCGTCAACGTTATCACGTTTCATTACAGCCGAACAAAAAGAAGAACGAAAGCAACACCATCGACTAGGGAGGCAACGCACAGACGACGCGTTTTTGTGCTACCTAACTACTAGTGTAAATTATACTACCGCGCAACCCTTCGGACCACTCAGCTGTCTTCTTTCCTTTCCTTTTTTTTGAATTCCATTTGTTTCTACGCGAACCGGTCCGCCACCTGCCACGTCTTGATGCGGTACTCCGCGACAGGGTTGGTCACAAATTGTTTCTCGTACAGCGCCTCCCGCACGCGCTGCTGATCACGCTGGTAGCGCACCTCGTCGTGGGAGTAGATTTGGTTGCGCTGGAAGTCACGCTGGAAGTACCGCTCGCGCGCCACGTACTTCGTGAAGTTGTTCCACGCCACCATCACCCCAAAGCACGCCCAGAACGACCACCGCACCGAGGAGCCGGTCTTGTTGAGGAAGCGGGTGTACAGGAAGTTCGCAAAGGCGGCACCAAAAATACTCGTGACGAGGACCGGCGTGCAGCGCGCGTTCGTGTTGAGCACCGTGTTCAGGTTCCAGTGGGACTCACCGTCCGCCGGCTTGAACACGCGCTCGACGACACCCACGTTGGGCACCTCGTTGTTTTCTAAAAAGAAGTCAAACTGGCGGAAGTTGGGCGTAAAGTTGTTGTCCACCATCGCCGTCGGCACGGAGCCGTGCCAGTTAAACGACGTCGGGCCAAAGCCCTTGCCGATGTTCGACTGCCCCTGTCCTCCGAGACCACCCGACATGGCTACAGAAGTGCGTGTAGGGAAGGGAGAGGGAGAGAGGGGTACAAACACACAACCGAGGCGGCTACACGACGCAAAGCAGCGACCCTCGGTACGCCAGATCCAAGCAGCAGAAGCGTAGAATGATTCCTACGTACCAGCAGCACTGACCGTTGAACTGTGGTCGGCAAAGACGAAGCAGAAGAAAACCGAAAAGTCAACAGCGTACTATCTACTACGGATAATGAAAACAATGTATTACGTGTTCTCGTGACTATTGAGCTCACCTGCGTATGGACACAGTATGAGTCGAGGAATAAAGCTTCCCAGGTACACACACACACACAAACAAGGTTAAGACTCGAGCCTCCTCTAGTTCAAAGAGCTGGCTAGAGGTGGAAAAAACCTAATGTTGCCTTTGTGACGAGTTGCACGGTACACAAAGATCTGATTAGGAAGAAAGAAGGCAAAGAGTGGATACGAAGAAGTGGGTTTTTTGATGCAACACTAGTGAGGTAAGAAACGTTAACAGTCGCATCCAGATGTTTGTTGACAAGCTTCTTGGAGCGGCTTGTCGCCAATGCGCATTGTGGTCCACCGCGTCGTCATCAGCGACGCTTTGTTGTGCACTTGCATTCTAGCCCAGAAACAGCTTTTGCCTTTTTTTTAAACTTTGAATTTGGTTGGAAAGGATCGGACAGTGCGATCGGTGTTGACCATGTACATAAGAGTGCCTTCGAGCACAACTAAGGAGCCCAAACTCGCTCACATAGAAAGGCAAATATTTAAAACGAAACAAATAGAAGCGTCACAGCGCTACATCTACATCTTGTCTTGAATGACCGCAAAAGAAGAAAACCCTCGACGACTTATTGCTCATTCTCCAAAAAAAAAAATGCGAAAGTAACACAGTAAGAGCAGAGGCACAGAACACACACACACACACGACTGCTGTGGTGCGAGTCAGAAGAGACACATTTGAGCACCGCCGGGTAAAGGAATCACGACGACGCGGTGCGTGACTGCGTGGTGGACATCGTCTGCGCAACGAGTCGCGGCGGTGCGCGCAGCTCGTAATTGACGTCGCTGTTCATGTACTGGCGGATCAAATCACGCAGCTCGTCGTTCTGCGCGCGCATCGTGTCCGTCTCGCTGATGAGCTGCTTGCGTTGCTGCAGCTGCGCAAGATACTGACTAAGACCGTCTTCTAGCGCCTCCCACAACTGCAGGTGGTCCGTCGACACGGTGGCGGCCATGTTGCGCCAGTACTCCTTCTCCGCTTCGCGTTGGCGCATCTCGGGTGACGTCTTCGCCATGGACTGCTTCAGCGAGCTTCCTGTCGCCTCCTTCGCTTTCGCCTCGGCAGCAGCGCGGTCGCTCAGGAAGGCCTTCAGGGCCTTGAGCGCCTCTTGCGGGTTGATGAGCGCCAGTGTCTCATCCTCGTGCTCCACCAGGAAGTACGCCAGCATATCCTCCACGTCACTTGTTTTGTTGAGCTGCAGAGTGGTCAAGATGCCCTCGACGTTGGCCTGCTCCTCCGTCGTGCCCTCCACCGCGCGAATCGCCTCCCGCACGTTGGCGTCCACGAGGAACGGCGCCTGCGACTTCAATATCGCACACAGCATCTGCGCCGCCTCCGACAGGTTCACGTCGACGGCCTGCTGGGCCTCCTGGTCGTCTGCCGCCTCCTTCGGCGCCTCGACCTCCATCTCCTCTCGTGGCCAGAAATGCAGTGCTGGGGGCTGCCAGGGCATGCGCAGCAGCTCCTCGTAGACGACGCGGTCCGCCTGAAGGGACTCCTGTGCGAGCGCTTGGCACTTGTCGTGGTGCATCTTCCAGAGTTGACTGTACTTCTTCTTGTCCTTCTTCTCAAAGGTGGCAAACTTTCCCTGCGTGTCGGTGTACTGCTGATCGGCGCGGTGCAGCTGGGTGGTGAGCTCCGTGTTGGTGCGCTGAAAGCGCTTCTCGGCGTCTTGGTAGCGGGCGAGCAACGTGGCGAGGGTCTCCTGCAGCCGCGCGATCATCTTTTTGTACTGCGCCTGCGCACTACGGTTCTCCTTCACCCGCTCACGCAGCACCTGGAGGTTGTACGTGAGCCGCTCGCCGTTGAGGAGGTAATCAGCCTTGGACTTCTCCAGCTCGGCGCGGAGCCCATGCACGTCGGATTTGTGTTCCCGCTTCGCATCGTTGAAGTCCTCGTAGCCCGTCTCGTATCTCTCCTCCAGCTGCGCCTGCGCCTCCGACAGCTTTTGCTCCCTGCGCTTCCGGTACTCCGTTTCCTTCGTGCGGCGCGTCTTTACCAGCTCCTTGACCTCCTCCGCACACCGGTTCAGGAACTCCTTCCGTTCTGCTTCATACATCGTCTCCAGCTCCGCCTCCTTCGCCACGTACTGCTGCAAATAGCGGTCCGTGCTCGTGTGCATCGCGTCGACCAGTTGGTTCACCTGCATCTTGTTCTTCTGCAGCAGCGTCACGTACTCCGTCTCGCGCTCGTGCAGCTGACTGCGCAGCTCGCGGAGGAGTTTCTCCTTGACGTCGACGAGCGCGGCACAGTCTCGCTGCTGCGCCTCCAGCGCGGTGTGGAGGTCGTGTGGGACGCCGATGCGGTAGAGCGCCTCGAAGTGGAAGTTGAGGGCCGCGTGCTGCGCCTCTACTCCGTCACTCTCCTGCAGTCCCGTCAGCTGCGCGTGGGCCTCTTCGGCGCGCTGCCTTCGCCCCGCTTCATCGGCCTCCGCAGCGACGCGCGTGCCGGTCGCGGCGGACAAATTGGCGTGGCGCACGGCGGCCATTTCGTAGCGCACATCAGACGCGCGCTGATCCACGGCGGAGTGCGCCAACGTCGCGTCAGAGGAGCCAACGGCAGCGTCGTCATCGTTGCCGCGGCCGTCTTTGCGCTTTTCGATGCGGGTCCGCTGCGCCCGGATGCGCTCCTCCTGGTTCGCGGTGATGTCGCTCATGTTTTTGTTTATTCCTTTTATTGTGAGGGGAGGGGGGGGACGGCGGGTAGCTCAAGCTACGAAAATCAACAACAGGAAGAAAAATTGAAGAAAAGAAATATCCGCCTCTGAAGAGACGATGACGTGCAGCCCGCAGATGCGATCTTTCTTCCGTTTCACACGTGGACTGACGAGGAGGGAGGAGGACGAGCAAAGGAGGCAAACGGAAGAGGGAGAGGATGAAGTGAGGGGAAAAAAAGAAGAAAGGAGAGAAGTCCAAATATGCGAAGACCACTCCCTTGAACTTCGCAGTTGTCGCAAGAGACGTCCTGCTTTGCGTAGGACGCAACAAAAGTATCCGCCCTCGTCGAGCGCGCGGCGTAAAAGTTACACTGGCAGCCATCATTTCTCAAATAATAATAAAAAGAATACCTAGCGTTTCAGGTGGGTTGCAGTACCGCGCCGTCTTCACCGTGGAACAACTACAGCAATATTCGCCGTTCATACGGTGGGGAAGCTCAGTTTGCCCTTTCTTGCCCGCTTCCTTTTCTTTGTTTGTATTGTAGAAAAACGTACCAGAATGCACGGATGTATGACGAAGATATAGAGAAAGACAGAGATACCCAATAGTATCGTCGCTTCAACATGTGGAGTTGGAAAAGGTCAAAGGAACACGGCCAGCGTGAAAGAAAGTGACCACGCGCTTCTCTGGCGATGTCGTCATTATATATATACATATATTTCCTTCACCACGCGTGTACAGCACCAGCCGAAGAAGCACAATATCAACGTACTAACAGTAAAAAAAAAACAACGCCAAAAGTTAACGTCAGCTCAACACTATCAACACAGCCACCGAGCAAAAACAAAAAGACAAAGAAACACGTGACGCAACGCATTCCAGAGTGGATAAATGATCACACGTAAGAACACGCACATCATCACACAACAAGCGCGTAACAAAGCACAAAGAGAGAAGAAAAAAAACCGAGTGCTGAGGGAGTCAAGACGCCAAAATAGCACTCCTCTCTCTTCTCTCTTTTGCATTTTATATATCTTTAAAAAATACTGCGTACTTTTCTATTTGAACTCGAACACATAAAATACACGAGGGGAAAAAGCAAAACGAGGAACAAAGCGTGTCCAACACACGACAGATTATCTATACATCTTTCGCCGCGGAGACGGTGGCTGACGTCAACCTAATGGCCTCCACAAACCACGGACAGCGTACGAATGCCGAAGAAGCCTTAAAACGACAACGTTCGAATGCGGTTTTGGTTTTTGCGCTTTTCTCCTTTTTTTCTCGCTGGATTGGAAGTGCGCGTCGAAGTAAAAAAACAAATGTGCTCTTTCCTTGCGTTCAAAGCTTTCCGCATTCTATGGACAATCGCGGAGTTACGTCGTCACTCGTTTGCTGTTATCAATTTGTGTGTGTGTGTGTGCATGTGTGTTTGCGAGCATCATGTACTGTGCGCCATGACCGTGGCAGCCAGTGTGAAGACGCGTCCTCGCTCGCTCATTGCACTTTTTCTCTCTCACACATTCAGCGCAACAAGAAGAAGTGAACAAAAAAAAAACGCATTTCTATACACCACGCAGCAGCGCCCTCACAAGGAGCAAAAGAAGGGGAAAGGAAAAAATGGAAATCAGCACTGCGGAATTCTATTCGGTTGCCGTCACTCCTCTACCGAGGCCCCGCCGCCAAACAGCTGGACGCCGAGGGAGAGATCACGCGTGTAGGAGGACAGTCCCCCGCGCATCTCGTACAAGGAGCCGCTCTGCAACGTTGAGCTCGTGTACGGCGACGCAGACAGGCCCAACTCGCTGTCCCGATGGCTCTTGGCGGGCGTCTCTTCCACGTAGTTCTTCGCCGGCGTCACCACGTCGAACATGCTCAGCACGTATTGGCCCAGCTCCGTGTCGCCGCAGTTCGCCAGGCGCTGGAGCACGGGCGGCAGGTGCGCGTTTGCCTTCACGACCAGCGCCGCATGCGGGACCTGCTCCAGCGACGTGTAGCGGACCAACTCATCTATCATGCGCACGATTACCGCTGCATTGGGCGGCACGCGCAGCAGCACCCGTCCGAGGGCGTTGAGAGCCTGCGGGATCTGCATTAACGGCGCGAGGGTCAGCACTTTCTCCGGCAGCTGCGCCTCGAGCACTCGCAGGGCCGCCGTCAGTGGGATGGAAGGCAATGAGTTGGACCGACCTGCAGGACGGTCGAGCTCGCCGCCGCAGTGTGTGCAGCTGCAGTGGAAGTAGGCGTATTGCGGCCGCTCCGCCACGTCGCACGCGCTCGGCGGGTGGTGCGCCGCGCAGAAGGCACACAGGGGAACAAAGGCACCGCTGGGCAGGCGGTAGGTGTGGAGAAGTTGATAGGGCGTCGTGGTGGTGCCCGGCGCAGCACTCGCAGCGGCAGAGACAGCGCTACACACGTGCAGCTGCGGCTGCGGCATCTCGGCCCCCGCACATTTTGCCCCGCGGTAGCGCGGGTCATTAAAGGCCAGCTCGTAGAAGCAGTCCATGGCGGCGACGTACGCCGCCGGGCTCTGCGTCTGTGTCAACATGTCTAAAAGACTGTGGAGAAGTACCACAGTCGTGAGGGCGATGTTGGCTGGCGACTGCGTGGCGAGGTGCTGCACGACGCGGTAGACCGCCATCTGCGACTCCGCAAGCGGTGCAGTCGCGGCCAGGTTGCCAACGACCTCGAGTGCGTCGATGTCGAGAAAAGTGTTTTGCACGCGGTGCAGGTCGACCTCTGCGAAGGTCGCTAGGGCCTCGCAGAACACCTTAGAGAGCGACGGCGAGGCGCTGCTACACAGCTGGTCGCGGATCGGCTGCAGAACGCAGAGGTCCAGGCGGGTGTCCTTGATGCACTGCTGTAGCAGCTTCCCGCCCATGTCGGACATGTAAAGAAAGAGCCGGCAGAGGCGCTGCTTCTCCGTGATGACGCTGGAGTGGTAGATGGTGACCGCCGGTGCGGTGAGCACAGGTGGCTGGTCCAACGGCTCCTCGCGCAGCAGCAGACGCAGGCGGTCCAGCGTGGCGAGGGAGCGCACCACAAGATCGACAAACGACGAAGACAGGCGCACCTTCCAGTTGCACGTGAGACAGTAGGCCACGTAGAGGCAGCGCGCGAGGACATCGCCAAAGAGCGGCGTCATCGTGCTGTCGGAGAGGCGAAAATCAAACTGCATGTCCTCCTGGTTCATCCGCTCCGACAACTTGGTGTGCACAAACTGCAAGATAAAGTAGGTGTACTCGACAACAGGCAGCGGGTCGGGCGCCACGCGGAACGACCGCAGCGGCACCTCCACTGTCGACAGCAGCGGGTACATAACGAGCGCACTCATCACGATCCCGTATGCGACGTTGTCATCCATCGTTTCCATACAGTCCAGCAGCAAATTCCTCAGCACCTCGAACTGCACCGCGCCGCTCGCGATGTCGTCGCCCAGCTTGCGATTGTTAAAGTGCACCTCCGTTAAGAGCTGCATGCTGGGGCTGGTGTGCGGGTGCACGCAGACGACGTGCGACTTCTTGATCCATCCACCGGAGGCAATGCGGAAGTACAACTGCGTCGGGTCGGCCTCATCAGCCGCCGAGCTCAGCACCCGCATGAGCCGGCCACCGTAGAGCATCGAGAGACAGTAGCTGCCCGGGCGTGGGCGGGTGCGAATGGCGGCATCGGTGTCGTCGTAATCCAGCATCGGGTTCCGTATCATCACCTGTGGTTCCTCCAGCAGCTCTTCCTTCACGTTGAAACACTTTTCGCACAGGAGGAACTCGCACGGGGCGGCCACGCAGCCAAACCAACGCACATCTGAACCGTCGGAGAGCGCCTTGCAGACAGAGCAGGCCCGCCCGCTCGGGGCGGCGGTGAGCTGCTCGAAGCCGTGGCAAGGGTGGGAGCCGTGCCGGTACACCATTGTGTGTGTGTGTGTGTGTGTGTGTGTGTGTGTGTGCGGAGTAGTAGTAGTATTCGTGGTAGTGGTAGGAGGACCTACACGACGCGTATAAGCGTGTATGTGTGGGATGAGGCAGATAAAAAGCACAAAACAATACTCCAAGCTTCGCGAGTTAGGCAACTCTTTTGTTATTAAAGAGAAGATAACCTTTGCTGCAGAGGTGTGGCCAACTTGAAGTTCCGTAATAGCGCAGAAAAACCAACAACCGTCAGTGCGGATGTGTTCGTGTGAGAAAGGATGAAGAAGGCAGAAACAAAAAAATAACACGAAAAGCTATAAAAATGCAAACAGAAGCCAAAGACACGGAGAACCACGCACGCTAGGAGTCCACTGGGAAAACGAGAGACAAAGGAAGTAGAAAAAGAAGGTACTTTCACCACGCAAGAACCGTTTAAATGTATGAGCCTCGAAGAGACGGAAGGAAGAAGGGAAAAAAAGGAAAAACTCAAGAGAAAGCGCTTCACGTTTCAAAAACAACGCAAAGAGAAAAGAAGGTGAGAAACCCCAGCTGTAAGTGTAGTAAAACCTGTGCACACAACCAAAAAGAAAAACGACCTGCTCTTGTATTCTTCGTAGCCGCGTTGACACTGGAGAAACGAAAGAGCGAGGAGGCTTGGATAACAAAATATTAGAAAAAAACAATCAAAGTAGGATCTATGAACTTCAAAAACCTGTTCCTTCTCTTATGCTTGACAATGGAGTATTACGATTTTATTTTAGAAATAGCGTTCCCCTATTGTCGTTTACGGCCTTCACAACTCAGTTGCTTTTCCTTTTGGGATGATGTAAAGTGAGGAGTCAGTTGCGTGTGAAAATACACGCTGTTAGACTGAAAAAGAGGAACACACACGAAGGTGAAACTTGAAAAAGTGGGTAATGCTCGTCACGTCTCACGCGCACAGACAAACAATTCTCTCCGTCCGCGTACCAATGTCTGTGTCAGTGTGTGTATGGGGATGTGATCTGAGTGCCACTTAGTGATGAGAAAAAAAAAAACAGAAGAAATATGTTGCAAGAAGAAGTTCTATAAGCGGTGCGGTAAACAGGAAAAAGTAAAAGAAAAAGGGTTCTCCGGCACACAGAGCACAGGCGGATTATCTGACACCAGCTTTGCTTGTGAGGAGGTTTTCTTTCCCTGCTGTTTGTCTGTCCTTGTGATGAGTCTGTACTTCTGCTTGTTGCTTCTTGTTCTCCCGTTTTCACCTCTATTACACTTCTAAAAGGGTGTGGCGAGCTAACGCGACACCGCAAAAAACGGATAAAGAAGGAAGAATATGTGTGTCGACAAAGGGAGCTACGTTGCACCAGCAAACGTTGATGGCGGCAAGTGAAGAAAACGAAAGCACACGTGTGGAGTCTCTACGATTCGCGTACGTCGTCGAACTTTGTTCTTGTGCTTTGTCAGCGCACCATGTGGTTCTCTTCGTTCTATGATCTTTGTGGTTTCTTTTAAATTTTGAGGAGCCACGTTACGTAGTATTGTCTAGCCTGATTGACGACGCACTTACTTTTCTTTTATTTTGCAGCGGTTGTTATTGACGCTCTCTGCTTTTATGCACTCACCGCTGTATTCCTTCGGCTCTTAGACGCCCGACGTCTCGCACGTATTTGCAAAAAGAAAAAGAAGGCAATGTATGTACGCTGAGTGTCTCCCGTCAACCTTTCAAGACAGTACGATGCGTCTCTCACACCGGGTCCAGCGAGCAAGGGTACTGAAAAGAAAAATATATGAATATAAGATGGAGGAGCGCGTCGGCTGTCACTTCTACAAGAGCGCAAACGTGTACGTTAGAGACGAGTGTTCAAAAAGAGGGGGGTAAGGGAGGAGGGAGAAAGAAAAGAAAGAAGAAACGAATATATATGGAGAGAGAGAGTTCGGCAGATGCACGTCGAGAGGCGCAGTTAACAACTCCCTTCGCGTTACAACAGTATATGAGATCATGAGCGAGGGTGTGACGGGATAGGCAATGTAGTTTTTATTATTATTATGAACAGGGTAAAGAGTGAGGGATGGATCACGAGAGGAGGAGGAGAGACGATGACGCGACAGTAGATGAGTCCTTGAGCCGAAAGAAAAAGAAAAGAAATTCGAATATACGTGTCTATGTGCCAAATTGCAGCGCTTTACCAGAGAGAAAAGACCCAGGTTGATTGAGTGAAGCAGGAAATTCAGTTTTTGCTTTCTCGCGCCCGAGCGGGCACACCTGCTGCGGCGAAACCGACAAGTCCATTTGCAAGTTGTCCGTTTTCTGCTGTCTTTTTTAAAGAAGATGAAGGAGCGCATCATCTTTTAGGATGGACATACTCGTTTGCATAAGGGAGTGAGAGAGAGGAGCAGGAAAACAAAAACAAAAACGAGCTTCTTCAGCCACTCGTGCTCTGCGTGATGTCCGAAAACTCCTTTGCGCCTTCGTAGGTGAAGCCGAACGCGCAGCCGCCCACCACGCCCACCAGAAGGTTGCCGCCCAGTCCCTTCCACAACGCCCGCGCGCCCTCATTCCTCAGCACATCGCTCATAATGTACCACAGCGGAAAGCGCACCCCCACAATTCGCTTCCCAACCTGCAGTCGCAGCCGGAGCACGTAAATTGGGTTCATGACGACCCCAATCACCATACTCGCCGCCGCCCCCACGCCGGCGTTCACGAGAACGTTGTCCGTCGTGGAGGTGCAGTGGTGCGGCAGGCACTGCTGAAGTGTTTGCGGCACCACGGCCGAGAGACGGGCGCCGACGCCCGGCGCGACACCGTAGGCCATTCGCTTGAAGGACTCGTACACAAACCACCACGCCCCCGTTAGCGGTGCCACCACCATCGTCAGCACGGTGCCGCGCAGCAGGCAGCTCACCCCCTGCTCTCGCACCAGGGTGACCGTGGTGCCCCACGCAGACATGTAATTGTGCCCCTGCGCAGAGAAGGAGCAGCCGGCGACCATCTGCACCTGCGAAATCACCGCGAACGGATTGAAGACGGGCGTCGAGCCGAGATCGGCCAACAGGCCCGCACCGAAGCTGCGCCACTCGCGCTCCTGCAGTGGCAACTTCTCCTTCCAGTACTCCACCACAAAGTAGTAGACGAGCTCGCTCAGCACCGTGCCGGTGATGGCGGCACCGGCACCGCGGTACAGTCCACGCAGCCCGTGTGTCTGCATAACATCCCGTAGCACCTTTCTCGCGGAGACGTGCGTGGTACTGCACTGCTGGCGTGCAATAATGAGAAAGAGCGGCTGACCGAAGAAGCTGTAGGTAAAGGAGGTGGCGGCGAACGTCATCATCAGCTTGCGCGGGTCCACGTCTGACCAAGACCGCGTGACGGCAGACGTAAGAGGTGGGGGTGGCATTTCGATGGTGTTGTGCAGTCGGGGCACACCCTCCATTTCTCGCAGGATGCCCTTGGCGGACAGGGGATGCAGCGGCGGCGGGGCGTCGCCATTATCGTTGTTGGCGCCACTCATGTGCGCGTGTCCCGCTGTGGTGTTGGACCAGAAAGAAAAACGAGGAAAAGTTGCTACTGTTCCCCGCGTTGCTCTCTTCCGTTTATGCGCGTGTACGGGTCAGTGCGAGCTACCAGCGTATGCTTCATACATGCCCGTACACATATGCGTGTGTAGATTTGTGAAGATGAAAAGTGGTTCTGCGACGTGAGCAAAACCACCACCTCTCAGGGGAAGAATGACAAACCGTGATCAGCCGCGCCTTCGTGTCGCTAAAAGTCAAAAAAAAAAACAGAAGAGAAACAGAGCTTGACCGATAGTGACTTTGCTGCTTTCATAACGTGCGGATTCACAAGAGCTTTTGCTGTTTAGAACCCTTCCCCGTCGTGTGTTAAACAGTGCTGATTTTTTAAAAAAGCCGTTTCCGCCAAACCAGGATTTCAGCGTTGACCGTCTAGCCGCTCTACTGCTCAGCAAACCACACTGCCCCGTACACAACACACCACTCGTTCTCGTCGTACGTGCTCGTTTGCGACGCGTACCAGAATGGTTGAACGACGCAGCAGTAGCAGCAGCAGCTGCAACCAGCGCAAATCACGTTTTTCGCCCAACTACGTTGCCGTCGTAGCACATGTGGCCTCTGTAGTGGCAGGGCAGCGCAAAGCGAAGCAGCCGTCTCCGATTTAAAAGGAGAGAGAGAGGAAGAGAAATGGCGAAGAATGCAACGAAGGAAATGTATGGGAGAGTATCAAAAAGAAAAGAAGACGATCTAGTAGCGGTAGTTCTATCTAAGATGTGATGGCGTAGAAGGCGAATGAAAAACAAATAAGGCTCGACGTTGTCTCCTTTATCGATCTGTCAAGATCGATAATGGCGGGCGCTCCAAACACACACACAAACAATCGTTTAAGCGACAGTGGGAAGCAAATGAAAAGCGCCTAAAGCGCCGAGTCGCAAACGACAAAGAAAACACGGAGACGCGCAACACCAATCCACCGGCAGAACGAATCACTCCCTCTTTTGGTTCAGTGCAGATGTGCCCGCCCGATGAGAAAACGAGGGTGAAACCAAGCACACATACACACACTCACACACGCGCGCGCACGTCACCTTGGTGATGTACTGAAAACAAAGAAACAACGAGGCAGAGGATGGATAAAGGTGCAGACATAAATTGGATCGGTAGAATTCGCTCGGTGCTACGTGCAACCACGTTGCCAGTGCTCCGACCGTGAACAATCCACTGGGTTTTTTCGATGTCTACGGCGAAGCCGCAGTGGGTCATGACAACACTGACTGTAAAAAAAAAGACACCTAAAGAGTCCCTCGACAACAAAACTTGGTGATGCTTGTCATTGACTACTTTTCTTTTTTATGAGTGCAACGAGAGCAGGTGAGCCATGTGCATGTACTGATACCTCGCTTAAGGAGGAAGCGCGTAGGTGTTGATATCTGTGGCGGCCATCCTTTAAAAAAACAAAAACAGAGTCGTACATTACAATACAATGATGTCCGCCGTGACTTCACGCCCGCTGCCGAAGAACGCCCAGCCAAAGCGGCGCAAATAAAACGCAGTCGCAGCACCCACGGTTCCTACCCAACACAGCAGCACCACGAGCCCCGTCACCACTGCGGGGATGCGCTGTGACGTCACACACAGCGAAACGACACAGGTCACCGCCACCGTCAGAACCGAGCAGCGGATGAGCTCCTCCAAGACTTCCACCGTCGCGGTGTGACGGAAGCAGGCAAAAGCAAAGAGACCCGAAAAGAGCACGGCGACGGCGAGGTCCGCCGCGATGGGGTCCACCAGCGTCACCATCGCCGCCGTCACCTTCAGCGTCCAGACAAGAAGCTCACAGAAAAGCCCATCCACCCGTGGCTCCAGTGCGTAGTAGCCGATCGGTCCACCGCCTAAGAAACGCACGTACCCCAGCCCCACATCCAAGCCAATGTAAGCAACCGCAATGAAAAGCCACACCACGCAACCTCCCAATAAACTGAGCCCTGTGCGACAAGCAGCAGAGTCAGCGGAGAGGCCGAAGCGACCAAGCGGCCCATTACACTGCAGCGCACGACCGCAAAGAAAGAGAGTCAGCAGCAGCAGCGTAAGCGGAAGCCACGAGACGAGTCGAATCCACACCCGCAAGCGATTCTGCCACTCCGCCACGTAGAGCGCGTTACGGCCGCCAAGGGGGAGCATCACAAGAGCGCCGCAGATGCACATCACCGCGCCGCACAGCAGCAGCCCAATGGGTGCGGCGAAAAAGATGCTCCACGGACTCCTTGACAGGCTGAACATGGCAAAACCGTAGACGTACTTCTCGCACGTGTAGTGGGTAAAGAGGTACATATAGAGCGGCAGGCCCATCGTTACCACGGCGAGCGTCATGACGGCAATCCACGACTGCCGTGTGTTGGGCAGCAGACGCGTCACCACGCCGCTCACGCGGTCGTAGCGGTAGCAGCCGATCTCGCTGAAAAGGAAGGGCGACAACCGGCGCAGAAAACTCGCGAGCAGCACAAGAAGAAAACAGAAGAGCAGCAGTAGCTTGGCGGCGTGTGCGTGGCGCGTGTTGTCGTTGATGCAGAGGATGACGGCGTAGAGGAGCACGGCCAGGCCCTGTAAGGCGAAGGGAAGCCATGTCTGCACGTAGCGAAAGACTTTGGCTGGCACGGGGGTCACCACAGCCGTGTCGGGGGAGACGCTGTCAAAGGTCACCATGCCAGTCGTCGGCTCCGTTTCCACCTTTGTCTACCGGAGTGGGGGGAGGGGGTGCGCGTGATCGCCGCCGGAAGAGGCGGTAATACTTTCACTGAAACCACAACAAGTATACAACAGTGTTCCTAGACGACGACAGAAGAAAAGAAAAAGACATGAAAGTCAACGAGGACCAAATGAGCAGACAAAGCCAAAGTTGTGAGAATCCGTAGCGACCCAGTTGAGGCTAAGCAGCAACAGCAACGAAAATAATAAAGCCCACGTCGGCCAGACCTTCGGCGCTACGTCAGCGGAAGAGTGAGCTCGCGTGCTTAGAAGAGACGCGAAAACGGCACCGTTTGCACGCGCAGCGATATGCAACGAAAGAGAAGCATGAAAGCGAGGAAAAGTTGAGTGGCAACCAAAAGAAAGTGCTTCGATAAATGAAAAGGGAGTGTTTGAGGTGACAGAGCTCAGTGGGAAAGATATGACGAGCAGCGCTGATGTTTCGCACCTAGCGAAGTGTGCTCCACACAAACCAATACGCACCGCTTTTAATGAGGCGGTGACGAGACATTGTGAGAAAGGAGTTCGTTTGAGCTGGATCGTTTATGGTGTGGTTTATCTGGTTCTATCCAACTCCTGTCGAATCACCGCAGGCATCCGCACACGTGCATCAAGGAGAGTGCGGTTGCGATAAAGCGTGGGACAGCCTTACGCCAACAACGCTGCCGCCTCATAAGAGAGGAGACAACCAATACTACTACTAATAATAATAAAAGAGCAGGTGACCTCACTTTTCTTTCTTCTCTCTTTCCACAGCGTACGTGATCTATATAGTAGTTAGTCCCAAACGTAAGTGCCTTGCTCCGTTACCCGACGCTTCAGCAACCCCGCCTCCCTTAACCGCTTAAACGCAGATGGCGCCCTCCGCTGCATGTTCGCCGGCAGATCCGCAATGTAGCGTTGAATGTCCTGCCCAGGAAACGCCTCCACCAGTCCAACGATGGCGTTCTCTAGTTCCTCCGACGCCATCACCTCCGCCTCCTCCGTGCCTTCCTGTTTGTCAGATGACGACCAAGACGACGTCGCCGCGATTGGGCAGTCACTCGTTGGCTCACCGAATGGCATCGTTGGAGCAACTGGCGCCGTCGGCGGGTGTGGTCGCCGCAGAAGCGACAAATCCTCCTCGTCCGCGTTGTGCTGACGCACGTTGTGGCGCCGCGGCGTCGCGAAGAGCGGGTACCACCGCGGCGGTGCGTCGGCCCCATCTGCGCGGTCGATGTCCACCTTGCCGCCACGCTTCAGCACGCTCCAGAGCATGTGATTCACCTGCATCACGTTCTCCTTGCCATAGTAGCGGTTGGCGTAGTAGGCGGCGGTCATGCCGGGATCGTTGCGGACTGTATTGAGGACATTGACGGGGGAGAGCGGACGTGTAGCCGCCGCCCAGCGCACAAGCGATGTACGCATTACACCGACAGAGACGCAATGTGATAGCAGTGTTTTTTTTTTTAGATGGAAGGATCCTCTGAATTGCAAGATGATTTGTTCAGCACTCTTCGTAGATGCATGCGGAGGATTCACGGCTTAGGGATAGGTAAGGGCGAGACCAAAAGCAGAGAGGATTGCGAGGCGCAACATTGCTTCGTCAACGGAGAGTTGCCGCTACAAACAATAACAATAATGAGAACAGGATTTCGCACTTCTCTTTTAATTTGTCATTGCGATGTCACGTTGCATCTGAGTCCTCTCTTTCTTCACTGTCGGGCACGGAGTGCAAAGACATGCTCGACGTTTCTTCCAAAAAAAAAGCAACGAAATATTGATTTCTGCGCTGCGTCTCTTCTTCCATTTTTAAAAACCAAGAAGACTGCGACAGCGGCAATAGCAGCAATCAACGACAACACGAAAAGCTGACACGTCCTCCTTTCAGTTCAAGTCGAGTCGTTGTTTGTGAGTTTGGATGCTGTGCACGCGTTTCTCATCTTTCTTCTCTCACAGTACATTGGCAACGTCACACATCAATATATATATATATATATATCTTTTTCAAATTTCTAAAACAGCGAAGGAGGCGACAACGCAGATACGAACGCGACATACAAAGAAAAAAGCAAGACATTCTCATGCGAGGAAACAAAAACAAAAAGGTCCACACAAAAAGCGGAGCCCTCGTAAAACACGCAAATAATATTAACACCCGCCAGCGATTGTGTCAGGGAGATGATGAACAAAAATCGTACAGTAAAAGCAATGAAATAATGGTAGAGGCTACAACTCACAGATGCATCGTCTCAGCATGAAGAACAGCAACGTCAAGGAGTAGTTCATCCAGCCAAGTCAGGCAACGAAGAAACAGTGTTCTTATCATTACCACGGAGAAGCTGCAGCTGCGGCCGACAAGGCATGATCGACCTTATGGGGCATCCTTTCATTGATAGTACACGGCTACGCTCTCGACGCAGGGGGGGGGGAAGGGAGAACACCTACTAATGATAAGCCAGCAGAACGAAAACACAAGTCGTTGCACTTTCCTGTAGGCTAGGAGAGAAAAACTGACCTACATCTCCGTGTTTCTTGCGCCTTCCCTCTTAAAGTAGGAAACGTCAGCGCTTCTGTGCGCGACTCTATGCGTTAACTGTAAACTTAGCGGCGGGCCGGCCCGGAGCGCTTGATCTGCTCGGTTACCAAATCCAGTCGTGCGCGAACCGCGCTGTAGCGATACTGCGCTTGCTCCCGCACCACCTCCGGCGGCGACGCGCGGAACGGCAGCACTAACACACTCACCAGCTTATACTCTAAGTTCTCTACAAACTCCAAATTTGCAGTGCCGTCATCGCCGAGGAGCAGCGCGGCGATAAAGCGGCCAGGCTCGCGGATGCAGCGGTTAAACATCTTTAGCAACGTCATGAGAAACTCTGAAAACTCGCAGACCAAATTCTGGTCTTCCCGCAAGCGCAGGAAACCCTGGTCGTTGATGATGCACGTGTAGTGGAAGAAGATGTCCGACTCGGTTGTCACCTCCACGCGCAGGCTGGCCAGATTGCGCTCCTCCCCCGTGGTCAACACCTTGATCTTCATCGGCTCAAGCGAGCCGGCAGAGGACTCGACACCGCGCATGGCCCGCAGCTCGCACGGCACCTCGCGATCATACACCAACCGGGAGCCATCTGCTAACGACGGGTCCGCCTGCTGAATCGCGACGAAGTCCTGCTCCAGCTGAGAAAGTAAATCCGTCATGGTGCAGCGTGGTCGACGGGCTTTGATGGGAATTGAAAGAAAAACGCTGTATCCCGACGAACGGCTGGCTCTTTCTTTTTCTTTTTGACGGTGTCGTGGCAGCTGCGCTGCACTCAAGAGTCCCACAACGCACCCTTCGTGGATTTCTTTCTCCCTTCACGCCGTGGCACCTCAACAACAGCACGCAATTCAATAATCAGCGCGTATTGAAGTGCCGGCTTTTAGCCCTCTATTGAAATAAAACAGATTGGTAAAGAGAGAAAAAAAGCTATCGCGAGATCTATGTATTAGAAACAGCGTCACAGCATGCGCGAAGCAGCGTAAGTGTAACGGGGGATTTGAAGTCGGCAGCAAACGAACACACCGGGAAAAAACAACAACACCGTAGTGGTAATACTAATATGTATGGGTGAGTGGAGGAGAGAGGGACCTCGTACGCGAACCAAGAGAGAAGAGAAAACGCACCGTTCCTGAGTAGCACAGTCGTTTGTGGTTTGGGGTAGAAGTCAGGCGAAAAAGAAAAAGGGGAGGTTGTTGTGTAAGACAAAAAAAAGTGAGCAGAGGAAGCAAAGCACCGTTCGCCTGCCTGCCAATTCACAGAACTCATTTTCACGGAGGCGAGAAGCTGCACTCTTACGCATTCAATCTTCCTTCTGCTAAGCGCGAGAGAGGAACTTACGACATCTCTAACTCAAAAAGACTTTGTTGTTTGCCGACTTGAGAGCACACGCCGAAACACCGCATGCGGCATCTTTCCATGGCACCAGTTCGGTAGATTAGTACAAGCAGAGCTGCTTGAAAACAGATAAAAATAAAGTGTGATATGGCGTCGTGCTGAACAGTCAACAGAGCGCCAAGCAGTACCCATCAACAACAGCTGTTTTCGCACGCCAATAAACAGGGAGAAACACCAAATAGGAAGGGAAAAAAACCGTTGCGCGCTCGACGGTGCATTCGGTTTAAGTACAAACTCGCACGAGAAAGCCTCACAGCCGGTAGCCCTTGTGTGCCCCCTCGTTCTTCTTGTTGAAGTACACCTCCTCCACCATCTCTCGCTGGCGTGCGCAGTCGATGCAGACGCCGTTGCCCTGCTTCTGGCGGTCGGAGTTCCACTTGAACGTGTAGGCGATGCCGCTCACCGCGAAGAGAAGGGTGATGGGGAGGACAAAGTTGAACCACTTCGGTAGCAGACGCCGGCGGGAGCCCATCGCCACCATCCGCGGAGACGCCGCCTGAGGGTTGGGACCGGCGTTCAGACCAGGAATTTTCATTGCAGAAAACAAGCAATAACAACGAAGAAAAGAAACCTGCGAGAGGTTATCGCGTGAGGGAATACGGTGCTTTAAGCGCAAGAAAGTCCTGCTTCCCGTTCTTATGTTTACTGTGCTTAATAAGGTACGGTTCTTGTACCCCTCGTCTCCTTATTGTTTTTCTTCTTCTTTACTATTGTTCTATTAGCAACAAAAGAAAGTGGCAGTGCACCCGCTTGAAGTTTAGAGAGGCGCAGCGAAGAGAAACCGCAGAAAAGAGCTGAGAGAAAAGAAGGGAGAAAATGAGTGAAGTGCGTGCTTAGCAGACGAATCGAGGCATTCATTGTTCAGCAACAACAGAAAGTTGGGAGAGCATGGCTCTCTGATGGTTACACTACGCGCCTGACACGGGTGACGCACAGGGTACACATCAAAGGCGTGAAATCAGCTATCACGGATAGAAGAGAGAGAGCCAGATGCGTTTTCAGGTGTGTTTTTTTCCTCACATCGTCGCACCACATGGTAGCGTGTGAAGCCGATCTGCGCCCACAGATACGCCAGTCGCTTTACTTTTCTCCTTTTTGAAGCGCATTAGCGACTTTGTTTTCTCCTTTGCTTTCCTTTTATTGTTCTACCGTTTGAAGCACGCCATAAGTGATGAGGAAGAATACTTAAGGATGTCAACGCCCCCCAACAGCGACTGGCTACGAAACAGAGGGGCAGAGAAGAGAGAGTGTATAAATATAAAACGACTCTTTGTTTCGTACAAGCCATAAAGCACTTTCTGCCAATCCGTCTGTATTCTCTCCGTCTTTGACCGACGCGAATACATATATATATATATATATATATATAATTAATTAAATGAAAACAATGAAAAAAAGAACAAATCAAGAATTATTTTTTTCTTTTAACTGGCTGCTCAGAGGAAGTAGACGGCAGTTAAGTTATGATTCAACGCAGTTACCACGACTCATCGCTGCGTTGCTTATTAGGCAAACTGTTCAGCCTGCACAACCACGATTGTGAAGTGCGTGACACAACAGCAAAAAGATGACCAACGCTCTCACTTGAAATTTGTTGCTATTCTGTATGAAGAAGTGACATTCAATGAGGAAGAGCGAATTTCAGTTATAATGTAGTTTTTTTTCTCTGCGAAACCTTTTGATGGGTGAGAGGGCACGTCAACTTCTTGAAGGTGAAAGAAGGAGGGAAAGAAGAGAACAACACAGCGCGAGAAGAACGAAGGCTACGTGACGATAAAGAAAAAAAAGAATCGCTGACACAGGCAAAATCATATATAAGTGTGTGTGTGTGTGTGTGTGTAAACTATCCAGCACCTCGTCTCATAACGAACAACAACGAAGTATTCATAGTTTCCCGCTCTGCTGCTTTTTCCCCTTCTTTCGGTGTTTTCCGTTTTTTTTTTAATAAAGTTACACAGAAAGAAAAAGAAGTCACTTTTCATCTGCACGATGAACACCTGTATCTTTCTTCGCTGTTGCTGATGTTGCTTGTTTGTTTCGACTCGGTGTGCGGCACTTCTGCTCTGCATCTTTCACACCGTTGCGCGGGCGGCTCACTTGACGACGTGGATCAGACTGGGCTCGTAGTCCTCCGGCGCCTCGAAGCCGAGAAGGTTGATGAAAGTGGCCGTGACGTTGGCCAGACCAGCCATCGGCAGATCCGTGCGCATCTCCACGCGAGGGTCCAGACCAGCGCCTCCAATGAACACCGGCACGGGGGCCAACGTGTGCGACGTCAGTGGCAGCACCTTGCCGTTCTCGCCCTTCAGCGGCTTCCCCTTCTTGTCGCGCTGAGCCATATCGTCCGAGTTGCCATGGTCAGCCGTGACAATGAAGATGCCGTTGATGCTGTCAACAGCGGCGGCCAACTTCGCCAGCGACTGGTCGACGGCCTCGACGCCGACGATGGTGGCGGCCAAATCACCGGTGTGGCCCACCATGTCGCCGTTGGGGAAGTTGATGCGCACCACGTCGTACTTGCCGCTCTTGAGGGCCTCGATCGAGGCCTCGGTGATCTCGGCCGACTTCATCTTGGGCTTCTCGTTGAACTGCACCCGGTCGCTCGTGATCTCCTTGAAGGTCTCGTGGGCGTCGTCCAGCTTGCCGCTACGGTTGCCGTTCCAGAAGTAGGTGACGTGACCGAACTTCTGCGTCTCGGAGCAGGCGAAGATGTCCAGGCCGGAGCCGCAGAGGTACTCCTCGCTCACGCGCGTCAGCTTCGGCGGCGGCACCAGGAAGTTGTTCGGGATGCCGAGGTCACCGTCGTAGCGCATCATGCCCGCGTAACGGACCTTCGGCACGCGAATGCGGTCGAATTTGTGGAAGTCCTGATCCTCAAACGCACGCGACATCTCGATCACGCGGTCGCCGCGGAAGTTGAAGCACAGCACGGCGTCGCCGTCCTCGATCGTGCCGCGGGGCTTGTCGTGCTCGTCCACAACAACGAACGGGGGGTAGTACTGGTCCGTCACCTTCTCGTCCTCCTCGTGGAAGGTTGTGATGGCCTCCTTGGCGCTGTGGAAGTGGCGCGCGTCGCCGAGCACCTGCGCCTTCCAGCCACGCTCCACGATGCTCCAGTCGGCCTCGTAGCGGTCCATCGTGACAAACATGCGGCCACCCCCGCTCGCCACCTGCGCGTCGCAGCCCTCCTTGCGCAGCTTCGCCAGCACCTCCTCCAGCTCCTCGGTGAAGCGGAACGACGAGCCGTCCGGCACATCGCGGCCGTCGTAGAGGATGTGCACGCGGATCCGCTTCGCGCCGTCCTTCGCGGCGTGCTGGATGAGCGGGTAGATCTGGTTGTCGCGAGAGTGCACGCCGCCGTCGCTCAGCAGGCCAATGAGGTGCAGGGTGCTGCCCTCGTTGCTGAAGGCGCCGTGGAGGTAGCGGTAGCCCTCGCTCTGGAAGATCTCACCGCTCGCGAGGGCGTCGTCGACGAGGGACGCGCCCTGCAGCGCCACGCGTCCTGCACCGAGGGCGTTGTGGCCGACCTCGCTGTTCCCCATGTCGGCATCCGTGGGCAGGCCGACGGAAGTGCCGTGGGCACGGATGGAGCGGAAGTGCTTCGCGTTCTTGCGCATGGCGTCCATGAAAGGTGTCTTGGCCATGTGCACGGCGTCATATTCGTCCTCCGGGCCGATGCCGACGCCGTCCATCACCACCAGCAGCACCTTGCGGCGAGGCAGATCGTTGTGCGTCTGCAGAGTGAGCTTCGACATGATTGTAGGAGTTGTTCTTTTTTTTTTTTTGATGGAGTGGTGCAAAAAAGTCAGTGGGTGTGTTGGAGAGACGTCCGCCGACAATCGTGGTTATCCAGCAAACGAACAAACAGACACGAACTTTTCTTATAGAGAGAAAATGGGAGTATAAACAGCGAAAGATTGCGAGCGGTGTAATCACGAGGGAGCAAAACTAGAAACGTGAACGCAGATGGAAACCGGAGAAAAAAAAGCAGGGAAACATCAGAAGGAGTAGAAGGAAAGGAAAGAAGAGAAACTGATGAGCACCGACGAACAGAACAGGTGGATGTATAGCGCTTCCGTAGAAAACGAAAACAAACGAATGATTTGCGCAATGAGTATCGGACCACGATGGGCATTGGGGAACGGCTCTACCACGTAAAATGTGACACTTTGGATCTGAACGAGGAACACAGCCGAAGCTTTCAACGGGATCTCTGTGTGCAGACTTCTTGAGTATAGGCCTGTGCAATTGATGAACACTCGTAACTTCTCTGTGCGCCTTCTTGCCAAGGAAGGCACAAGAGTAAACACCTCCGCTGTCTCACTGGCAACAACATCAACAACGGACAGAGAGGGACCAGGGCAGTCTGCAACGCTTTCTCTTCTTCGTACCTCACCTCATTTGTTGTCTTCACCGTCGTCCGCTGCTGAAGCGGCCTTTTCCTCCCCCGCTGCATCCACCTCCGCCTTTGCCGCCAACTCGGCCGCCATCGCAGGAGCAGCGTCGATGATCATTTGAAGCGCCATCTTCTGGTTCGTCGCGATGACGGTGTTCATCTCGCACATGTCTGATCTGAACGTGGCGTCCTTCAAGCACCACTCAGCTGGAATAAACTCCGGCACATGCGCGTCGTCAACGAAGCCTTTTTCGTAGTACTCATCCAGGTAACACCGCCAATCTTCATCCGGATAGCCTTGATAATCCACGCAAACCAAATATCGCTCACTGTTTACAACGCGACTGTGGCGTGGCTTCGCGATGTGCACGCGACCGTAGAGGAAGCAGGAGAGGTACAGCACGGCTCGCGACAGTGGTGAAAAGGTGTCGAACAGCTTCAGCACAAAACAGCCGCCGGTGCGCAGCAGCTTCAGCGCCGCTAGCCATTGCCCATAAAGAATTCGAGAAGAGATCGTCTCCTGGTAATTTGCCACCGAGAAGTCGACATTGAAGCCGCCGTCGGCCACCACCAGCAGCAGCTGTGCCGTCTCAGTCAGCGAGGCGAGGCACTCGATGTTGCTCAGTTTAAAGATATCGCCCGTGCCGTCCAGTCCGTAAGTGCACGTGAAGTGCGGTGATTTGAGCAGGTGGTTGTACCAGTCCAATCCGCTGACACCACCGAGAGTCATGCCGTAGCCGTGCATGCGCTTCCAGCCCTGACGCCTACCGGCTTGAAAGAGCGCTTGGGTAAAGGCACCTGGGCCCCCGCACACATCCGCGAAGACGAGCTCGCGCGGTCGCTTCTTTGACTTACCCTGCAACCTCTTTCCCAGCTCCATCCACACCCCAGTAGACTCTAGCGACTCCAGCAGCTTGTGTCCGGCGCGGTTGGAGAAGTGCTGCTGCTCTCCGCTCACGGCGAGCGGGAAGAGCTTGTTGCGGGTGGCCATGTAGACGTCGGGCGGGATGCGGTCCAGCTGCGACTTCAGCGCCCACACCTCCTCGCGCAGGGCAGCCTGCTCGCTGTCGAAGGCATCGCGCCAGTGGTGCTGCTTGAAGGGCTGCCCGCGAAGGGATTTGAGTGGCGGCAGTGGCGCGTCGCTGCTGCGGCGGATGATGAACTCTAGCGAGCGATCCTCCACCGTCTGCGTCATTAGGTTAATGATGTTCAGCTATGAGTGTTCGTGTGTGTGTCCTCACCGTGTAGGATTCAAGATGAATCACGACACTCTGACGCCTCTTCTTCTCACGAATCCTGCCAAGACACTTAAGAAAAAAAAAAGAAAAAAAGGGAAGTTTGAATTTGGAGAGAAACAAGTGTGAACGAAGGAAAGATAGTGGAAGACGAGGAGGGAGGACTTGCCAGGCGACGGTCTCGTAACAGATGTGCACACTTGAAAGCACGTTGACCGCACATTCATCTGCAGACAGCCAAAGGAGAAAAAAAAAAAGAGGAAGAAACACACACTCCCTTAACAAACGCAGAGCACCGCGTCTCTACCTGATTTATGGCAGATCAAACCACAATATTTATGCTACGGTAAAGCTTTCTAGGTACGGCGCTATCCTCAACTGCATCACCTTGGTGGGCAGAAGGACATAGCCGCATAGCAAACCTCCCATTTCGTAATCAAAGAAACGTATATATAATAGTATCACGTTGCAGTTGAGAGATGCGGTTGAGACATAGAGAAAGCGAAGCAAGCACAAAGCAAAAAGACCGAAAAGACGAGGACACCGGTCTGCGACAGCTGCATCGTAGCCGGTGGTTTCTTAACTCTTCTTTAGTATTAAAACAGCATGTTATTCTTCTTTTTGTTCTTTGAAGTCCGTTCTGTTCATCGAGCAAAGAACGTGATCGTGGACGATAATGAAGCAGAATAAAGACGCGCACATACGAGAACACACTGACAGCGACACTGCTCCGGCAACTCGATCTCGCGTATCCAAGGAGGCAAAAACAAAAAGATATTTGGTAAAGAAGCGGCAGGCGGAGTCGCGCACGTTCTTTTCCTTTTGCTACTCACACCTGCTGTTCCCTTCAACGTGGGCGTTTCCCTGCGTGCTGGCCCCGGATGCAGCCCTTTACGGGGTGAACAGCTTTTGGCGCGCGTAGTACTCGTCCGTGGGCTCAAAGGTGCCGATGACGGGGTACTTACTCTCAAACTTCGCGTCCCACTCGTCCAGCGTCTGCATGTGCTCGGGCAGCAAATCGTCCCAGTTGGCGTTGGCCTCCTCCTCGCCGATGAGCATCTTACCCAGGCAGCGCGACACCTCCTTGCCGGCGAAGACGGCGTACGCCTTGCCAGGACCGTAGAAGGCCGCACCGCTCGTGCAGTCGTACACCTTGTTCTTCACCGACACGTAGATGCGACTGCCGTTCTCGCCGGTGAAGTGGGCAAGGTCTTTGGCGGTAAATTTCTTCATCTCGCCTGTGTCCGCGGCAGGCTTCGTGCCGGCCTTCTTCTTCTTTTCGTCCTCGTCTTCCGCTTCGTTGTTCACCTGGGAGCGGGGCCAGAAGTTCAGCCAGCCCATTCGTGAGACTGCTCGCTGAGCGAGAGAGGTGTACAGTGCAGAGAATGAAAATCACAGTAATAACAAACGGAGAATAAAACACGGTAGGAAGTTTGGCTTTTAACACGCGCGTAAAAACAAAAAAAAACAAAGAACAAAAACAACAGCAGACAAAAAAAAGGCGAATAATAATAATAATAGTATTAATCAAGCGCTGGTCGAATAGGATTGACAGATAAGGAAAAAAAAAAACACACACACACACACCTTTGAGAAGTGGAAACGGGACAAATCAAGAAAGGCAAAAGGAGGGAAGTGGCGGCAGGGGAAGAGAGAAGGAATCTGCGAGGGAGAGAGAAAAGTGCGGTGAGCGTGGAAGGGGAATGGGGGCCGGCAATCAGGTGGAGGAGGGTTTTCTCACATGTACAACAACAAAAAAGTGCGACATCAAATTGCCTTCCACAACGTCCATCACCTCAGAAGAACAGCAGCAGAACGAGAATGTGAAATACAGGCATCTTTTGTTGGTTGGGACGGCTTTCATTTTATTTATTTATAAGGGAGCGACTTTGTGTTCGCTGTGCGCCTTGGCGGCACTCTACTATACATCACACCGAATCCCGCAAACACTAATAATAGAAGAGAGGCACCCTGCCAATCACAAACACGTTGAGATGGACAGACGAAGAAGCGGAGTAAGGCTTTTTGGCCGAGTTCAAGCGCTGTAACGGTAAAGGAAGAGAAGAGAGGAATGGCTCCCGTTACGCCGTCGTCGTGCTGTAGTTGTGGGCAAGGGTCTCCTTCAGCTGGAGACCAAAGTCCAGCGCCTTGGCATTCATGAGCGCCTGCTGCTCCGTCACCTTCGCCTCCCACTCCGCAAGTTCCGCCTCCTTCCGCTGCGTCAGCTCCGCCAGTTTCGCGCGCAACGCTTCATTTTCCGCCTCCGCCTCAAGCACCGACTTTTCCATGTTTGCGTGGCGCTGCTGCAGCTGCTCCAAGTTCGTGGTGGCGTAGGCGTTCATGAACTTCACCTTGTCGTCTAAGTCGCGGCCCACCTGCTCGGTCGCCACGCCGGTCTCCGCGATGCGCCGCTCCAAGCCGGCAATCTCAGCGTCGAGGCGCAGCTCCTGATCGGTGCTGATGGCGATCATCTTTTCCACCGCAGCGCACTGCTGACTCAGAGACTCTACATGCACCTTTCGGACCGCAATGACTTCCTCGGGAGAGAGGTTTTTGGTAGGACGCCTGGGCGGCATCGCTTGTCTGCTAACGGGGCGTTTGACTTTTTCCTTCCTTCTGTTGTTTCTCTAGCATCGACTCATACATCCACTATAATAATACGTACACGTGTACTCGATAACACGAGTTGATCGATAACGTTTGAGAGAGAAAAAATGGAGAAGAAACGAAAGGGAAAAAAGAGGCGACATTGCCCGCTTTGAATAATAGTGACAGTGAGGCGAGAGACGTATCCTGCCTTTCGATTTTACCGTTTTCTTTAGCTCGCAGACAACTAGCCGGCCTGCGCTTGCCCTCTAATCACGATGTGACACGCAAAAAAAAAAAAAACACTCAACATTCGAAGGGAAACAAACCCTCTACGGCTAGCGGCGTTCAACAAGCCTTGTTAAGCACTCTCGTCTATGGATGTGACTTGTATTGTGTGTCTGTTCTTCGTTTGTTGTAGAGTGGCCTTCTGTTCTCGTACACCACTTTTTACTCGGTCCCTGGGAAACCCGAAAACGGTAGCATAATCACAACGAATACTTTTAAACAAGCATTGCCGTGTAGTTATCAAAAAAGAAGAAAAATGAAAAAAAGAAACACAAGGAATATAGAACGAGAGAGGTCGAAGGCCTCGCTTGTTATACTTTTGCTGTCGTGGCTGTGCTTAACGTAATACAGCAGCTACAACATAACACATGTATATTATATATATTGTCCATTCTTCTAAAACACCAAATATCTTTTCTACAACCTGTTGGCCATCCGTCACCACGTCATCATGAAAACAAGAAAGCTGCATGAAAAACAACAATAAAAGGAGAAAAGAACGAATTACGCGTACACAGTGAGAACACTCACACCGTTATCGGTTGTGCATGATGTCCCGCATGTCGGTCAAGATATCCTCATGCTTCAGCGTGAACTTCAGATTCTCCCAGACGGAGTAGCGAATAGGCGGGATTGTGCGACTCTGCAGGCCGTCCTGGCTCGACACGTCTTCAATCACGCACTCGTCCGCGCCACTGTTGATCATGTACTCGTCGCTGCCGAAGCAGTATTTGTGGGCGAAGGCAACAAACATCATTTCTATGCAAATCAGCAGGTCTTGCAGCGCCGACGGGGTGTCTTCGGGCTTCCAGTACGAGAACGTCGGCAGCAGGCCGGCGGCGGAGATCATGTGGATCAGCAGGCCCTGCCAGAAGGAGAGGAAAATGACGGCCTTCACGCAAAGGAACTTCAAGAAGGCGTTGCGGCCCTCCATCAAGTCCTTTAGACCAATGTAGAAGTAGAGCAACGCCGTGAAGGCCACGGTGATGGAGATGTTGTAGGCCAGGTAGGTCCAGAAGGTGCCCTTCGTGACATCGAACATGCTCGTGCCCATCGCATCCTTCGCGGTGAGGATGACCACGATGATCGAAATGAGCGGCTTCAGCAGCATGAACTGGAAGAGGCAGAGCCGGCAGTTCTGCACAAAGGTTGGGGTCACCTTGATGGGCTCGAGGTAGCAGAAGGGAAAGATCTGCGCCACGGGTGGCCGCTCCTCGATCATGAGGGTGCGGTAGACGGTGTCAATGCCGCCCATTAGGGCTATCATGAGCTGGAAGAAGGCGTAGATGACGTAGCTCTCGTACGTGTCTCGTATCAGGTTCAAGTACTCGGCCGCGCCAGGGGCCAGCAGGCTGAACCACGAAATCATGGCAAACAGCGGCACCATGAACAAGATGCGCACGATCTTTGTTTGGCACTCCGGATCCGAGAAACACGTGAGGTGCTCCAGGATTTGGAACAGCGACAGCAAGGTCGCAAAGATGGCGCAGTAACCCGCTACAAAGGACGGCACCACGCTCTGCTTCTTGAGGACGGTGGAAAGCAGAATATAAATGAGCAGCAGCAGCCCGACGACGCAGGCGAAAGTGCCCACCCAGTAGTACATCTTCCTGCGCTCCGTCTTCCATTTCTGAAAGACGGAAAAGAGACTCATCCTGTGAGACGCAGACGGCAAGTGGGGCCCACAAAAATAAAGCACAAGAAGTAACGATTCCACTAGCGAAAAAAAAAAATATTAACAACAACGAAAAGACGCCGTCAAACTTGTCTATCACGTGCAACTCTTCCTCTGCAAAAAAAAAAACCACAATTTTGCGTTTGTGGTAATCCACAACGCCTCAATCCAGAAAAAAAAAGGCAACGACGACGGAAGAAGTGCGCCTGACAAACGCTATACTGTTCAAGGATTTTTAAAAAAGGCAAAAAGAGAAAATGGGGGAAAAAAGCTGCGCCGATGTGTCCTGTGCGCTCCGTTGCCCATCAACAACAACACGGCAAAGTACAAAAATACTAAGCGGTGAAGAAGAAACCTTTGTTCCCACGGCCTTCTGAAGCAGCGTGATTTTATAAGAAAGAAGAGGGAGAGAAAAGAGAATTAGCGTTGAGTCAGAGATATCGTTGCTGGCGAAGGTTGCTGAACACATTATACCCGCCTCATATGGACTCTGCAATTCAAGTACCTGTGTGTATGCGTGCGTTTCACGACGAGCAACCCCTCCAAAAGAACAGCAGACGGGAACGAAGGTCACAGAGAAGTGGAACGAGTTCGCTATACCAAGAAAAGGTGAGAGTGATGCGATATACACGTGCAGTCGTTCTCCAAAAGCACACAGATAGAACGTGCGCTTCATCTCCAAATAAAGTTTGCTTTTGTTTTGTTTTGGGGCTCTCGCTAGCTGCATTGCAGAACAGGAGGGGTTAAGCCCGGTCGAATTGGCTTCAAATAATGTGCAGGACTCGTCCATGAACAATACGTTCTGAAACCCACCGTCAACGCTCGCAAGCGAGAGGAGAGATCTGTGGGACAGGCAAAAAAAAAAAAGTAACGAAACTCTTCGACAGCGCCTCAAGAAGGAATCAAGTCAAACAAGCTCAACGACAGCTCACGGGCTAGCTGCTGCGCTGTGCTCACCGGAATCCAGCAATGATACGAGCGGTGTCGCTGCGTCACCACCGGGGTCAGAAGTCCCCAGGCAACGAAGCCCTGCACGTACTGCATCGCCACATCTGCCGTCGTGAACTCCAGCGGATCAATGTGCGGAGTGCACATTCGCAGCATCGAGTCGTACAGAAAAGCAAGGCGGCGCACCGTTAGCACGTGCGCCGAGGCCGTCAGCACGGCAGCTTTGTGGGACTGCCCTTTTGTCTCACGCAGGGCAGCCGTGCGCTCCTCAGCGTGCAGGCAGCCAAAGACTTGATGCTGCTTGCGCTTCGGCACGGCACCGCCGTAGAACGCGGCAAACGCGAGCAACACGGCGGAGTAGCCGATTCGGCGCAGGGCGGGCACGAGCGGGTCGTGCGCCGGTGCAGCGGTCGTCTCCCCGCCGCCCTCACTTCGGTGTTGACCCCACGCCGCGGCGAAGTGGCGGGCGTTGAGTTTTCTTTCCTCGGCAGCACCCGGCCCGGCCGCCGCGCACGACTCGAGCAGCAGCGGGGGGAGAAGTTGGTAGACGCGCTGCACGAGCAGTCGCACATCGCGGCTCACCACGGACGACCGCATCGGCTGCCGCGTGGCGTAGTAGGTGAAGGCTTCCAACACTACCCGATTTACGTCGTCCGAGCCGACGGTGATCAGCGGCGTCTGCGACGTCGTCACCGCACCTCCTGCCGCCGCTGCTGGCTCTTCTTCCTCCTCGGTGTCGGCGCACACGCGCCGTTCGTCTTCGTACTGCCGCAGCAGCCACTGCACGACGCTGTCCGGCTCTAGGCGCGCCACAAAGTGGAAGCGGAAGCAGTCCGCGAGGCGCAGCGGCAGCTCTGACACCATCCACAGCAGCACCGTGCGCGTCTGCGCGGCCGGGGAGCGTAGGCAGTGTGCGAGCCACAAGTTCATCTCCGCCACGTCGTAGTCGAGGAGATCGGCATCGTCGACAACAAGGTGCAGCTCCGACCCCTCGCCGTGCGCATCCAGCCACTGGATGAGCGACGCCCCAAACTCCAGCGGGGTGCATTCATAACTGAGCCGCCGGTGCCGAGCGTCGGGGTGCAGGCGCCGCATAATGAGGCGCAGCAGCTCATTGGAGGCACTTCTCGCCCCCACGTACTCCAGGCAGAAGGTGGGCCCTCCGCTGCCTTGGACCGCGGTGCGGTGTTGCGAGTTAAAGTAGCGCTCGCGGGCGACGAGGTAATTCAGCACGAGCGTTGTCTTCCCGCTGCTCGGTGGTCCTACGACGCATATGTAGCCGGAGCCGAAGAGGACACTGGCGTCCAACTCGTCACGAAGGTCCTCCATTACCTGTAGGGCATTCGTGGTTGTATGGGTATAAACGCAGCTGTAAGTTGGAGGTCTATGTAACAGGAAAAGAGCTTAGTTCTACTGCGTATTTGTCAAGAAACAGACGCAGCCATCGGATTAGACAGCTGCGGTTCTTGTGTGCGTATTTTCCGGCAGTCAATGGCAGTTTTGCGACTTAAATACGTCAGCCTTTGAATGGTAAGGTAAGAAAGGGAGGGGGGATGAGATAAGAGAGGCGATGGAGTACGTCAAGAGAGTACAGCAGAGACGACCAGAAAGAATAAGGTGGGTAAAGAGAGATCCTTGCACGGCATCGTTGCTCCATTGGCAGATTCACGGCGAAATGCGCTTGTTGGAAACCGTTTCCGCGGAAGAGGTATGCAGCGCCGTTCATTTCGTGCGCAAAACACGCCATGTCACGCTCTCACCCCCTTCTTCACTCTCTCTGAGCACTCGTTTCATCGCACCAAACGCAGAGGACAGAAATCGACATCAGCCGAATAAGAAGAGCCAACCTCTACCGCTGGCCAGTTTGGGAGCGTTAGTTCTTTTTCTGCTTAGGGGTGTGTTTGTGTGTAGTGCGCCTCAAAGCGGAAATCGCTTCACGAGCGTGACAGCAACACAAGAAAAAGCCAGTAAGAATTTGGTACCCTTCACTACTAGAGGGGCCACTGCACAACCAAAGGCACTCGTCCGTCAACTCACGACAAAAAAAAATAATAAAGCCTGTTTTTTTTGTTATTTACGGCATGTCCTTGTAAGCCTGCGTGTAGTTCCAACGATTTGTTTTGAAGTGCTTTCGTTTGCTAAACCGATTGCGCGCGTCAGCGGCGGCCTGGTGCGAGGGATGGAAGCGCTTGTCGCGTATGAAACGGTGTCGATACTTGTGTCCGCAGAACCAATGAGCAATGCAGTTCACATTGGTGGGCCTAAACAGCATCCAGTTCATTGGAGTGGGACGGAAGGCCATCCAGTTCACTGCGGTGGTGCGAAATAGCATCGTCCCGCCGCTTCTACGCTGCGTAGGCGTAGATGTGTATGAGTGTGAAAAGCGCTTCTTCCCATGCGTCGTTGCACGACGTGCGTGGTGAAGGTAGACGTTTGTTTGAGGCACCAGAAACACGGGTAGGCGAAGGGTATGGAAAGTGGAAGGGGTAAGAAGAAAAAAAAAACGCGGGGTCAAGAAAGCAGCTGTGGCGCGCTTCTGCGCTCGGGGTGCGATTGGGCACGTCATACAAGTGATTTGACTCACGGCTGCTCTGCCATTCAAATTCACGAACAGCTGGCGTGTGTCCGCATCGTGGAAAGTCAACGAAGTCCCGTGGATGAACTGAAAAGAGTTCTCCTTCAACCTCAAGCGAGAGAGAGAGTACCGCGGCGTTGTTAAAAAAAAAAGGACGAAGTACATGGTATTAAATGGTAGCGGTTTTTTTTTTCAAGTGTTGCTTTGTTAACAACTTCTCCGTAGATTCGGTGAGTAGCATTCTATTAATGGGAACAAGTCCCACGGCCTATGACAAGGAAGACAGATGCAAACACAGAAAAAGAAGAAGCCAAGCGTCCGGCCTTCTCTTGAGCTCATGCACGAATTCGTTTTCACGAAAGGGTGCATGAGACGTAGATGAAACGACAAAGGCGATGTGGCAGCAGTCGATGTGCGCTCGAAGAGAGTTCTGAGAATAAACGCAGCTCAAAATAAAAGTCTTCGTCATTGCTGCTTCATCATCTTCATGACACCCGCTACAAAAGCCTCCAAGTGCAAAATCGGCTTTGTGCCCAGTTTCATGTTGTGGTCGTATTTGGCGGCTAAGTGGATAAGCGCTGCTTGATGCTTCGGCGGCACCGCCAGCAGCAAACTATCTAGCAGCGTCTTCAATATTGTCTCGCCAGAGATGCATTGCGCCAGCAGATCGTAAAACTTCAGACGCACGTCATGCAGCTTCTTTGGGGTCTGCTCCGCTAATATGTCGTGCGATATCTCATCGAGAAAGAGCTTCCAGTCAGCTTGCGGGATAGCCGCCCCGTTGCCGCTCCAATCCACTTTCGTCATGGCGGACGCCTCCAACATGAGCAGCCCACGCCTCAAATTGCCATCCGAGCGCAGCGCCAGTGAATTCAAGAAAGCAGGCGACGGCATGGGCCGCGACTCGCCCTCGCACACGTGCTGCACCGCCAGCTTCAAGTTGTCCTTTGAGTGCGCCGCGACGCGAATGCCTAGACAACGCGACCGCAGCGGTGGAATAAGGCGAGAGGTGGAGTTGCAGATGAGAATGAGCCGGCACGTGTTCATGTACTTCTCCATGGTACGTCGGAGGGCGTGCTGGGCGCTGCGGCTCATCTTATCCACCTCATTCAGAACGACCACCTTGTACGGCACCGTCTTGGCGCAGTTGGCGGTGGTGTGTAGCGGCGCCGTCTGTGCGATCTCGCGGATCATCTGCATGACAATCACGCGGTCGTAGTTGCCAGCGTCGGAGGGGTTAATGTCAATGTGATGTGGCGAACTCAGCGTGGCGATGTCCACCACTTTGCTGTCAGACACCTGCACGCTCTTGTGCTCAAGGCGCACCGAGTACACACTGGGGCCATAAATTTCGTGCAGCACCGCCATGGCGCGCGTCTTCTTACCGCTGCCGGACGGGCCGTAGAAGAGGAGGTGCGGGAGGTCCTGTGCCTTGGCGAGGCGCCCGAGCACCTCGTTCAGCTCCGGGTACAACTCGACCTCCTTGAGCGTCTTAGGACGATAACGATCGACCCACAACATGATGTCAGCGGAAAGATCGATTGCTGTTTCCCGGCGACGGTAGAGCTGCGGTACCAGAAGCCGGAAACGTATGTCACCCGGTGTGGAGAAAAACAAATAAATATATATGTCAAACTTCCGAATACTATGCTTTCCCGTTAAATAAATAATAGATGCAAAAAAGGGGGAATTGGAAAAGATGAAAAGATGCACCTACAAAAAGACGCGTCGATACACGCATAAATTTACAGCTATAATGCGTTTTTCGGGCAGTGTGGCAGCTCCTCTTAGTAGGCAGAGGGTTCAGTGTTGTTGATTGAAATCTACTGCTCTTGCCAGAAGAGATGAATTCTGAGCCCTATTATTGTTTTTTCGTCCTGGGTAACAAAGGTAGTGTGGATCGTTTCGCACACATTACGTTTAGCGGCATGCAAGAGGCAAACAAAAAAAGAACCCCTCAAAAAAAAAGACGAAGTACGTTTGACAGGGGCGAACCTCCCAGCCCTAAAACGGTAACCAACGCGCCCGCCTGCGGCTGCATCGTATACAACTTCAAACCGCTTTTGCTGTCGCTATTCGCTCGCCATTCACGACGGGCATTAAACTAGACACGAAGACCTGCAACGCGCAAGCACGCACAACAATAAACCGTCAAAAAAATAAGAACCACGGCACGGGGATCACCATCCCTTGCTGATCATAAACGAGGAGGTGAGCTCAATACCGAGCCACACCGAGGCGTTGGCAGGGGCGGACCGCATGATGCACGCGGTGTAGCCCTTGTAAAAGCCGCGAATGCCGCCTGCCTTGTACGTCGCACGAATGACGTCAGGAATCGCCACCCGCGTCCGCGAGGCCTGCACGCGGGTTTTCACAAAGTCGCACGGGTAGTTGCTCGTCCAGAAGCACATCCCCGCCGCCATGCCGCTTAGCATCGGTACCAGCACCTCACGGCCGGTGTGCGTGGAGGCCAGACGGGAGTCCAGCAGGGCGGTGCGGGCCGTCTGGTAGCCCATGAAGTAGAAGGGAAGGCCGATGAGCCGGGACATGAGGGTGGGGGTGTACCCCGACAAGATGCCGCGGTAGCCCTCCGTCTGGATGATGCGACGAAGACACGATATCGGCCCGACGACCGTGGACGACTCGTGGCCGCCCTTGCCGAGCATCTGCAGCTGCACCTTCACCTTCTCCACCGGGGCCACCGTCAGGACGTACAGCGGGGCCGTCAGCTGGGCCGCCACGGCGGTGCGCCACAACGGCAGCGGCGTCTGGCGATCGTGGGTGTCGGGCGACATGTAGTTGCTCATCACCTGGTTGAGACTGAACAGCGTGAGGTTCTGGAAGCCGCAGAAGAGCAGGGGCGGTGTGACGCCGCGGTAGAAGCCGTGCAGGCCCTCCTCCCGCCACGTGTGCCGCGCGCAGGAGGAGATGGAGGGGAAGAGACCGTTCTGCACTCGCGACTTGATGGTATCGAAAGGGTGGCTGGTAGCGGCCTGCATAACCCCGCCGATGGTGCCGCCGATGAGGCGACGTAAGATGCGGTGGTAGTCTTCCACGGCGCCGGTGTGAACGGAGATGAGGGGGGCCGTTGGTGCCTGTTCATCTTCCACGGTAAACGCGGAAGGGGCGGTCATTTTTTGTTTTTTACTTTGTTATTATTTTTATCTTCAGCTGTCGAGCTCCTGTGCTCATAGAGAGGACGGGAGTGAAAGAGACGAGCAAAAGAGTCGGTAATGAACACAGTAGATGGGTAGGCTGTCGCACGGGCGTTCAAGAAGGAGACGATGCGCAGTGAAATAAGCGGTGCGGAAGAGAAAGGAAAGAAAGTGCCGGCGCAACGGAAAAGAAACGCTTCTCACGTTTTGGCGGGTGAAGGATTTTTATGTGGGGATAGCATCGTTTCCTTCCGCTTTGACAACACGATAAGCCTAAATAAGCGCCGCCTGTCGTTCAAAGAAGGAAGAAAACAAAGTTGTACGCAGGTAAGCACAGAAGTGTGGTGTGTGACTTCAATTTGCTATGTCAGCCCTTTAGTAATCAAGAGCCGGCAGGGTCGAGCCCTACGTTTGTTGACTACATTCAAGAGAAATATGTCCCCCGTGCTTTTTCTTCTGTTGTTCTTGTGGACTGTTCCTTGTTTTTTTTTTCCGAAGTGGTGGTGGAAGGAGCTAGGTAACGTATTAGCCGTCCACACGGGTTGGCGTGTCGTCAGCATCCATCTCCTCGCTCTCTAATATACATGACATCAACGGGTGCAGTAAAGAACTAAAAGGGAAAAAAAAAAAGCGAACGTCGCTCAAAAGGTGTAGTTTTACATTGCCTTGGAACACGAAAGTCGCAAGTAGTGGTGTTCCGGCACAACAACAACAACAAGAAAAGAGAATGAAACTCCCGAGAAGAGAAAAGCAACCGCACGTCGAGGAGGAGTGCGTCCCGCGAGCCGAAATTTCATTCTCTTTCTTGTTTGTTTTATGGAAGTGGCTTTCGCTTCACGAAGGTACGGCGACGGTAGAGGTCAGCGTGGTTGAGCATCTTGCGGCCCAGCGGTGAGAGGCACACGTCTTCAAATGCGAGGGTGGACATCGCACCGAAGAGAAGACGCAGGTTCGCCTTGCTACACGGGTCCAGCTGATTCATCGCCCGTGCGTTGTTCGCTTTCAAATGGCAGAGTGCATCCATCTCGTCAAGCGCCACGCGACCCGCAGAGTTGAGCGGGGAGAGGAGCTGGAACGCCTTTTGTGTGCCGCGTATCGGCTGCGGGTCGGCGCATAGGAATCCAAGCAGCACATACGGCTCGACCGTCTGGGTGGCGGAGTCGCAGAAGGTGCTCCAGAGAACGCGCGTGTACGCCTCCAGCGCGGTGTCGTCCAGGTAGCGATCGTAGAAGAAGGGCAGGTCAAAGAACTGCTCCTCTGTGAGAGGGGCAGCGCCAAGGTTGAGGCGGGTGTCGAGGAGATCCTGCAACGTCACCTCCGGCATGCCGCCACCCTTCGGCGTGGTCGTCGTCTTCCTCCCCTCCGCGGCGTGTAACGTGGACGGCGCTGGCATAATGGGCGATGCCGGAACCACCCAAAACAGCAGATGTACTACTAGATCTCTCCAATCAAGAAAGCCGGAAAGCAGCGGGTCGAAGGCGTGAAATACCTCCTCACCGTTTTTGAGCTCCATGTGGGCTGTGTCCAGACGTGTCGCCACGGCCTCCGCGTAGTCGCTCTCGCGTATCAGCACGGAAAAGTCAAAGCGGCTCAATTGGTAGTCTGGCGCTACGCAGCGGAACTGCTGAATAAGATCGAGCAGCCGTGCAGCTGTCAGCCCCGGGTGCAGCGTGAGCTGCGGGTCCCGCAGCTGCGACGACAGCGGCACGTCGGTAATGAAGCTGCGCCGCGCCACCGTGCCGCCCCTGCCGGCGCCTCTGCCGCCGGACGGGCTGAGGGACAACTCAGCCGACCCATGCAACGGGCGGGCATTGCCGTCGATGCCGCTCTCCGCGCCTGCAAAGGTGGTGCAGCCGAGGTGCATCTTTGGGCTCCGTCTCTCCGTCTCTACGCAGCTGCGCAGCACGTAGACCGCCGTGTTCACCGCTGCCGCCTCCTTCGACATCTGCGTCACGAGCGTCGACTCGAGATAGGCGCGACGCTGCTGGGCGTGCGTCTCGGCCTCGCGCAGCAGCGTCTGCACAAATGTCTGAATGGCAACCACGCGGCCCGTCGTGACGGTCTTCTCCGCCTCCATCACCTCCAGACACTTCGCCGTGACGGACAAAAAGTGCGCCGTCGCTGCGCCCCCCGCGTTGCCGGCGCCGCCACTGCCTCCGCCCCCCGCGTTGCCGCCGCCGCCACCGTTGCGTTTCTGCCCTCGCACCTGCGCGTCCAAGACGCCTTTCAGCTTATCCGTGACGGAGGTGACGCCGCTGAGCACGCCCTGCGCCGCATCTGCAAACTGCTCCTCCGCCGACTTCTCCGACTGCTCCTCGGCGGCTTTGCTGTGTGTCTTCTTGGACGCCGCGGCCCGCTTCTCCTTGCCGGGGCGGGAGCCGCTGTTGGCCGAGGCGGCCGACCCCTCGGCCGAGGCGGCGGTCATGTGTGCCGGGCGGTCCGCCGGGTTCACCGTAAACGCCGGCACGTCGATGTCCACCTCGTCAAATGCGAGCGGCTCGCCGGTGATGGTGCCGTAGAAGAAGGTGAAGAGGTGCAGGGCGAGCACGAAGCGGTCTGCCTCGCACTGCAACAGGCGGGTGAACTCCTGGCACACCAGCGTCTCCCACCCGGCGAGGAAGCTGGCCGGGTTGCAGAGCGTGTCGATGAGCCCTTTCGCCTCCGCGTCCCGCTGCTCAATGCAGTGGTGCAGCGCGTCGTACAAATTGTCTAAGAGGAGATGCAGCTCCGCCTTGCAGGCAGCCAGCGCACGCAGTTGGGCCGGCACGCCGTCGAGGCAGTTCTGGCAGCGCTGCAGGATTACCTGCTTGTCGTCGGGGCGGCTCCAGTAGGCCGCCACCTGCTCCTCCGCACCGTTGAAGTACACCAGCAACAGCTTGGTGAGGTGCGTGGCCCGCAGCCACATTGCACCGTACTCCTCCCCGTACTCCTCCGTAAAGTCAGACACGGCCCGCAAGATGACGCCGGCAGCCGGCGCACCAAAAGTCGGGATGAACCGGCCTGTGCCTTCCACAGGCGTCTGCAGCAGAGGCGGCAGCGGGGCTCCCTTTTCGTTGTAGATGGCAGCCAGCCGCACCCGCTCGCTCTCCCGATCGGCGATCTGCGCCTTCTCCGTCGCCTCCAGCGTTGCCAGCCGCTCCATCGAGGCCTCACGCGCCGCCAAGACCTCTTGGCTGATGCGGAAATTCGACACGTTCTGTCCCACCACTTGCAGCGCGTCCTGCTGCAGTTGCTCGAGCGCGCCGTCGCCAGCGAGCTCGTACACGCGCGCGAAGACGGAGCCGGCTGGCTGTCGGCTGAGCCATCGCTGCACCGCCGCCCACTCCTCCCGGTGGTGGAAGACGGCCTCGTACAGCTCCACAGAGGACATGTCCGGCCGACCCATGTTCACCACGTGCAGCAGCCGCTCCTTCGGCGGGGGGTTGTAGGTGAGGTGGTAGACCGCGCCCGTTTCCAAGTCGAGTCGCAAGCCGGCAAAGCGGCGGAACACTTCTTCAGGGGAGCACCGGATGTTCAGCACCCCAGAGAGGACAGTGGGCAGTGAGGCGAGTTCGGACGTTGCCTGTGCCACAAAGGCGCATTCCTTTTCTTGAGCTTCCTTTGTATCGTCCACCTCTGGCAGCTCCGCGGGGGGCAGCGCCGCGAGGTCAACTTTCTTCATCGGGCGTGCCTTAGGCTCCTGCTTCACGGGGGCGTCGCGCTCCGAGCTGAGTGGGCTCGCGAGACGCAGCACATCTGGAATATCCGCCAAAGCTGCAGCAACGGCGCTTGTCTCGCTCAACATACTCACTGAAGCCCGCACGTCTCCTTCAACTTTTTCGGTCTCAACCAAGTTCCACTGCCGCTTCAACGACGCATAGGGGTGCGTCGGCAGACTGCGGAAGCGCTGCGCGACCACCTTGTAGCTCTCTGCAGTGCGGAACACGCCTTCCAAGAGAAGTGCATCGTAGGGCAAGCTCACGCCGTCCGTCTGCAGTTCTTTAAGGTAGAGAAAGAGGAGCTCACTCACCGCCATCGCGCTGACCGCGCCACCAGATAGCAAGTCGTCGCGAATGCCTTGACCGCGCGTGATCCACTCTGCTGAAGTTCGACTGCCATTATCGCCCTCACCTCCCTCCACGTTCTCGGCACCGTGGTTGGCATCAAAATCCTGTGCAGCCTGTAGTGCCCGTCGCACCAGGCTCTCATCCGAAACGCAGAGAAGCCGATACTTCGCCCTCAAAAAATCGGTCAGCAACGTTTTGCCGCTGTACTTCGGTCCATCCACGACGAGAATCGGGAAAGGGCACAGGTGAAGCACGCTCGCCAGCGGTACCGCGATGTGATGCTGGGAGTAGCAGTACTGGAGGAGAGCCAAGATCGCCGCGCTGGTTTTGGCGTAGGGGCTGCCGTTGAAGATGTGCTGAAAGGCTTCTCGGGTGGCGGCGGGGGAGGATCGTAGCGGCTCCCCTTCGGCTGACGTAGGGGAAAGCAACGACGTGTCTGCGGCCAAGGCAACGAGCAGCTCGGTACCAGCGTGGTCCAGGCGAGACTCGTGCAACGTTGTGAGGCACTGCGACGTGCGGGACCAAATGTCGGCCACGGCGTCCTCCACCGCTTGCGTGCACATCGCACGCATCCGCGCAGCATGGCGCACATTCAACTCCCTCCACCGCGTCATGTCGCTCTCTTCCGTGACCTGCTGCTCCAACACCTCGCGCTGGCGTGTGTGCTCGAGGTAGTCATCCTCGCGGCGGGTATGGTTCTTCTGTGCCGCCTCGATGTCGAGTTGTCGGGTGATCGCGCGGTCACACACGTCAGCCCAGCACGCCGCGGTGGTGCGCAGCGTGTACATCATATTCTCCTCCGCGATGGAGTGACGAGAGATGTGGAAACGGACGTCGCTTAAGAAGCAGCTGTGCGCGTAGGCGTCTCGGGCCATAAATATCCGCTCCTGCTGCGCATTGCGCAGCGCGCGGCGCCGCGCACGGCTTTCGTTGTCCGCTTGGCGGGCACGGGCAATGGAGACCTGGTAGTCCTGCTCCATGGGCGTCTCTCTATCGCACAGAACGTGTTTTTTCTTTCTTTTTGCGCACCCTACAATAGGTGAAACGAAGCGTGACTGTCGCTGAATGCTCCGTAGAGAAGAAGAGAAAAGGGAGAAAGAAAGAGAGGATAAGATTCCTAACAAAAACGCGAAATATACCGCCTTTTTCTTGCCCTCTTTGCATATTTCAATGAAAACTCTCAACTTCACCGGACTTCCATCGTGTGCGCTCGCAAGCGCAGCGGCGTAGGATTGAGGGCGTTGCGCTTTCATATACAGTTGCAGTAGAGGCTGCAACAAGGGACTGGATCCTTTGCGACGCCAACGCACTGCGTCCCGCAACGTGTGTCACCTCCTCTTCAGATTTGTTGTCGTGCGTTCTCACAGAGTGGGCTGTTGCATAACAGGTCGGCTCGATGCCGACTCCGCTGTTCAAAGTGTTGTTGTTCTTTTAATGGCGATACCTGAACGAAAATGTTCCGCGGACGCCCCTGCCAGAAGACGACCACGATAAAGCTAGAACAGATGGGAGCACCACAGACACGAATGTGTGAAGACGACAGCGTCTAATACCCCATCACGAAACAGAGGAAAAGAAAGATGCCCTTCATGCCGTCCTACCTACAGGTTCTTACTCCACGGTTGCGCACCTTTTGGGGCCGGCTTCACAACGTTGATGCGGCGCATCGCCTTGTTGTACTCGTTGTACGACTTGAAGAAATTTAAGACGGGGTGGCGAATCTGCCGCCACTGCAGGCGACCCTGCCGCCACAATCGCAAGTCCACCGTCATTCGCTTGCAGGACGGGTGGAACAAGTAAGCGAAGAGCAGCGGCGTGACGTAGCGACACGTGTCGGAGATGAACGCCCAGGCCCAGTTCTCGCCGGTGAAGACCGCCTCAGCCTTCATAATTCGCTGCTCCACCACAAAGTAGGCCGTGCCCTGGCGCGACGGGTCATCGACAAATGTGTTTCGCGCAGCTCCCACCACCTGCAAGGCGTGCTGGATCTCCTGCACGTCATCGATCTGCGTCTCCATTACTCGCTTCTGCCGTGAGTCATACACGCGTTTCTGCACGCCGTACATCACCCGATCCGAGTACCGTTGGCGCTTGTAGTATTTCGGAAACACCATCGTTCTGGCGCAGCGGTAGAAGCCGTAGAGGTGGACCAGCGCGATCGGGTAGCAGAGGTAGGGTACGAGCATGGAGTACACAAAGGCGCGAACAGGCGGAATGACCATGCCAAAGTCGATGTGCCCCAGGCGTTCACGTGTGCGACTGCGTGCGTGCAGCGGCTGCATCCAAAGGTCCGTCAGCAGGAGTCCGTGCAGTGTCCGGCTGCTCCCACCAGTAGCCGCCCCCTTCCACGGTGGCGGCGTGCTCGTCCGCTCCGGGAAGTGCGACGCAACGGACGACGCAACGGACGACGAGCTGGACGCCATGAGCACACGTCTCTGGGGAGTGGGTGCGTGTTGGGGTGTTCTAGGGGGGGGGGGGAATAGAGAGCGTTTTTTCCCCCGCGAAGAAGATCAACAAGTGCAACGGAGAAAAACGAAAGGATCATTTTTTTTTAAGCACGAGGAAAGGAAGATGTGAGTAAAATCGCGTTGGGCGCAGCGTTACACCGCTTTGTCCCTCTTGCGAAGAGAAGGAGACTTGTAACCAAAATCCGTTGCGCCTTGGGAAACCACTTTCCACTCGGCAGCGGCAGCGGCAGCAGCAGCAGCAGCGAATTCTGGAATTTGAAAAAAGAGTGTGTCTACACTCCACACCATCCGCCTATAGCACCTCGTGTTACGCTACGCAATCTCGCGCTTTGTGTGTTGCGTTGTCGTCCGCGCGTACACATTTTCTGGACGTCTCAGCGGGGGGTCGCCAGCAGCAGCGACACCGGCTTCCACAGTGTTTCTCAAGATGTGTATACTCACGTGTTTCGGTAATATCACTGAACCAAAAGTAGAGCGAAAGCAACGTGTGCGCGCACACTTCGCTGCGCGGCGAGAAATCAGTAGCACCTCACAGCAGGAAGTAGCCGTGTCGCCCCAAGAGCGTTAACGATAGAAATACGAAGTCCACAATAGTATAGTAAACGGGAGGTAAACTTGAAAAAAGAAAAAAGAAACACAGAACGTTTCAAGGCTACCGTCGCTCCCATACAGCCCTTTTAGGCGTTCAGTTAATTGTGCCACTTCGCGCCGGTGTTCTTCGCCATGAAAGCGTACATGTCCGACGTCTCCTCTACAATCTTGCTAGTCGGCTTGCCAAAGCCGTGGCCGGCTGCCACCTCCACGCGAGCCAAAAAGGGTCCGCCAAGCTCCGGGTTTGTGTGCTGCAGCGTCGCGATGTACTTGAGGGAGTGCAGCGGCACCACGCGGTCGTCGTGGTCGCCCGTCACGACCAGAATCGCCGGGTACTTCACGCCTTCCCGCACGTTGTGAAGGGGGCTGTACTTCTCCACGACCTTGAAGTCCTCTTCCTTGTCCGGGTCACCGTAATCGGAGATCCACGCGTGGCCGATGGTGAACTTGTGGAACTTGTACACGTCCAGCACGCCCACCTGGCACACCACACAGGCGAACTCTTCAGGGGCCTGGTTGGCGCAGGCAGCGACGAGGAGACCGCCGTTCGAGCCGCCCATGATGGCTGTCGTGGCGGGCGAGCCGATGCCGTTCGCGTGCAAGTACTTTGCCGCGGCAATGAAGTCCGTAAAGCAGTTCTGCTTGTTCGCCCGGCGACCGGCATCGTGCCAGGATTGCCCATACTCGCCACCGCCGCGGATGTTGGGGACAGCCAGCACGCCGCCGAGGTTCTGCAGGAAGACGATGCGGGACGGACTGAAGCTCGGCGTCAGCGAGATGCCGAAGCCACCGTAGCCGTAGAGCAGCACGGGCGAGCTGGCGGACAAGTTGCCCTTCTTGTACACAACGAACATGGGGATCTTCGTGCCGTCAACGGAGGTGTAGAAGCGCTGCTCCGTCACGTAGTCGTCGGCGTTGAGGCCGTCCACGGTGTCGTCCTTGTAGATGGCCAGCGAGCCCGGCGGGTCGTTGATGTCCATCACAAAGGAGCGGCCCGGCAGCATAAAGGAGGAGATCTTAAACGACACGAAGTCCTTGTGGTAGTTGGCGAAGAAGGAGGTGACGGTGCCAACAGGGAGGTCCAGCTTCGTCATGTCGGCGCTGCTGCTGTGCAGTTTACGGAAGTACATGACGTCCTTCACGTCCTCCATGTACACCAACAGCAGCGTGTCCTTCACCAGGGCGGCAATGTTCAGCACCGAATCCTTCTCCGCCACGACGTCCGTCTCGGCGCCGGTGTCTAGGTCCATCGACACCACCTTCCTGCGCGGCGCGTCCTTCGTGCTGGTGAAATAAAAAGTGGTGCCTTCGTTGCCCAGATAGCGGTACTCGCCGACGAAGGTGCTCACCGCTTTCTTGAAGGCCAGCGGCTCCTTCAGCTCCGCCACGGTGGTCGGCAACTTCGCGATCCAGACGAGGTTGTGCGGCTCGCAGCCGTCCATGACGCTGACCACCAGGTACTCGTGGTCGTCCGTCACTTCGGCGGAAAAGTTCCAGCCGGGGTGCTCGGGAACACGCAGCACCTCCACGTCCTCGGACTGCGGAGTGCCGACCTTGTGGAAGCACACGCACTGGTTCTGTGCCGAGTCCGTCTCTGCACCTTGGTCAGCGCCTTCCGCCAGCTCGGGGAAGCGCTCGTAGAAGAAGCCGTCGTTCCCCCACCAGGAGATGTCGGAGAACTTCGCCCAGTTAAGCTTGTCTGGTAGTTGCTCGCCCGTCTTCACGTGACGCACATGGATGTACTGCCAGTCGCTGCCTTTGTCGCTCAGGCTGTAGGCAAAGAGCTCCTCGTTCTTGCTCCAGCCGTGCGACTTGAGCGCCGTGGTGCCGTCGGCACTGAGCGTGTTGGGGTCGAGAAACACAGAGGGCTTCTTGTCATCCAGGGAGTCCGCCTGCATAATCACACTTTGGTTCTGCAGACCGGTGTTGTAGTGGAAGTAGTACTTGCCGGCGTGCAGACTTGGGTTGCCCGTGCGAGCGTAGTTCAGCATGGCCGTCACGCGCTCCACCATCTTGGCGCGGATGCCTTGTGACGATTTCATGTAATTAGCAAACGCGTCGTTCTGCTGGCGCACAAATTCGTTCGTTTCGGGGTTGGACGGATCCTCCAGGTAGTCGTAGGGCTCGGGGATGGTGTGGCTGTGCAGCTGGTACGACACCGCAGCACGGCGGGCAATGGGGTAAAGAGATTTCATGTCGGCTCGAGGCACGCGTCCAGAGTAATCGAATTAAAGTGGCAACGACAATAATACTACCGAAGAATTGCGCAGTGATGTTCGATCGGAACGAGAATAATATGAATAGTAATAGTGATAAAGAACAGGCAGCACGTCCCTGATTGGAGAGAGAGGAAGCAAAAACAAAAAAGGACTACGTCACAACAGCAACGATGCAGCGACGCACCGCACGCAGAAACGTAAAGACGTGGGGAGAAGGAGCGAGCGCACAAGTACAGAAATCCGCCAGTTCAACGACAACAACAAAATTTAATAATAACGTTGAAGTGAATGGAAGACTCTCGTTTAGTGGGATGCAGCAGCGCACAAAGAACTGTGGCGATGACCTCACCGCCACGGAAGAACTCAGAGGAGACGGAGACACCAGCACACACACATACACACCCAATACCTGAATGAAGGAGGCCGCATCTGTTTAAAAAAAAAAGAGAGAAAGAGATACATCTCCACGCACGATTGCACGGCTACTAGTCAGTTAAACGCCGCAGCTGAATGTGAAACCATCACCGCGAGCTAACGTACATGACTCCTGAACAGGTACTTGTGTGTGTGTATGTGTGTGCTTATGCGTGTTTGACTGTCGCAACCACCTTTTCGCGTCTTATATATCAATATATCGCACAGCATGCAAACATATCGATGTTTATATGTGTGTTTTTGTGTATTTACTACTGAACTGCCTACTACAAAACCCTAAAAGAAAGGAAAGAAGAATTGGTTTGCCTCTCCGCTGTTCAGATTCCTTTCCTGGCAATGGTGGAGGCGAAAAGACCCATCGATGAGGAGGCAAAGGGCCACCAGAAAATGAGGAGGCGGAAAAGGGACTCCGCAAAGGTGGTGTCGTTGCTGCGATCTACGTCACCTGGCACACCGTTTCCTTCCCCAAACAACCTGCTGTAAAGGGGTGTTCTCTCGCCAGCTGCTCATTGTCTCGTGCGGCTTCGCCGCTTCCCGAAAACATGCGAACACGCGGAGGAAAAGACAGATGAGAGGAGAACGTCAACACTCACGAGAAGCGTGGTTGAGTCGGCGAAGATTTGAGAGGGAGAGAGCGAGAGGGACGCGCACGCACACACGATGCCCTCTTCACGATAAGCCAATAATAACAAGAACTCTCCCCTTCCGTCACTTCGATGTCGTCCCTTCACGCCTTTTCCCCAACCAAGGTGACTCCAAACGGAGACAGAGCAAAACCTCTCAGACGTCGCGGTGGACACGCAAACCACGCACATGCTTAGACGCCCGTCTTTAGCTCCTCGGCGTCGTACTGCGCGAGGCTTTCCAGGTACTTGTGAAGCACCTCCGTCTCGATGTTGTCCTCCCAGGTGGTCTTGGACAGACGGGGTGCCGGGATCGTCGTGTAGTCCGCATCCCCGGACGACTGCGACTCCTTCTCGCGGCCGACCGCCTCGTTCACGTAGGTGCCCTGCACATCCACGGCGAAGCCGTCAACGATGGAGCGGTCGACGATGACCTTCAGCACCAGCGAGTAGCCCGCAAGCTCCCTGTTGTCCTTCACCACCTTTTCCGCGACCTTCTTCGCTTGCTCCTGCAGGGCGCGGTCGCCCTCCCTACCCGGAGCCACGTAAACCTTCGCCGCCACGCGCTTCATCTTGGCGTTCGCGTACGTCTCGTACACGTCCGCGACGTCGGGCAGCAGCTCCAGCATACCGTTGCTCTGCATCCACTCCAGCGTGAACACCATCGGGGCGGAGAGAGACTGGAAGTCCTTCACCTCGCTCACGACCACCGTGCGCTCCCAGAACACGGGCAGCTTCGGGATGGCCGCCACGATGGTCTGGAAGTCCTTCAGCACGACGTCGAGCTGGTTCTTCGGCTCCGCAGCTTTGTAGAGGAACTTCGCGAAGGTGACGGAGTCGCTCGGCACGATGTTCACCGGGTACTGCGCACGCTCGAAGTCGCTAGCGTAGAGCTTCTTGAGCTCCTCCGACGGGGTGTAGAAGCGGGCGGCTGCGAGGGCCGGCACGCAGGCGGCAAGACGGCGGAACATTTCGCTGCAAACAAAGTTTTCTCTACGTGCGTGTGTCTGAGAGAGACGAGAGAAGAGCGAGAAGAGAGGGGGCAAAAGCAACGAATAGTTGTGCTTTAATTCAACGACTCTTCCGATAAAAATAAGTACGTGTGTGCGTGTGAGTGTGTGTGTGTGTGGGTGGGTGTTCGTGCCGTTGACCAAAGGAAGAGGGGAGATTGAAAAGAGTTGATAGTCATAAAGCGGTGGGCAGCGATGTGCGAAGAAGACAAACGACTGCCAGGATGCACGTGCGTCAAAGCACTACGGCCTCACAAAGTCATGGGTCTCACCGCGCATGAGACAAAAGCAGAAAGCGAGTCGTTCTGCTACACAGCAACGTGGAGAAATGGACGCCTACAGATCGTTCGGCGAACGCTCCCTTCGAAGCGGCCATGCCACACACCCGCTTAACATCGCATCGTGTCTTTGGGACTACTCAAGTTCATTCTCCGTTTTGATGGAGATGGTGCCGATAGAGACAGAGAGATAGATGCAAAAACAACGAAGACAACAACTCGCCCAACTCAACCACTACACACAAACAGAAAACATTCTCGGTAAGGAGAGAAATAGAAATATATTTAAAAAAACGAGAACGTCAGAATGACAAAGGAGTGTTAAAGAGAGGTAGAACGAGTAACAGCGTATGGAAACAAAATCGCGACGGAACGCAACACCCCTCCGTCGCCTCCCCTCTCTTCCCTTCCCTCACCAACAACCACGCGCATGGTAGAGGAGTGAGCGGTAGAGAAAGTACGTCAACAGCAACAACAAAATCAAGAAAAGAACGCGAGCGTCGAGAGGGAAAACTGCGCGTCGCAAGGAGACGTGGCGCGGGCGCCTGTGGCGACTCTTCACAACCGATTACGTCTAGGAAAAAAGATCATCCAAGTGAACGGTGGTGGTCGGCTTTGCGGACGCCGATGGGACAGGCGGCGCGGGTGCGGGTGGGGGTGGGGCGGCGTTGGCGTTGCCGACCCCACGAAACAAATCGTCGATGCCCGACGTGGGCGACGGCGCCGGCGCCGCGGAGGACGACCACGCGGATGCGGGGGCGGTGGGGGAGGGGGCGGGCGGGAGGGAGCTGAATAAGTCACCCAGCGGGTCCACCCCACGCGCGCCAGCCGCGGCGGCCGTGTCGTGACGAGCGCCGCCGCCGTCGCCGGCGAACTCGAAGAGGTCGTTGCCACCGGCTGGTGCGGCGCTGCGATCCGGTGCGCCCGCCTGCGGTCCCATAGGCGGCGTCGGCGGCAGCTCGGCGACGTCGTCCTCCTCGGTGTCCTCCTCATCTAACTCCACGTCCGCCAGGCCGTAGGGCGGGAGGAAGGACTGGTACGGCCGGGCGAAGACCACCGCGGCGGTGTTCAACGACTTCTTGAGGTCGGCCATCGTCATGGCGTCGCTGAAGGTGCGGTCGACGTTCACGGGAACCACCTGCCCATGCACGACCTTCTTCATCTGCTCCACCGTGATGCCCTTCGACAGCAGCCGCCAGTAGGCAAAGGCGCGGTCCCGCACATCGGGATCGTCGCTGCGGGTCGTGACGGTCTCCAATACGCGGTTGAGCTGCGGCTCCATCAGCTGCGGCTCGCGCAGAAACATCTTCACCACGGCGCTGATAATGGCGAGCTGCACGCGCTGCTCGTGCTCCATCACCGTGTCCACAAAGCGCCGCATTATTTCCTTTCCATTGTCCACAAAGTCGCAGTACTCGCCCAGCATCCACAGCAGCGACACCTTGGCCTCCTCTTCGACCACCTCATGCGCGCTGTACTCCGCGACGAGGGCGTCCAGCATGAGCAACTCCGGGTACGCCCGCACGATGTCCTTCGCAGCAGTCACGACGTTCGGCAGCAGTTCGGGTCGCCGCTCCACCAGCTGCATCAGCAAGTTCGCGCAATCTGGTGCCACCGAGGCCATCTTAATCGCCAGGAACGCGATGGCCCGCACGACTTCCACCAGAAAGACCATATCCACCTCAGACGTGTACTCCGCGAGCTCCTTCACGATTTCCGGCGCGGAGGTCGGCGTGGCCAGCTTCAGCAGCAGACGCAGCTTCTCCAGCTTTACGTAGGGTGGGTCGCTGTAGCGCACGTAGAAGGCGTCCAAATTTGTGCGGAGCAGATTGGGGAAAACTACTAGCAAGGCGTGGATGTTCTTGCACACCACGTACTGCGTTTCGGGGTCTCGCTTCGCCAGAGTAAGGAGGGCCGTATTGACGCGCACGGTGCTGCGCTCGATCAGCTCCTGTGAGCAGCGATTGGCAAGGTTCGCCACTACTTTGATAGCACCCATCACCACCGCTGGGTTTTGATGGCTCATCCGCGGCAGCACACGCGTCAGGAGCGTCTCGGCGCTTTCCTGGTCGCTCGGACGCTGCGCCGCCAGCAGGTCCAGAATAAACCCTTGTCCCCATTCGTTGCACTCCGGCAGGTGGTACACGAGCCGATTCACCCATTCGCTGTCACTGTCGACCTTCTCACTGCCGTAGTCGTTCACCTCGGCCACCACCGCCGCCGCGTTGGACGCGACCATCGGGTTGTTGTCGTTCAGCAGTCCTATCAAGTCCTTCTTGAACTCCTGCGAGTAGAAGAGGTTCATGTCGTGGTGGAAGAGCTTGCCGATGCCGAGGGCAGCCGTCTTGCGCACGTATGGGTCCGGGTCGTTCACGGCGCGGTGCAGCAGCTCGAGCGTGTATTCGAGGACGGACGTGACACGGATGCACATCATCGTCCGCACGGCCAGCGCACGCACCACCGGGGAGGCGTTGGTGGTGTCCTGCAGAAAGGTGTTGACGGCTAGCAGGGCCTTGTCCGGCTGCAGGCGAGCGGTGCTCAGCACGTACAAGTAGACGAGCTTCTTCAGTTCCAGGTCCGTCGACGGACCGAGCTTGACGACGTCCACAAAGAGGTAGCTCACATCCCGGCCCATCGTCATATTCGCAATGATGCGCTTCACCGCGGCCTTTTTGCGGTAGTCATCGGTGCCGTTCAAATCGCTGCGCAGTTCTGCGATTTCGCCACGGTGGGTCTGCGCGAAGTACTTGGAGCCGGTTTTCGTGTCCTCCAACTTGCGCTGGATTTTCTCGCGCGCTTTCCGAAGAAAACTTTCCATTTTGTTTTCCTTCTTCACCGATGCAAAAAAAAAGGAGCAAATTGAAAGAAAAAGGAGAAAAAGAAGCGGAAGGAAGAAGAAGAAAACAGGCAAAACAACAGGAAGCGTAGAAGAATGGAGGAGTGAAGGAGGTGGAGGGGAGAGCGGTGCAATTTCACGACAGGTTCTGCGTAAGGTTAAGGATGATGAGCGTCTTCCTTCATCACTGAAGCGCAGACCCAACGCATAGACCGGTCTTTCTTTTTCGTGCCACCGCATTTTCATCGCTTTTATGCCGTCAAAACCGCGGACAACGGATTCAAAATTGCCTAAGTGCACCACACCGTTGTCGAGAGCCCGCATCCCTTTAACTGAAGCGCCGCAGAGATGGCGAAAGCACGACTGCAGGCTGAGCAAGCCGTTGCGGCTGTTCGAGCTGTCGCCCCCAGTCTCTTATTAGTACTCTTGTGTGTGTACGATTGCGGTGTTGCTTGCATAGAAGCCCACTGGAAAAGACAAGCACTGGAAATTTAAAAAAAAAAGAAAAAAACGAGAAAAAATGAAGACCGAAATTTTTTGAAAGGAATCGAAATGAGGATCGATTAGGTAACGCAAAATAATGTCGCGCAGACGCTTGTGGGATGTTATTGATGTGTAATAACACGCACAACAGAAACACACAAGCAATGCGTTACATGGAAGTTAACATATATATATGTTAACAAAGAGAGAAAGAAAGAAGAAGAAAAAGAGATGACCATGTTAAAGGGTCTTTAAGAGCTGGTCACGCTCTCTTCTTGGGTCTCAACGAGCCGCAAAAGCGTGGAAAGAAACGATCGATGGACGGGGAACGGGTACGGTACTGAATTGATAAAAACGAGAAAAGGAGAAAACGAAAAAGAGTGTAGCACACGGTGTGTGCGGAGGCCGAATACAATCGAGACTTTGCAGACAGTCGAGTGGGTGGGTCACAAAAAGAAGAATATAATAATGATGATAATGATAAAAAGAAAAGAGACCCTTCGCCGCATACGCTTCAACACGAAGCGACCGCCATAACTGGAGGAAGTCCCCAGTAAAACAAGGTCGATGTAACGTACTCGACAATGTAATAGATAAAAACAAGAGAGACGAAGGAAAAAATAAGATTTGTTAATGAATCGCGCTACAGCGCGCTGTGACCGTTTTGCGGGTGTTTTTATAACCTTTTGAATCATGTACCTCTCTTTCCCCGTCGTGTTCACTGCGATCACTCCATCGCTGCCTTCCTCGCTACCTTCCACCGCAGAATACGCGCTCAAATTTTGTGTTTCGTACCCTGGTGGACGTATCGTAACAGAGAGGGAGAAAAAGAGAAGGTTTTTCAATAGAGAGTGCATACGCATGTGTAGATACCAACCTGAAAACCAGGAGGGGAGAGAAAAATATATATATATATATATATATATATAATCAAGAAAAGCTTGAATCAAGAGAAGAAAAAAAAAGGCGCGTCGACGGTGCATAAGTGTCTTTGAGAACGAACAAGATAGAAATATATCAGTAAAAGAAGAGGAAGTACTGGAACACGTTCCGCTACTTCAACGACAACTGAGAAGCATTGAGGAGTGCCTACTTACAGCCTCCCGCACCGGTCCCGAATGCTCAACTCGGGGCCTGCAGACAACGACAATCCGACGACACCGAAAAAACAACGAGCAAAAAAATCTTACAGAGGAAAGAAAAGAAGCAAAAACAGTAAGAAGACACGCATCCCATTAGAAGGGAGAAAAGAGAGAGAACAGAATTGTGAGAGTCAAGCAAACAAACGAAAAACTGGACGGGGATATCTTTCAACTCCTTTTAGTTGTGGGTTTGGCATCCAACGCTGTAAGGCGCGGCGACACGCACAGGAGTAAAAGAAAGGTCAAAGAAAATCAAGTAAGTAAAATAACAGGCGCGAAATCGGCTGAACCGTTATAAGGTGATTTGCCGAAGGTGCGCAGAACAACAAAAAAAAGACAAAAAGGGAGGAGAAAATGCCGCTGAATTGCTGCGTTGAAAGGTGCGAGAAAAATAAAAGTTAAACAGAAAGACACTGTGTTGCCGCGAGCGCGCATACGTATATGTACATCGAGAGACGAAAAAGAAAATCCATTTGAGATGTCAAAAACGACAGACACACAGCTGGGTAGGCCCAACACGAAGCACGCAGAGGCCCGCATAGAGATCGAGCTTACCATAAATAAATAAATATATGTAGTGGAAAAAAAAATCAGTACACGTGACCTTAAATCTATTTAGAAGAGTAAATGGTAGAGTAGGGAAACACAAAAGATAAGGAAGAGGTCGAACACCACATGGCTCCGCTACGAGAAAAGAAGAAACACAAACCACAAACGTCGCAAATATGAAAAAAGAGGCGGGAAAATGCTACAATGAAAAGGCGAGCTGTTTACAAATGTCTCACTCAATTGATGACGCCAGATCGAGGAAAGCCCAGCATAAACCTCATCATTGTTTTCGGTCCGTTTATTCAGAGAGGATAGAAGACGAGAATAAGAGCAAAGAAAGAAGCATCACGGGGGAAGCTTTATATTCTGCGACGTTGGCGTTGTTCGGGTTGATTCTCTCCTTTCGCCACCAGCCACGTTGTTCCACCACGGGGCGCAGACAGCGAAGACCTTTTTTTTTTTTGAACAGTCCACGTTTGCACACAAGCACCCACAAAATGATAAAAACAGCAATAATCAAACTACAATACAAAATCAGACTATAATAAGAAGTCAGTAAGTTAAGAAGAAGAAAAAAGAAATATATTGGGAAGACGAAAAGAAGAGAAAATGCTAAAGGGAGAGGGGGAGGGGGGAGGGGGAGAGGGGAGGGGGAGAGAGTCGCCGCAGAGGGAACTACCAACGCAGAGCTACAATTGCGACAAGAGAGAGGGGAATAGAACAAGAAAACAAACAGGACAAACAGTGAGATCAACACAAGAAAAAAAAAGGCAAGAAAAGAAAAGTAAACGGAAACAGTCGATAAAAGGAAAACGAAAAGAAAGAAAAAAGAAAAATAGGCAACCGACCACCGACCACCAGGGAACGCAGCATATTTTTCTCTTTTGCGTGTGTTTACTGGTTTGAATGCGAGCGTGTTGTGTCGAACTCTGTGTGTGCGTCGTCCACAAGCACACCCACTGGGACAGGAAAACGTAAGCTAGAAACAGCCATTCCCGTCCCGTCGGAGGGAATCAAACAAACAAACAAAAAAATGGTGGTTCAATTTCAGGCTGAGAAAACTTTTTGAAAAAAAAGGTTCTGCACTTTTGTTGTTGTTGTTTTGTTCACTCTTTGTCACAACTACCCGAAAAGCACTTCAAGACGGAATAAAGAATTTAAATAAATAAACACACAACGCTAAGGCAATAAAATTATTATTGTATTTACTTGACACAGCGTGATGGAACACAAATGTCGAACCCCCCAGCGCCAACCAATGGAAAGCTCTTCACAATAAACAAAAGGTACATGTTGCGTCGCGCCTTCGGCTCAGTGCACCCTCCACGGTAAACCTATTTTGTTGTTGTTGCTTAGCTTACCTACGCACGCCTCGCACACTTCGATCAACACTGCTTCCATTCATCTGGGAGATCCAACATAGGTGTGTACATTCAAGCACACAGAAAGCTTTGAATCATCAGCACTGTGTCTCCAAAACACACACACACACACACACACACACACTCACGTGCTCACTGCTACTACCATTACATTCGACGCATCTTTCAGTACGAAAAGGGAGACAAAGAAAAGGCAGCGGCATTCGAACGCCGGGGGAAAGAAGCACCGCTGATCGCCACGGGCTTGCTAATATGATAGAGTGGGGGATGAAATGAGAACAAGAACACAAGAAAAAGACGGGTATGAAACATCGATAGCAAAACACCGACTCCCCTCACAAACTCCCGGCGGGGAGGAGGGGAGGAGGGGAGAAGGCAAAGAGAAAACAAAACACGTGAGGATGTGTAGACAGCATCAGAAAACTAAATCGTACGTTGCCTCTTTTTTTTTGTCTCTGCTTCTTTTCCAATTAAGATGCACGTTCGAATTACAGAAAGTAGTACACACTTTTCAGATAACCAAATGACAAAAACCGTCTCCGACGTTTAAGTTTCAAAGGTGGAGGTTATGAGAAAGAGAAAGTAGGTGGAAAGAAAGCGACACGTAAAAGCGAACGCGGCGTGCTACAAGCCATCGTCCCACGGTGCGAACGGAGGGAATCACCAGGGTAAGGTGCACAACAAGAAAAGAAAAAAAACGATCAAGGTGGAAGCGCGAACCGTCAAGTGACAACACAAAAAACGACCAAGAGAGAAAAAAAACACACAAATGTATATATGGAAAGCCTTGAAACGATTAATCCGTTCGATTGTATATCTCAGTGCCCTCACCAAACCCGACACGTTGCATGAGCAACTCAACACCTGGTCATGTGTTCCTGTGTTGAACGGTAAAAGAAACAACATCGTTGTGGGAGCGATTTCATTCTAACGTTCAGAAGAGGTGCCGCACCTCGATATTTTCTCCCTGCTTTCACATCACACCCCATTCTGGGGATCGATAGGGAGAGGAAAAGCATTATTAAAATATAAAAGAGCGAGACAAACCAGGCGAGCTGTGAAGACACACGTTTTTAACAGGAAACCTTGGAAGCACGCATAAGGAAGGACACAGTATCTCCTTCTGTTTTTTCTTCTTTTTCTTTTTAATGAAGCGAATTCGTTTGAGGTGGTCGTTAAAGAAAAGAACGGGTTCTGAAGAAAACAAAAAAAAGGTGTCAGCAACTCATGAGTTGACCTCCAACCCTTTAGCAAGAAAAGAAAAACACAACGAGGAGCATGTTCGCACGTTTTGCTTAACGCGTAAAAACGTAGAAAAAGTACAGAAGAAGAAACGGCTCGTAATACACAAAACTGTGTGTGAACACACACAAGCAAGGCTTCAAAAAAAAAAAGGAGAAAGAAAAAAACGGCGCGAAGACAGAAGAAAGAAAAAGCTTGAGAGAAAAATACCACACAATCTGAAAGTCATCGGTTCACCCTAAGCGAAAGAATCTTGACCTCAATAGCGAGTGCAACCCTCACATGGTTGAAGGAACAAAGACGACGATTGCTTCGAAAAGACGCACAGCAGCAACGTTGCCATTTTTCTTCCCATGTCCGCAATGACGCGTTAGGGATCATTTTTTGTGTGTTGTGCTCCATAGAGGGCGTTGAAGGGGAAAACGAAACTGAGGAATACTATTGAAAAGGGAGACGGCCAGAGTGAATGACAGCGGGGACTTCAAAAAGCTGCGGTTTTTCCTTTGAGAAGTTAACTATATTTAGGAAAGCAGAAGAGCAGAAAACAAAATCGAAGAGAGCGCGCTTGATGGAACAACAGACGGCGCAAAAAACGAAAAAGAACTCAGTAGAACGAAACGGAAAAGAAAAGAGCGTAAACGATTATTATGAGGTAAAGGTGCAAAACAGACACCTTCACAAACGATGCAGCCGTAGTAGTCCATTTGTTCTTCGTTCACTCTCTCTCTCCCAACAAGGGCGCAGCCGAATCGGAAGAGAAAAGATGAAGTTAATTAAACAACAAGAGTAATATAATAATAAAAGAAAGAAGTGAAAAGGCTAATGAGTAAAACGACACGTTTTTTTCAAACGCATACGCGGACACCGAAGAGGCAACCCATGAAAATGCACACCACCTCTCAAAGCGTTGTCAGCGACACCAACGCCCTATTCTTCTTTTAATTGGAAGGCATTTCCGTACCGTTCCATAGGCGAAAATGGCGTTGCTGGCCATGGTTGAATTACTCAAACAACATCCAGAAGAAAAAAAAATGAAAGGAAGGGAAAAGCAAAGTGGGTGGACACAGGCGGCAGAGTAACGTTCGTTGCAGTAAAAACCTCTATCCTGTTGTGCTACAGATACCTCCGCGGTCATGTCCCGGTTTATTACGATCACCCTCTTTTGCTTTTCCTGGTGAAAGTGTGTAGGCATGTGCAGAAATTACCCTTATTTAGTTCTTCTCCACATGGAAAATGCACACCATCACTTTTCCTTTCTTTCTCTCTATGCTGTCGTGCACAGACGACCTACGCGGTCTTCGCGCCTCGTCGCGCATCCATTCTGCACGCAAGACACGCAAAAAGAAGAAAAGATTGAAACAACAAAAAAAGTGCTGTGGCCGCGTCCGAGCCGCACACGCGCGTCCTCGGAGCAAGCCGATGGGTACAGAGACGCTACGGAGCATCTCGTAAACACAGCCTGCCGGGCTCACTCAAGGATTGAGTGTTGTCGTGGTGGTTGTTTTGTGGCCGCAGTCCTCTTTTTCCACTTCGGCCCGTTCTCGGACAAAAGAGACGAAACATGAAACGCAGCGGCACACCATCAACGCGTTTACCGTCCTTTCATCGTGATGAATGCAAAAACAAAAACAACAACAACAAAGACATGTAAAGTAAAAACAAAGCAGTTTTTGTTTGTGTGTGAATTATCCGTGCAATTTGAAGCATAAAAAAGAAGTGTTGTGGAACAATCAACGACAAAAGAAAGCGCGGCGGCAGCCAACGTTCCCCCTCCCTTTCTGGCTGTTGAGGAATACTCTTCGCGACTTCTTCTCCTACATCGTGTTCAGCAGAGAGATCGAAAAACAAAGGAGAGGGAGAGGGGGTAAGACGCTTGACGGCGGTGACACCCATAACATCTGTACACGCGTCTGTTCTTCAGTAGACGGCGCGTGCCTGCGGAGCGTACCGGCGCTTCAGTCCTGTAAAGGAAGACGGCAGCGTGCGTGAGGACAGGGAATTGCGCGGAAAGACATCAACCACGGTATCGCGTGTGATGCACGGACACTTCGTCACCGGTGAGTGCGCCACGGCGTACTCGTCGTCGACGGAGGTCAGGCAGAAAGCCTGCATGGCAGTTCCCTTGTCCGTCAACACGCTCTCTTGCACCAGGCGGTGCGTAGACGCGATGAACTCCGGCACGGTCACCCCTTCCCTCTCGTGACGCTCCACGAGGTCCGTCAGCAGCGCGAGAAGGGTGTACAGGGTGTGGTCCGCCAGCTCACCGCCCTCGTAGTCATCCACGAGGATCGCGTTCTTCTCGTAGCCGCGGCAGCAGTCTGGCGTGTTCTCGATGATGATCGTGGAGGCGAGGTCACGGCCCAGCAACCGCAGCTCCTTCGTTGCTGAGGTGCCGTTGAACCAGCGGCGGTGGCGATAGACGGTGTGGCAGATGGCGCCGTATGGGTCAATTTGTGCAATCACGGCGTCCGCGTAACGGTGCTTGCTGGAGGTCCACACAATGGTCTCGCAGTGATCAGCAAGGAAGCGCATCAGCTTGTCCATGCCAGGGCGGACGTAGAGTGGCCCCTGGCGTGCGTAGATGAGAGTCTCATCCAGGTCGAGCACCACGGTTAGGCGAGACTGAGTCTCCGCCGACTTGGGCGGCACGAGGTATTCGCTCGCAGCCGTGATGGAAGGGGAGCGGCGGAATACTTCAGCGGTCTCCGCGACCGAGTCTTCCAAACAAAGGGAGACCGCACCAGGGCAGTACGCACCACGAAAGCTGGCACCGCGACGGCGTTGCGAGGGCATTAAATAATAGTAACGGAGGGAAAAATGCACGTTAAGGAAGGTAATGAAAGTAAAAGATAAAGGAGTAGAAGTCTCTTTTAATAGAGAGGGTGCAAGTAATAATGATAATAATAATAATAAGCGTATTTGTACTCGTATCGATGCGGGGGACTTGGAAATATGGTCCCTACAAGGAAGCGTCGAAGTCTTATAGAGAAAACAACCTGCAGCGCTGACGCAGAGGAGTGGTAAACAAAGACAGAGAAATATACGACGAACAACAACAGGAAAAAAAAAACAGAAGAGAAATAGAAAGACGAGAGGAAAGAAATAATAGAAGAAACGAAAAAGAGAGGATACGCAGGCAACCGTGATTTTGGCTGAAGGAACAGTTGAAAGAAGAGCCCGACAAGAAAAGAAAAAAGAACGGGAAACAAGTGAGATAAGATAGTAAGATACACTGAAATGCTTCTCTTTTCTCAAGCGTCGGGGTATCGTTGTGAATTTATGAGAAAAAGAATAATTGAAAAAGCAAAACAGATACTAGTTCAAAGAGAGCACAGAGAAAGCAGTCGAATAAACGAAAAATCGCTGTGGTAGAACAAAAAAAAAATGACTTCGCGGACACGTCAACCTGAAAACCGGTCAGCCAATCACTACAAAAAATATAGATTTATAATATATAAAACGGATGCGACACCGTTCTTTTCTTTTTCTGAATACTATCTAAATTAAAAAAGCGAACAAACGAAATAGAAGAAAAAAGAAGAAAAAGCACGCGAGAGAGAAATCTGCGCTGAAATTTCTCAGTAGCGTTGCGTAGAAACCAAAAGTGTGTCAGTGGATGCTTGACGCAACCAGCACGCACTCAAGTCAGTTAAAAGCAGTGAACCAGGTCGTGTGTTGCTGAAGGCGGTTCGGACAAAAGAAACTGACGATGTGCAAAATAAACTAATAAAGTGCTTTCTCTGAGCAATCAGCTGTTTTACTTTCGATCAGTGTGGGCTAAAAACGAAAAAAAGAACGAAAGAGGAAGAAAGATGGAAGGGAAAAGAGAGTGCCAAAAGATAATAACAAAAAAAAAAGAAGCAGCAAAAGGTCGACAAAGAAGTGGGTAGAGAGGCTCTACGGTTGTCGGTGTATTTCCCTTTTACCGCCCAAAGTCTCTTGCACTTTCACAATCACACGCAATACTACGCACAGAAAAAGCACGCAGAAAGAAAAAACAAAAAACTGTTTAAAAGAGCTTGAAAGTAATGAAAACAGACGAGCACTTTTATAACGGTTAGTTACTGCAGCGTTGGGGTGTTGGCAACGGTGATGTATTTTTAGTATTGTTTATTTAAATAGTGCACACCGTTTAGACGGTGCGTGGAGGGTGAGGAGGCGTGAGGTATTTCCATGTTGGTGCGTGGCAACAGCAACAAGCAAAAAAAAAAGAAGGAGAGATGGGCAACAGAGGACGAGGAGAAAGTTGTCGTGGTACAAACAGAAAGCCGGTGCAGGTGGAAGCGGAGAAGGCGCCATCGGAGAAAAAAGTCAAGAGACGCAATCGGTTGAGTCCTCATTCTCAAAAGCTGCCATGAGAGTACAAAAGGTGGAGCGTGCAGGAAACTGAGAAGGGTAGACGGTTCAGAACAATACGAAAACAAAGAGGAGAAAGGGATGGCCACTCTCCTGATGTACCAAGACGCGTGCACTAGACGGAATTGCGTAGCGGTTAAGAAAACAAGCATCATTCGTACAAATACGAAACAGGGCGCGCTACGTGGAAAATACAATAAAAAGCAGAGCGAGCGCCGGTCAACACAGTTTGCCATCGGTCGGTAAGCAGGGGAAAACCTGAAAATACCCTTAACCAAAAAAAAAGCTTCAGTGAACGCACTTGAAACAGCGTTCTTTTTAGCGAAACCATGCCGTGTGAGTTTCCTTCGGGCGAGGAGCAAGGAAACTGCTCGTTGCAGCCCGCATGGAAAGGAGGAGGAGGGGAGAACAAAGAGAAAGAACTGTGAAGGAGAAAGGAAAACATCGCTGCGATGCACACACATACACACACACACAAGAGAAGAGCGCCAATGCGTTGAAGACACGAAAAGGAATGAGAAAGCACCATGTCAACACGTCACCACCATCCATTTCTTTCCATTGCTTACATAACTGTCAGGCACGCTGCTTCGCGTCCTCAAGTGAAGAGTTTGTTCTCGCTTGATTCACATCGGCAACGAGGGCATTTGCACTCGAAGAGATAATGATCGAGGAGCTGTTGTTGCCGCACCGCGTAGGGCAGCGACGTGTCGATGTAGCTGATCGTGAGCTCCTCGCCGGCCGCAATGTCGCGCAGCGCCACCACCGAAAGCGTCTCGTCGTTGACAGCGGCGTACTGTACGTTCAGATTCGGGTCGCACGAGTGGTTGAAGAGGCAGCCCACGCCGTAGATGCCCTGTCCTCGAGAGCTGTGCGAGAGGTCCGCGGCGTCGGTCAAAGAGCTCGTCTGCAACACGTTATGCTCAAACTCCTTCATGAGGGCTTCGCCGTCTGGTAGGCACGCGACGAGATCGCGGTGCAGGTCGTAGGGCGACGGCGGCGAACGATCCTGGCCGTTCAGCAGCACCGCCCCCAGCAGCTCCGACCACCGCGATGCATTCAAGTAGGATCGCTCCTCATCGCTCATATCGAACAGGCGCTGCAGCAATGCCACGCCCTCCTTGCACATCGCCGCCTTACTGCGTCCTTCCACAGTGTACGCAGCCCTCACCTCTGGGATGGCCATCGGATCTGATTTGCTTGCCTTGACGGCCGCAGCGTGGGCAGCCACCTCCGCAGTAGACGACGCGGCCGTTGGCACGTTGTCGAGTAGCAAATAACTAAAATAAAAGGACGCGAGAGGAGAGCGAATGAGCTGCGCGTAAGGGGCGAAGCCCTCGCTCATGGAGCAGCCGTGCAGGCGGTGCGCACACAACACCTGAGCCACAATGCGGAAGCCCACCATGGCGGTGTCGCTGAAGTCTACGCCGTTCTGCACCCAGTCGTACTGGAGGAATTCACGGCGTGCTGCTTGCTGCTCTGCTGTAAGGCGGCCCGCACAAGAAACCCAGTGAAACTTCTGAGTGGCCGCCTCGCGACAGCGCGCGCTGCAGAACAGATCGGTGCACCCTGTCTCCCTCCAAAGACACGGAACGGCGGACTCCGGCATGTGCAGCTGGTGATGCGGCAGGGCCAGAGCTGCCTTTCTGCAGTGTGCGTTGCGCGCCACCTGCGTCCGAGGTGTCTCGAGTGACTTCAGACAGAAGGCGCACACCTGCACGCCGATGTTGTAGTCATCCATGTTCTGCGAGCAGCACAGCGCCGTCTCCTCATGGACGACGTCGTCTGCCGCGATGGCTCGCGTGGCGCACAGCCCTTTTCCTTTCATCTCATCCGTGAATACCTTCAGGCAGGTCCCGGCGAGCGCCATTGTGTAGAAGTCTTGCGTGTACGTCCACGATGGGCCACCGCGCTGTGCATTCTCCGTCATGACGATCAAAGCACGCCAACGGAAAAAACAGTAGGAAAGGGCAAGGCCCCGTAAAGATGCGGGCTTGCAGTGTGTTGCTGGGCGTCGAGTTGAGTTCACCAGCGTCGCTCCATCACCGCAGCTTGGAAACCGACGGGGGAGAGAAAAGAGGGAGAGGAAAGGCAGAGGAAAAGTGCGAAACGTACATAACTGACGCAAAATAAAGCAAACAACAAAAAGACCTTAATGAGAAGAGGCCTGAAAGATCCCCCAGCGATTCACTCGCCTCGCGGCTCAGGCCATGTAGGTCATGTCCACATACTGCTGTGACGTTGGCCATACATATTGCTCTCAGGGGAACAATAATCCTCATCATAAAGGAGGACGTCATTCACTTTAATGCATATTCGCTGGTGCAACGTGGTCAGCAGAATTGAAAGAAGAAAAAAAGAAAACGAAGGCCACATGTGCTTGGGCATGCGCAGAGCCAAAGAGAAGGAGGTGGGAACGCTGCAAGAACAAACAAACAAAAAGCAGTCATTTTCGTTCTCGTCGCGGTTGCTCCCCCACACACCCGCAAATCACGAACAGACCTTGCGTTGGATATCGGGGTCTACAAACGCCGAAAAGTCAAAATCGGAGACGACAAACTGGCGGTGGTCGCGCAGCAAATAGGAGGCGGAGCCCATCTCATTCAGTCGACTGCGAATACGAGCAAAACTCACAACTTCTTCCTCATTATGGAAGTTGTAGTGCGCCATGTACCCGCTGCGATCGTCTTCGCCCTCACTGTAGTACTCGCCGTCGCTGCCACTGCTACGGATGTTGCTCTTCCCGCCGCCCAACGTGTTGCCGTCGGCGCCATCGCCGATAGCCCGTGCGTCCCGCGCTGCGTACGTGGGGTCCAATAAGTGATTCCACGGCACCACCGATGTAAAAAGCAGTTTCACGTTGTTCTGATACAGCTCGTCGACCAGCACGATGAACTGGTGCGATGCGTTGTAGTTGCCTCTGCCGATGTGCGGCACGTTCGTCACAACAACGGTGTGAAACTGCGACGCGATCAGCTGCATATCAGCGGACGAAAAGCCTTCGCGAGCACCGCAGATGTCGGTGAAGTCGAACATCGCACACCCGCCGCAACGAACAGGAACGATCACGCCGCGGCCGTGGTGCCACAGCATGTCCTCCTTAATCCACTCCACTGCACTATTGCTGTCAAGACGATCATGATGGTTCGTCGTTCGATATCCGTGTTCGATGCGCCGCACCAGTCGCTCCATATTCGCTCGCGAGTTGGGGTGCAAGAAGACCTGGTGATGATGACACTCGTTCGCGTCTTTCAGTCGATAATCGCGAATGTCGCCGCAATCGACGACATTGCAGTACTGATGCAGCACGGGAAGGAACGCGCTGAAGGAAGAGGAGACGTGGCAGAGCTCCTCCGGTCGGCGATTGCTGGTGGTGAGCAGGAACAGACCCTGCCGAAAGGCGTTGGTGAAGAAGGCGGCAAGCAGGGCGGCGTGGGCCACGTCGAAGGTCTGGAACTCATCAAAGCACAAAATCGGCGTCTCCTGCAGCACCTCTTGCACCACGACATCCATCGGGCGAAGCGCACGAAGTGCCTTTCGCTCCGCCGGCAGTTGCACTCTGCGGCGCCGCGCCGTCAGCTCCGCCTCTGCGCAAAAGAGACGATGCTCCAGTTCACTCATGAAAGAGTGCAGGTGGGAGCGGCGCTTGGGGTAGGGGGTGGCGCAGAGGCCAAAGAGGTCCAGTATCATTGTCTTGCCAATGCCCACGTCGCCGCACAGGTACAGGCCGCGCTTCTCCACGACGCCGAGGTTTTCTGCTTCGAGAAAGCCCAGCGTGCGCGTGACGGAGTCCGGAAAGAGTTGGCCGGCACGCTTCATCAGCACCTCCCACACGGTCGATGGAACGGCGCTAATCGACTGGAGCCACCCTTGCCCCGTCTTTCTCTCCGCCGCCACCCACGGCCGCGTAAACGCGGTGACCTTGCCTGCATCCTCTTCGGCGTGGCTCTGCTCAATGAAGCGCAGCAGCGGGGTGCACGACTCAGCCATTCTTCTTTGTCGATCGTCGTGCTCGATGACGCCTTTGTGTGCCAGGTGCTCGTACGCCTCGACCACGGTGCGCTTCGTGGATAGGTGACTGGACCACATGTTCGACCAGCGGCGACTGCACCGCATGCAGTGTCGCCGTCTGTGGAGGCGAAGGATATTAATAATTTAAAAAAAGAGCAAGACGGAGCAAGACAAGCCGCTGAGCGGACGTGGCGAAGGGGGGGGGGGGTGAGACGAGCAGAGTTGAAAGGGGGTGTTAAAATGTGTATAGTCGCAATCGGGTTGTGCGCACACAAAAGGTTGAAAAGCAGGAGAGCAGAGCAAAATATGAAAAGGGAGAGCTGGATGGCCCCGGGCAGCGATGCTTGTCTCCTCTGCCTCGTGGTCGTGCAAGGCGTGGGGCGAGTTCGCATCTCAGAGATAACAATAGCAACGAGTATTGAACAAAGAAAAAACGGACAATTGTTGGTGTCCACAATTTGTTTTTTGAGTGCGGAAGGAGGAAGAGAGAGAGAGCGAGCGACGATGGGAAAGGTATGTGTTTTGTTGTTGTTGTTGTTGTGTTTTGGGGGAGGATGAGAATTCGAAGACAACCCGCTAAAGCAGCATGCTGTTTGCGTTCCCAAAACTTGGAATGAGAGCGAAACGGATTCTCTTACTTGTAGCTCACGTTAGCTGCGGTTGCATGTACAACAACTTCGATAGTCCCTGAGGAAGAAAAACACGATTAACGCTCTCGATAAGTGGACGGTTGACGTGCTGCTCGCCTTTTGATCAGCTGACACGCGAAAGCTCGTGCTTGATAGGTTGCCCTAAAAAGCAACAGAACGTTTTAAAAATAAGGGGGGCTCTTTGCTGCCATCCTTCGTTCTTTCCCCCTCTACGCCATGGCCAGCACGGCCTGGCGCAGTTCCTCCAGCAACGCGGCCCCGGCACTCCCCACCGCGTTGTTCTGCAGGGCGGAAATGACGCTCTCCTTCGCCGGCTCGAGCGTCCTCGGCACCGCTGTCTCCGCCATCAGTCGCGTCACCACGCCGCCGACGGCTTTGCCGGGAATGTCCACGGCGCAGTGAAAGACGAGGTGGATGAGGAGGGTGCAAATCGCAGAGAGCAACCTGCCGTTTGCCGCGGCATCCTCCGACGAGGCAGGAGAACTCCTTGCCTCCTCCACGGCGGCCTCCTTCATCCGTGTGTAGACGTCCCGCTCGACCTTCTTACTCGGCGCGTGGAAGGAAGCCACGGCGATCACGCCGGAGCTGCCCATTTCGCGCAGCGTCTCCAAAAACGGCTCGAGAGACTTGCCCGTCAGCGTGGTGATGATGGGCTGCAGGCTGTTGCGACGACTCTCCGAGAACGGCTGCAGCGCCTTCTTAAGCTGTGCAGGTTGGCTCACGTCACTTAGCGCCACGGCAACTTTATCGCTCAGCTCTGGCGAGTCGAGGCTCTCGTTGCGAATTACCTGACGCGCCAAGTGGTACGCGTGTGTGGCCATGACGTTGCGCACGATGGCCGCAGCGACTTGCTCGTCCAGCTGCGCTACCGCCCATTCCACGCCCTTCGCAAGGATGCCAAGGTCGATCCAGCGAGCAGCCAACTCCTCTTGCAGAGACGCCCGCGACTGCTTCAATTCGGCAGCGGCGCTCTTCGCAGCGGATGCTCCTAACTGCTGCTGGACCACGTCGATCGCGTCGGCCCACATGTCGCTCAGCTCCCGCAGCACCTCCGCATAGCGATCACGCGGCAGCTTCAAAACGGAGGCAATGGTGTCCGCTGCCACCGCGCTGGGATTTAACTTCGACTTGCTCGCAGCTCTGAATGCGGCTGGGAGAGCGGCGTTCACCTTCTCCTCCGCAGCAGGGGAGAGCAATACGCTTTCGGCGACCAACGACACCCTCTCCAGTCCAGGGTAGAGCTCGCGCAGACGCGGCTCCAGCGCCGGCCAGTCTTTCTCCACTTCCACAAACAGCGGCAGCTGCTCCGTCACGTCCACTGCGAGCACCTCGCCCTCCGCGACGCTCTGCACCGCCGGCAAGTTGCTAATAAAGCGATCCGACACGAAGCCGTTCGCCAGGGGGTACCCACAGAGAGGGTGCTCCGCGCTCGCACGCACCAGCGTTCGTCCCACCTCCTTCGCTGCATTGACTGGCTTCCCTCCGCCCTGCCCTTTGCGACGACCGCGGCGGCCATGCGGCGACCCGCTCGAAGTCGGCGACGCGGACGGCGATTCCGGCCCGTCCAACACCGCCTCCGCCGGGTTGTAGTGCTCCACGAGGTACTGACGCGGGTTGTGGATGCCCTGGCGCTGCAGCGGGGCGTACTCGATGTAGCCGTTGGACGCGTACAGGTTTTGCACCTCCGCCGTGCGCTTCGCCTCAAACACACGTGGAACGTAGGTGTGGTAGTTGTCGAAGCTGCCGGGCAGCTCAGTGCGCACCGCTTCCACCACCGTGTCCAGCAGCGGCAAAAAGAGCGCATTGCGCTTGTAGAAGGCGTCCAGCCGCACGGGCTCCTCCGCTGCCAGCAGGCCAGCCCGCACTATCATCCGCTGCAGCTTGACGAACTGTTTTGTGTAGAGGGAGGAGCTCTGCATAACCGCGTCCAGCAGCGCCTTCTCGATCGCCTTTTGGAGCAAATCCTTCGCAAATACGGAGGTAAGCTGGTGCATGGAAGCGAATTGCGTAACGGCCAGCGAGCCCTGCTCTCGCAGCAGGTCGCCCGCTGCCAGCACGATGGAATCAAGGTAGCCCTCCGTCATGAGTTCTCCGCTCTCCAGGATCATGGAGGGGTTCTCCTCCAGCACGCTCGGCAGCACACGCTCAACCTGAAAGGTGTGTACGCTGAGCAGGCCAGGGAGGTCGACGACGTTGAGGCGTCCGCCGTTGGCCACGACCTCGTCCACGATCTCGCGCTTCAGCTCATCCCAAGTGAGGTACTCCTTGGCGTCCGTGGTGAAGAGCAAGTCGACGAGCTTCTTCTGAATCAGCGAGTTCACAATCTCCACCGCATTGCGCTCTGTGATCTGGTTCGACACCTCCTCCCTCTGAAGAGATTGGAACTTCCTCACGAGCTCACTGAGCTCCACGTCGTCCATGGCAGGAAGAAGCTCCGTTCTTTCGCTATTTAAGGAAAGGGAAAAAAAAGGCAGATAGAGCTGTATGCTGGGCGTTGCAACAGAGAAGGGCAGAGCCACCCTCAAAATATAAAGGGAGAGGAAATGAAAGAGTGATGCAGGTCCGTTAAGCGCGACGAAACCTCCGCACACCGGAGACATTCGCCATCTGTGAGTGCACAAGGTTTGTCAAAACGAGAGACCCGTGAAGTTCACGCTGAATCACCTGCTGTTTGACTTTGGCGTGAACGAACGCAGAAAAAAAAGACATTCAAAACCTTCAAAGTGATTCAAGGGTCTCAACAGTGCTCCCTACCTTCCCAGTTCCCAGAGTAAATAGATTCGGCATACGCTGCAGTAGATAATGTAGGGGTATAACGGAGAAAAGAAACATATAATGTGGCTGGATAAGAGAAAGCAATTCACTGGCAAGTTAGAAGCCCTGTTGAGGCTCACACAGGGGGGAGGGAACTCGCTGACAAGCATATTTAAAAAGGGTAGAAAACAAGGAGTAGGAGACCCTACTCGCCCGTCGACAAGACGTGAGTGCCACGTGCGTAGACCGCACCACTGTCTTCATCCTCGAACGAGAAGTCCGTAAAAACAATGTCGTTGGACTGGTGCACCAACCGCGTCACACAGCTGCACTTTGTGTTTTCAAAGACGGCAGACAGGAAACTGATGTCAAAGCTGACAGACTTGACGGGCTTATCCGGGAGGTACGCGCGGACGTGCATTTTAGTGAAGGCATCGGCCAGAGTGGAGATGGCGCCGCCGTGCACCGACTTAAACCCGTTGCGGCAGCCCTGCTCCGGCCTCCAGGGAAAGACGAGCGTCCCCTCCGGTCGCTCGCGAATGAGATCAGGCGAGAAGAGGACGGTGCTGAGGAGGTGGGTGGTGTAGTTCTGCGGGTGGTCCATCACGCGCCGCGCCGCCGCCGTCGCCTGCTGGATGGCGACCGAGTTGAGAGCAAAGCGAGTCGCCTGCATCATGTGTATAAGGCCTTTCGGTAAACGTCAGCACGAAATAATAAAAAAATACGGGGTCTTACGCGTATTGCTGCTGCCTTATCCAATGGAGAACAGATGCGTAAGCACGACTTCACTCGCGAAAACAAGACGTGGGGAAGGAGAGAGCGGAGCGGTGGACTGCCCATGCTAGAACGCACAAGCGAGGATTTTTCTTTTTAGTAAGCACTGCCATTCTTGGTGCGTCGCTCAGATGGGGTGAAACGAGTTGAACCGGAGGAGCTGTTCTTTCTAGCAGCGCAAAACCTCTGTCAAGCAATTTACACAGTGTTAAAGAGCGTGTGGATGTCATTGAAGAGGCATTTGACGTTCAACGATTGAAGTGCATTCGAAGAAGTTCATCTATATATAGTTGTGTGTGTGTGTGTGTGTGTGCGTGTGCGGGTGGGTGGGTGGAAATAGAGACGTCTACTCTTGCGATCAAAAAACTGTACAAAGCGATGCGACATGTCATATCAGAACAACATCAACAAATCCAAACGGAGACCGAACAGGGTTGCACGTCAATGCACGGCGAGGCAGTCCCACAGAAATTGTCCACAAGCTCTTCTCACCCTCTGCGCTCACACGCCTTGAAAAAAGGCTATGAAGTGAAAGGGAAGTTGGTGTGCAGCAAAGTTTCTTTTGGGGCATCAGTTTGATTTGAGAAGTCTCACCCGTCATACAGCACTTCTTTCAAAGAACGACGCAGCTTCACCTCGCAGGCAGCCACACCTCCGTCACTGATGGCTGGCATCTTCGTCCACATCGGCAAAGGAAAACTCGAGGTCTTTCACAATATCCTCGTACGTGTGAGCAAATGTCTGCGGGTTGGAGAGGTCCACAAGAGAGGTGGCCTTACGCCACGCGCGGACTCCCTCGTTGTTGGTGATGCGGGCGGCGATGCACATCGACGTTAACTCGCTTCTCGGCAGGCAGTTTAAATGCAGAAGCCGCTGCGACGCGAGGGGATCGCCGCAGGCTTCGGCATGCAACCGCACGGCCTGCCATGGCACCTTTTCCCCACATTTGGGGCAGTTAAACAATTGCGACAGCAGTTTCGCTGCCTGCATTGTCTGCGATGTGCACGCACCCGCCGCTTTCGGTGTGGACTCGCTGACGTGCACTCGCAGCTCGTCGTAGGTGGAGAAGCCCCAGTAGGTTGCCCCGTACAAGACGAAGATCTCCTCCGACGGTGCGATGTCGCGAATAGCCACGATGAACACGCGACCGGGGTGTGCATCGTACTCCATGAGCTGCGCATTGGCCCGCAAAGGGCCGTCATCGTTGATGAAGGTGGCCAGCGAGAGGTACTCGCCGGTCTTCGTCACGCCGTCTATGAAGGTGCCGCTGGAGCGCACACGCACCACGTAGATGCCCCGCATGGCGCCATTCGAGGCCGCCCGTAAAGAACGGCCACGGTACTCGCACAGAACGCACCCCTGCGGGATACGACGCGTGGATCGCAGAAACAGTCCAAATCCGGCGTGAGGCCCAACGGTGGAGGGTTTCACCTCAAAGAAACGATGTTCCGCGCTTGCTGGGATGTAGCGCACAAGGGAGCTCTTCTCCGTGCAAATGAGCGTCATGCCGAGCCACTGGTACTCACGGCTCACGAGCAAATTCACGTGACACGAGAAACGCATATTGCGGGTGGTGTACCAATCTCTGTCGTACTCAACCAGCTTTCCTTCCTCCATCATGCGCTGACACGCGATGTCGAGCACGTCCTCATCGAAGATGCCGTCGAGCAACAGCGAAATCGATCGAACGTTGAGGGGAACACCGAGGCGGACGCACATGTCCCCGATTACACGCGACAGCACCTCATAAATCATGCATCGACGCGCAAATAAATCCCAACGACGCAAAAAAAAACGCGTATATTTGAGAACAAAATATACGCAAAGCAAGGCTGCGAGATTCGTGAGACAACAAAAAGAGGAGAGAGGGGTTCGGAGAAGAGGAGAGAGGGGGGCAACAGAATAAAGATGAAGTGAATGAAAACGCTCGCAGAAATTCCATCAAAACCATCTGTGTCAACTGACAAAGGATGGAAGATTTGTTGGTCATGTCCAACCCTCATCCATCTGTGGTAAGAAAGAGAGAGAGAGAGCGGCGAGAACACTTTCTTTTTTTTTGCTTGTCTGCGAGCCAGCTGTTTCCGAATGGCTACGAGACCCTCGTGGCGTGGACCCATGGCCACGAAACTTGGAGGGAAAAGGTGCGATCTGTGCAGCGCCCAACTTAATGGAGAACACAAACAGTTCGAATGAGAGCTTGTTTCACCCCTCACGATGTGAGGACAAGCATGGAGGCAGTAGAGCTGACTCGGCTGGAGGTGTACAAGCGGAAGCCGCAAAGAAGGAAAAAGCAGGCGGAGTCCCTCCCACACCCTACGGAGATCCAAAGACACTTTCTTGAGGAGAGAGGGAGAAAACGGTCGGTACTGGGTGCCCCTGGCGGTAGACACCTAGCGAATTTCTACTGCGTCTGCCCAACGTGACCATAGAAAAAAAAAACCGCCCTTTTACGAAACGAAAGAGGATGTATTGGCCAAGACGAATAGAAGAGAAAAAGGGGGAAAAAAAGAAGAGCTAACCACCCAGCCCTGAATGTCTACGTGTTTTAAGAAGAGAAGACAAACGCCATGTAGGTGCCAATGGCGGAGAACAGCAGCCCCATAAAGAGCAGCCCCCACGACAGCAGCGCATCCACCCAACCCGTCAAGTACGTACCGGAGGAGCGCATCTTCATGGCGAACAGCGCCGGGAAGGTCATGGAGAGCGTGGCACTAAACAAGGCACCAAGCACAGACACGACCTTGGCCACATCGGGTAAAAAGATGGCGAGGATACAGCACAGCGCAGACAGCACCACACCGAGTTTCGTACGCGTCCTCTTCGGGATCTTCGTACCGCCACCGCCGGATAGGAACATAAAGGCCGCCAGCCGGCATGGGAAGATGCAGAAGACAAAGGAAACGGCCGCGCTGAAGCAGCACATCAGCTGGCAAACCATCATCAGCAGATCCGTCTCCACATTGTAATTCGACAGAATGTTGCCGTTCGACAGCCTCGGGAAGGTCAGGCTCCCGAGAATACCGAGCGCTACGTAGAAAATCGAAACAACGCCCAGCGCCAGGGACGTCGACACCAAAATCTTGCGGCCTGTCCTGTCGTGCAGATCCTTGATGACCGCCATCACATTCGACTGCACCTCGTAGGAGAACACAAAGATGGGAGCGGAGAACATGTAGGGCAGGGCAACAGCCAGGCGTCCCGTGGAGAAGTCCGTGTTGGCACTCGCGGAGGCGTCCTTCGTAGGGTGTGTCTTTGCGCCACCGGGGACTGTCTGGGGCACAAAAAACCGATAGGCGATGGTGAATATGATGAAGACGGTGAAGATGTTGCTGACGAGGCCCTTCGTGCGCAGCGACGCCAAGCGGGAGTTGAAGGTGAGAGGGGTAATGATGAGCATCGAGGCGATGAGGCAGATAGAGCCGCCGGTGTCGCTGCGCATCCAGTCCGGCAAAAACGATGCCCGTCCTACGAGAACGGGGGTGACGCTGTCTTTGATGAAGTTCAGGTACACCACGGCACAGCCGAAGCTGTAGAAGAAGAGAATGAAACGAATGACCCAGCACCCCTTCGCGCCGAGGAAAAAGCCGGCGACCGTCTCGTAGTCATCCGAGTCTGCGGAGAGGGAGGCGAGGGCGAGAATGCGCACGGACAGGAACGCGACGATGACGCAGAATAGCACACACAGAATTGCAAAGGACCACCCGCCCACCACAAAGGCAAGCGGCAGCGACAGCATCGTTGGTGTGCAGGCCGTCGTGACAAGGCCCAGCGCACCAGACAACACACCATCACCTGGGCAACAGCTCTCCAGCAACGAGCCTCTCATCTCTTCCAGGCTGCTGAAGGTGCGGTTATCGAAGAAGATGCTGCCGTTGCCCGCCGTGCGCCAATCGTGTTCATCGCCGGCGACCGATGCCGCGCCGCCACCGCGTGCCGACCCGCCCCTGATGTCGTCCACGAGGTGTGTTGTCTCTCCCTCCTGGTCTGACATATTTTACCCGTTCTTTATCGTAGAGTGGAGTGATTGAAGGTATGAGAAAGCGAATGGAGAAGCTCGTGATGTGAGCAACGAAAGCAAAAGGCGCAACTCAACGCCAGTAAAACAAAACAGCAGTACCAATGATAACAACTACGGGTACCACCGCAGGGAGAAGAGAACAGGAGCAAAGAAAAAAGAATGAGTGGCACGTCAAACGCATCCGCTTCGCGATCTATACACACGCAAATGCGAGTGCTCGTCGAAGAGCAGGGAGTTTTGAAAAGGGAGGAAATAACGCTTCTTTTCTACGATTTCAGAAACAACAAGAACTCCCAGCACCACAGGCTGCTGTAGACGTTGCAGCGCAGTTTGCGCATCCGCACGATGAAACGTGCTGACGCATGAAAGCTAAGTGTAGAAATCGTAAACATTTTCCAGTCAACACTCCGCAACGAAGCATTGAAATACGTCCAGAGCCAAGACGTCAACGCTGTCTCGCTCAACGTACACGGCGATACCACACCGCATTTGTTTTCCCTTTTTGCATAATAACTTACTATTCCACAAGTGTGGCAAAGCCGAAGTTGCAGTCGTTCGAAGCACTTTACAAAGCAACGAATGTACATGACGGGCAACGCGGCAAAAATGGGCGGAGAAGAGAGACCAGCATCGCCATGGCTGAACGCGCACATCGAGAGTGGAGAGCGTTTCCTGTCGGTATCGCTTTTCTTTTTCCTACTCAATCGCAGTTAGCTTTTGCGGATTAATCGAAAATCGGCTTGCCCTCACGCAGGTCCGCCTTCAGCTGCGCAAACTGCTCAAAGTCCACTCGATTATTCTCGCCGTACTTCTCGATCAAACCCTTCGCCTTCGTGTCCGTCTGCCGCAAACCAATCTCCTTTAGCACCTGCTCAAACTCGGGCAGCTCGATGTACCCGCTGTTGTTGACGTCCCAGCGGTGAAACATCGCGTAGTCGGACTTCTCCGTCGTGTCACCGTCCAGAAAAAGCAGCGGTAGCATGCCGAGGATCAGACCTATCATGATGCCCACCGTACCACCGAGGTGACCCGCCAAGAAAACTCGCCGGTCCTTCATCTGCTCCTCCGTCAGCACCGGCGTGTTGAAGTTCAGTTTCTGCACCGCCTTGTCGATCAGCCCGTGTATCTGCATCCCCAACATGCCTGAGCACACGTTGCCCATGGCAGCGGAGGCGAGCACGGAGCAGTTCAGGTAAAAGCCCAGGCTGCCGTCGATCATGTCGCCCGCCAAAATCATGGTCGCATTGTCGAGAAAACCAAAGCCGACAAACGGTAGGCCGGCCTCGAGGGCAATCATGAAGAGTGCCGCGAAGGGCAGTGCCTTGGACGCCATCACCGTCGTCGTGCTCGCCGTCTGCTTCGCCTCCGTCACACGCTTCTTCTGCTCTTCCTGGCGCCGCTTTAGGGCGATCTCAAACCAGTGGTCGAAGTCCTTCGGTGAAATCTGGCGGTCCTTGTCGGCGTCCGCCTTCTCGACTTCTCGCGCAGCGCTCTCCGTTCCAAACCACTCCATCGCACCGCCGGCCACCACCAAGCGGCGGCGGCTCTGTGGGTCCATGCTGGCCACCACCTCCATCAGAATGCGGGGGTCGTTCTCGATCAAGTGCGCGATGCGCTGCAGCTCTTCGGGGGTGAGAGGGCTGTTCGTCGTGGGCAACGGCGCCGCTGCACCGACGGCAGCCGCGTTGCATACCGGCGACGCTGTGCTGAAAGATCGGCGCAGCAAGGCCGCTGTGGCCGGCAGCGCACGGCAGGGAAGAAAGCACCGCATGAGAGCTAATCAGGTGTCGTTACTTCTGTAGCCGACGGAACGTAGTGAGGAGGGAAAGGAAAGGAGACCGCTCTACTTTTTATTACTGCGATAGTAAGTACTAAGAAGGAAAAACGTCACATCAACTTCGCGACAACAAATCGACACCGCGAAAGAACTGAATGATGTCGCCGAAACAGGTAGTGAACCATGGTCAGCAGTTCTATGGATGCATACGTCAATTCTATAGAGAGCAGAAAGAACAAGAATTATGATGTCTTATCTTGCGGCAGAAGATATTCTTAGTACCCTGTGTGTGGGTGTGTATGTGTGTAAAGAGAAGTTCGTGTTGGGGGGGGGACCAAGAGGATGCAAAGAGTTTCTGGACGAGTGCAGACTGGAAAGGCAGAGACACCTCGAACATAAAAAAAAAGGAAGGGCAAAAAGAGAATCGAAGGGTTGCACCTGGCCGAAAACTCAGCACACAAGCAGTTCCGATTCCTCGGACGATTTGTCACGCATGTGCGCCGATCGTTCGGAGGGCACAAATGCATTTGCTTGCAAAGGCATCGCGATGCGTTTACCTACGCTGAAGACCTCGGCGAGCCATTAAAATGGGCATATATAATTTTTGCCGCGCATTTGCGATTCCCATATCGGTCTAGTGCTTTTGATTGCACTATCATATACCCTTTTCCGCGTGATGCTCGATGTTACTCGCTTACGTTAGTTGCACCACGCACAGCAGCCGCTTACACTACTTTCAACGCTACAACGCCCCCAGCCAGCGTGATAATGGCACTCAACACAGCATTATATCAAAAAAGGAAAATAGCAAATGAGCAAAGCGTTCCTCGTCCCAGAAAGCAGAACATATTCGAAGGGGGAAACCCCCTTTTAGTTGAGACACGCTCCAACATTTAAGGTTGTGAACAGAGATGCAGACTTACGACGATGAAAGATGAGGATCATCCACGTAAATGGGATGCCCGTAGACGGCAACACCGCTTTCGATGCAGGCGGTCAGCTGCTTCACCGCATCTTTGCTGCCGTCTACCTCATACAGCTCGACCAGCTCGTCTGTGAAAACATCAGAGAAAAACTTCATGTAGTCGTCTCGCACCTGCTGCACCGCCGTGACAACGTCGCTGGCTGAGCCTTGCTGCGACGTAACGTCGGTCATCTAGAAGGAGTTGGAACGAAAAGCAAAAGGGGAAAAAAATGTGGAGCCAAAATAGAGGTGACCGCCTGAGATGCCTTCGGCTATCTCACCCTTTCGCATAGAGACCTCTTCATTGGAGTGCGTTGAATGATGAAAACAGAAAGAGTACAAGAAACAGAAGTATCGAGAGAGAGAGAGAAAGTTGATGCATAACACCAAGGAGCGATATCCTGCCAAGGACACGTTGAAAATAGCCAATTTACCTGAGGCAGACCAAAGGCGAAAACGATAACGCAGCTTCACCAAACGAATTCGCCTCTTAGCGACCGTAGAAAGAGGGATTTCGACGCCTTACATATTCGCAAAGATGTCGCTTGTGTATTCTTTATTTGGTGTTTACGTAGCAGAATCCAAAGCATCGAATAAACGGGAAAAAAAAGGAAAAGCGGCGAACTGTGAAGTGGTGCATGCCGCTGCATGCGATGCCCTCCTGCCTGCTGCGTCCACATGTGCCTACTGCCGTTCCAGCACACACGCAACCAGCTCACTGCAGGTGCAGCTCAACAACTCCTTGCAACTCCACCTCCGTGATCAGCTGAAACTCGACGAAGTTGTGGAATTTATGCTGGCTTCGATTCACCTGCTGCTGTGGCGTCTGCTGCCTCGCCAGCAGCACTGCGTTTTCGCTTTCCCACCTCTCAAACGACGCAAACATGTCTCCGGCGTGGACAGCGGCAGTGCCATCCACCGTGGCGACGGTGATGTGAAGAGGAACGGGTTTCCTTTTTGCCGCTGGTGCGGCGACTCCTTGGAGCGCCTGACCGCTACTCAACGCAACACCGAAGCAGATGGCGTGCCGATCCAGCAGCAACGACTTCACACGTACCACAACTTCCTCACCGGCTTCAAACCCCTCCGCAGCGAGGTACTTGTGCATCGCATCCTCCACGGACGACGCAGTCGTCGCACCACCATGCAGCAGCGTCACGTGTGGACGGGATGCTTCTCCTTCAAAGCGTTCCTGCAGCGCCGCCGCAATATCCGACGGTGCCTTCACGGCTTTCCCGTGCAGAAGCCAGCCGCGTAGCCACTTCAGGTGCCCCCGGGCAATCGTACCCGCAACTCCGGTCGACTCCGCAGCAGACGACGCGTTGCCCCACAGAGCTGCTGCCACTTGGCGCACGAGGCGGCGACCCGCGGTAACCAGCGAACTCGCTGGTGCTTCGGTAGCACGCAGCGAGGGGCAAAGCGCGGCAAACAGCACGTCCGCCGCTATCGCCCGCAACGACTTCGCGGAGCAGCACAACCGCACCTGCAAGGAGCAGAATTTCGCTTTCCTTTTCAATGCCAAGAACGACGCGACATCCTTCAGCTGCGCGGCGGTGCTTTCCGGCACGCCAAGTAGACTCTGCAGCAGCGTGGCGTGGCTCTGCTGCAACTGCGCTCGGACAGATGCCACCGTCATCGCAGGAGGCGGCCCGACCGTGGAAGCGGAAGGCCGACCTGCGATGCTCCCTTCCCTCTCTTGACGCGCCGTTAGCTGCTGGATGAGACGCCGTTGGATTTCAAAGGCCGCCGCCTCCGCTGCGTGCGTGTTGGTGTCCACGTACCAGCACGCCTCCTCCGCTGTAGGCGGCTGGAATTTCTTGCGCACCGTGTACAGAGCGTGCTGGGCCTCCGCAGCGTTGTGCAGCACTTCATGGTCGTCGCGGTCTGCAGCTCGCTGCGCGCTGATCGATGCATCGGGGCAGTCCACGTACACGATTTGGTAGCCCTCAAGCGAGGATGGGAAGCACCGCCGCCACGCCTGCCGACTCGCTCGCGTGGCGTTACACGCGTCAAACACGAGAAGACCGCTAAGCTGTCCTTCCTGGGAGAGGCGCGCTACATCACGCATCTCGTCGCACAGCTCCTGGTGAACCAGCGCGCGCAGCCGCCTCTGCTTGTGTTTGCTGCTGTTATCGTCGATGCCGTGCTTCAGCCCCACGTCGCGGCTCACGGCGTCGCGGCTTACATGCACCATAAAATGCAGGGAGGAGTTGGTCGAGTCCGCTGAAAACATCTTCAGCAACGCCTTTGAAACGGTTGTTTTGCCGGCCCCTGGCAATCCACAAAGAACGAGGACGAAGAGGCGACAGTGGCCGCGCGGATTCGCTGCACGTGCTGAGATGTCTTGCAGCTGTGCGAGAGCGCGGCCAACGGTCTCGCTCGCGTCGCGGTAACGTGTACGCGCCTTCGCGTGCAAGGCGGCCTCAAACTGATCGCTGAGCCGCGAGACACCAACGTCTGCCATCATCGTGCGTATTTCTTCAACTGCCGTGTTCGCCGTCAGCCAGCCCAGGAATCCCTGGTGATAGAGGTACATCGGTGGATTTGAGTCGCCCATCACGAGTGAGCGAAATGCGCGCAGGACAACGTACTTGGGCGTCTTCAACTTTAAGCGAATGGGGCAGCACCACGGCAGCGATTCGGCGTGTGGGCGCCCCGCCTGGCCTGCAGCGACTTCAATTAACACCACGAAACCTTCGGCCAGTATGGGACACTCTGTGAAGAGCGGGTAGACGCTCTTCCACGTTTCGGCAGCTGCCATCACGTCGTGCAGCGCTGCGCTGTTCTGCAGTACGACTGCAGGCGCACTTCGCACGCTCCACTTTGCCGCGATCGTCGCCATCGCGGCAAAACCGACGCTCTCCTCTCGCAGCTGCGTTCGCTTGAGCACTGCAATCAGCACCAACTGAGCATCAAAAACATCCGCTTCAAGCACCGGGTGCTGATGATCCTCTGCGCGCCAGATACACTCAAACGACGCGCAAGCGCCCCAGGAAAACAAGTCGGACGCCATCAGAGCACGCCGCGCGTTGTCCAGCTTCGCGAGCAGCTGGTGGGCTGCGTCAACGTGCGGGCCGGCCAACACATGCTTGCTCATCACTTCCAAGTGAATCCCATCGAGAGAAAACACCGTGACAACAAAGCCCGCCATCTTCCGCACCGCCCACACGAGGTTCACACTATTTGCCCACAAAGCCGGATCACTCAGCCACGCGTCGCTCACCTCGCTGATGTCGAAGAATTTGTTGATGCCGCGGCACACGATTGCGCCGGTGCCCTCCTCGATCAGTAACGATCGCGCACCGCATGGCAGACTGTTCACATCGCCCTGGGAAGCATCCTTCACACTGACAGACACAATCTGACGTCCATTTGACAGCTCAGCCGAAGAGGTACTTGCCCGGCCTCTCGCCACGTATGATTCCAAGTCTCGCAAATCGATGTGAGTGGAGGTTGGCTGCGACTGCTCGCACCGAAACCAGCATTCGCTTTTCAGCGCATCCATGTTCAACACGTGAGCGCACCTCCACGGACATTGTTACCGAGTCGGAACGCAAGTGTCAAGAGAACAAGAAACGAGAAAGAGATAGAATCAAGAGCGTGGAGGGGAAAAGAAACGTTCAATTCGGGAGTGCCTCCCAGCAAAATGCAAGGAAGTTTTCCTTCTCTTGCGAGAGCTGCTTACACCACTTAGCCGCGAGAGGGAAATGCACTCCTGGTTTAACGTCTGTGTGGGCTGCCCGAAAGACCAGATGGCGTTGTGGGAAAGGGACGCGAGAACCCTCTTGAAAACCCTTTTAATGCGGTACATTGTCCGTATCTATCGTGCACATGCGCAACGCAACGTCTATTGGAAGAGCCCAAGGAAAAGAAAGAACAGCTTCTACTTGTGTGGCGTGCAGCAAAAAACGTTTAGCGGCACGGCCACACACACACACACACATGCACCCACGAAACCCCTTTGTCGAGGAAGAAAGACACCTTCAAGAGAACGCCGTGGCGTGGTACGATACCGCCCCTGCGTGGGGATACGCTGCGTCATCGATGCTCACCACCTGCTCCTTCACAAAGGTGGACGTGGTGCCGGCGTGCGTGTCTTGCATGTATGTCTCCTCTGTCGCGACGGGGCGACGTACGCGTGGCGGGCGCACACGCGGTGCACAGATGGCAGTGATCATCACCATCGACTCCTTCAACAGAATCTCCTTCAGGGGAGGGGACGCATTATCCTTCGCCCCTTTTGTCAGCAGCAGCACAACGTTGTCCAGCTTACCCGCCGCGGCGGCAAATTGCAAGGCTGTGGCTTTCATCCCGAGACCAAGCACGAAGGTATCGCCAGTACGCTTGAGGCCCCACTGCCGGCGGTGGTACTGCACGTAGCCGGCGGAGCTCAACACGCCGTCGGCATTCTTCGACGTGAGGACGCGGTTGAGCTGCTGTGGGGAGCCGAAGTAGGCGGTGGTCCACACGGTGGCCTTGCTCAGGTCTTCTTCCTCCCCATGCTTCAACAGCACATCCTCTCCGCTCCGCGACGCTGACGGAACGGGGTCTACCGGTGGTGGTGGTGTGGACGCAACATGACGCACCTCCGCCATTCGTTTGACCTCAATTTTGAGGTAATTCTTCGCCACATCGAGCTGGTCGAGGAGGAACTGAAGGCGCTGCGCCTCTGCCGACTCGTAATACGCGCTCGTCTTCTCAAATGAGACCTGTGGCACAAACGGCGGTCGCAGGAGATCCAACGGGGCACCGCTGTACCGTGCACCTCCAAAAATGACGTACTCGGGTGGCAGCGTTAACGGCAGAGACGCCAGTACGTCCGCCTCGCACCACTGCAGAAGTATCGCAGGAGGTAGCATGTGTGGGGTCTTCGTCTCCGCGAGCGGAAACTTCATTTCAGGTTTTGGAGCGGCGGCGGTGCTCAGCAGTGCCGGGTACAGCCACTTGCTGTAGTCTGGTATCTTCAACTCTTCTTCCTCAGCCACGGGGGGCGGCGGTGGAGTTGCCGGTGCCTCTTCTTCCGTTGCGCGGAGCGTCGGCAAAGGCGCAGCGAGCGGACGAGAAACGACAGCAGGCATGGGAAGGGTAGGAACGGCTAGAGTCCACGACGCTGGCGGTGCTGCAAGGGCCGGGTGAAGCGAAGGCACTGCAGAACCACCTGTAGCGGCTGTTGCTGCTTGTGGGAGGAGTCCCGAAGGTAGCGGCAAAGAAACTGCCGTGGGTACTGAGGGAACACGCAGCGCAAGTAAAGAGGAAGTCGCAGGCGGCAGTGAAGGAAGCGTAGGGGTCGCCACGGGGGGCGTCGTGGCTGTTTGCATGTAGTGTGTGTTGGCGGTACGCAGTGCTGGCGCTGCTGGACTCGGCGCGGAGGAGGGTACGGGCAACGTCGGCACGACGACTGGGGCGGCCGACGGCGCCGGGACGCGCAACGCGCTGTGGAGGGGCTGCGACCCGGTGAGAGTTATCGAAGGAGGGGCAGTGACGACGGGCACCGCCGCGGCAGGCACCTCCGTGCGCTCGCCCGGCAGAGCGAAGGTGACCATCCTCGTAATGGAGGGCCGGGCAGCGCGCCCGGACTGCGGATGCGGCGATGCGTTGAGAACAGCGGTGAGAGGAGGCGGGGACGGTGTGGTGGATTGGAGCCACGGTGCCGGCACGATCTGCGCTGCTGTCGCTGCGACGGGGGGAGAAGAGGATCCACGAAGGGCCACGGAAGGCATTGGAAGTGGAGTTGTGGAAGCAGGAGGTGCCACGGCCGGAATGCTGAGGACAGGCACGGGAATAGCGAATGCGTACGTCGCCTGTCGGGGTGCGGGTGGCACAGCCGGTGGCACAGCGAGTGTGGGGGCTGCTGCAGGACGTGGGACAACGGGAACATACGGAGAAGGAGAGGGCAATGCGGAGAAAGCAGGCACTGGCAGGGGCACCGGCGGTGCAGCGACGTGTGGCGCAGCCAACACTGGAGAAGGGCTAACGACAGCTGCCGGCCCTGCAGGTACCGGCGCAGGTACAGGCATAGGCATGAGGGAATTGTTGTAACCTGCGTACATTATTTGTTTCGCCGCGATGGGCTGCGCGGCGCGTCTTCTATGAAAACAGCTGTAAACAATATGAGGGTTGTAGCTTCCTCAAACGGCTCTCGCAGGGAAATAAAAAGAAGAACAGCTCTACGAGGTAGATGGAGGTTGAGACTTATGCCGTCTGATTTGTCGAAGGAAGAAGAAGGTGAAAGAGCAGATGTTCGCAACAGTGAAGGCGACGAACCTGTGAAGGTAGAATGAGAGAAAAGCTGAGAACCGCAAAGGCCACAGCACTTTCCTTGCATTATCACGGTAAAAGAAAAAAGGGGGGTATCTGTTCGCTATCAGTCAACCTCGCGGTGCATCAGAACACAGCTTTGTCGAATAGGCTGCTTACTGTATTCCTGTTGTTGCTGTTTCAGAACAACCCATAAGGCACACTCCAAACTGGAAAGCTGAACATCGGTGGAGCAGACGTTTCTGCTTTCTTTCTGGATTCTTCTAGGTTCATGCATTGTGAGCAGCGACACGATCCACATATTATTTTCTCGTTGGAAAGTGGTAAGCACTGCAACAAGTCCGCCGTTATTCAGATGACGACGATTACTTCGTGACCTTCGCAGCCGACTGTTCAGCCTTTTCCATGCGCACGATAAACTCGTACTCATCGGCGGTGACCGGCTGCACGCTCAGCCGCGATTGGGTGAAGAGCGCCATCTTCTGCAACTCCTTGCACGCCTTCATCTCAGAGAGAGTGACTACGCGCTTCCACTTCGCCACAAACTTCACATCCACCATCTGCCACGGGTTCCTCTCCGCCGTGGCCTTTGGATAGTAGTACTCAGAAGTCTTGTCCAGCGCGGTGTAGTCGTCATAGGCCAGACGAGCCACCTCTGCCAAACCTGCCACGCCGGGCTCTTTCGTGTTGCTGTGGTAAAAGAGAACAACGTCGCCGACGGCCATGGCACGCATGTTGTTGCGCGCTGCGTAGTTGCGCACGCCATCCCACGGTACAGTCTTCTCCGCGGCCAGCTGATCAATGGAGAACTTTTGCGGCTCCGATTTCATCAGCCAGTAATGGACCTCCGCCGGGCGGACGCGCTTTCGATGCATCTACTTACTGTGATCCAAATAAACGCTCCACTGCAGAGGAAGACCTAATTCAGAAGGGTGTACGATAGCGTGGGATGTGCGACGATACCGCTCACACAGCTCAGCAGTGTGACGCGTTAGCACGATCTTCAAAAGTTGAAAGACAAGCAGGTAGGGGAAGGATAAATAGGCACCTCAGTTGTGAAAGTACGCAGACACAGTTGCGCAACGAGGTTCGGAACACGGCAAAAAAAAACCTAAAAAGCTAGCCGTGCGTTTGAGCGGCAGCTGGCGCGGTACCGGCTAAGACGTTCCTTCTCTGTACTTCACTCCAGTGTGCGTGCTGATGTGAGTATCTCTTTCTTTTTTTGCTTTTGGGGTAGCAAAGCCATGCGGAGCAGCGCTATAGCTGGCACCAACAACAGTAAGAAGCAGCGTAACAAGCATGCCGTCTCTCCCTTTCTCTCACCAGTGTGTGCAGACGTCACGGCTGCGACGCTTCGTCAGACTCGCCATCGTCAAACCATTCGCCCTCCTCTTCCTCGATGCGGATGGGGCTCACCTCCTCCATCATCGGCGTTGCCGTTTGCACGTTCTGCGGCACCTGCTCCAGATGCGGCTCCACGTCTTGGTGGAAATGCACGTCGGCATCCTGCTGCATTGCAGTTTGTTGCGTCACAGAGACGTGTTGCCGTCTGCGGTTCGACGCACGCGACACCCTCGCCACGCGGCGCGCCTGTGCCTTGCGGTCACGGTGCTCCGCGGTGCTGCGGGCGTACTCGAGCATGCGACGCAGCGTGGAACTCTTCGCCGTGCGCAGTTGAATATTGGTGCTGCCCGACATACCGCCCACATCCAGGTTTTCGTAGAGTGCGTAAATACGAAGAATCTCGCGGCTGTCCGCGGGGGACATGCCCGCACACGCCTTTTTCACCTCCAGCGGAGCCACAGGGGCCACCCGCAGCTCCTTCACGAAGCGATCCTCCATGAGCGTCTCCATCGTCCGTGCCAGCTTTGAGATGGGCGCCTGTATGCCGTTGTACAGGTAGCAGTTGTTCACGACGCTCCGCATGTCCGCCATGAAGTCCTCAACGGACTTGTACTCGTACCGCTGCAGCTTGCGCTGGATCAACTCCCAGTACATCGGCCGGACCACATGCTGGACGTAGTCCGGCAGATTCGAGGGGTTCTCTAAGAACACGCCGTCGCTGTCCAGCTCTGCAACGCTCTCCAATATGCGCCGGCAGTCCTCGTAAAACTGTCCATCTAAAAAGTGGTAGATTTCGTCGCGACGCCGCTTCAGGCGGAGGCGCAACTCCTCCACCTGCACTTGGCGCACTGACGTCATGTCTGTCTGCGTATACGGGCTCTTTACAGTTGCTCGAGCATTCGTGCCAGGTGAACTGCACGCTGTTGTGCAAGGCTAGTACGGTGAGGCGAGAAGGGGTAGCAGATCAGTACTGAAATAAAGAGAAGAGGAAGATTCAATGCAGTCCCGGCACAGCTCCATTTTTTTCTGTAACAGCGGTTGTTTCTTTTAATTGGCCAAAAGAAACGCGGCCTAGAGTTTCTCAGCGTGCTTTGGAGAAGCACACGAAAGACATTGTCAAGACTCCTCGACCGAAGGAAGAACAGTCGCTGGCGGCGCTGCTGCTCCTCAGCAACCCTGTGTGTTGCAAAGGGCCACGAGAGCTCATTCCATCTTGAAACAAAGCAGCTTTCTTCCAACTTATTGTTGATTTAGATAGCGGATAAATCGGAGGAAGGAAGTGTGCTCCTTTTACGACGCAGCCCGCGCCTAAGCAAACGATACGCGATGGCGCCTCTGCTCACTCACGTTCTCAAAAAGCGTCGTCAACGACTGCCGATGCGCTTGAAAAGGGAAGCCACACAACGCAGTACAGCAGACAGAGCACCACGAAGGAGATGAGATAGTCTTTTGCGTAACGCAGCACAGGCCAAAGTGGAAATTCGCGGTAGGGACTATTCGGTAGCGGCAGTGCCCCTCCACGGCCCACCTCCCAATGATTGGGGTACAGAAACATGGACGCGTACCATACATCCCCATCGACCTGTTTGTTAGTCGACCCATTGGCGTCTTCTGGCCTGAGGTAGTCAACCAACGCCGCAGCTACGCGCAGCACCCTGCGATGCACACGGCTGTCTTCAAAATATGTCATTTTCTTTTCCAGTCCGAAATCATGCCCACTGAAGCAATACCGAGGCGGCTGTCGATATCGATGAGCCAGTCTCACAAAGTGTTCCTCTTCTCCACGCCAGTAAGAAGGCTGTAGAGGAGCACGAAACGAAAAGGAAGAGAAAGGCGTGAAAAGAAGAACGGGGTGTTTGTGTGTGTGGGGGGTCCGGTTTTACGCAAGCCGTGAAGTCCGCTTCCTCCTGAGAGCTGCACTGCACGCAGCATGAGAAAGGGAAAACAAAGGAGAAGGGACAGAACGACTGCGAAGCTGTGTCGTCGCTTGTGCATTGAGAGAGAAAATATTTTTCCCACGGTGCGCAGCAGCGAAGTCATGGGAATCAAAAACGCCACCTGCAAACGTAAAATTAGATGCGGAGGTAAAGCTTTTCTTTTTATTTTTAAAGAGGAACGCAGAGGAGCACCTTTGAGACGTCACATCTACCGGTGTCGCTCTTACACACGCACACACGCACAAAGATCTGGTACACACAAAGGAATACAAAAAACTTTCCATCAAACACCACAACTCTATTTCAGACATTATTCTCTTTCTTCTGAGAGCTAGTGTAGTTGCGCAGGCATCGGTCACTGCAAAACGCGCTAGCGGTAGTCGCCGTCGTCCGGAATGTTCATCGTCAAGCCCACCGCTCACGCACCTCTACGACGCTCTTCTTCAGTGACGTCAGCGGTCTCTGCGTACGTTGCATTTAACAATCCTCGGGCGTGAACGTCGACTCGTGTGTGGAGAAACGCCAAGAGCAGTCAATCCAATTCTCACGAGTTAGTAGTACGGCATCCCGCCTGCCATTACGTTGTTCACCTTCGCCAGCAGCTCTTCTGCCCCCTCCACCGCCACCTGCTCATTCGAAGAGCGCACGTTGCTGGCTGCTTGTCGAATCGCATTTCGCACCGCCGCCATGGCGTTCGTGATGAGCCACTGCTGTACGGAGCCGCGTCGTGCGAGGTCGGCCAGGCACAGCAGCACCGTGGCGTATCCGTACACGAGGTACCCCGTCGTCACGCCGGCCTGCTCAAACTCCTCACATTCGACCCCGGTGTCGTCCTTGTCGCCCAGCACGGTTTCGTAGGTGAGGAAAAGCACCTTCGGGTCCACGCCGAGGCTCACCAGCAGCTGCACCGTCTCTGGCGACCCTGTCGGCGTGCGCAGGAAGCAGCGCGACTCGAGTATCCGCACCAGGTAGGACAGGGGGAAACAGCTGGTCTGGTTGAAGTACTTCTCAATGAGCCGCTTGGTGATGCTTTCCGTCGCGTCGTGCCGGTTCTGGAAGGCGCGTCCGATGCACGTGGCGTACACGGCCGGGTCCGTCACGTTGGAGCACAGCAGGGCATCCAGCTGCACCTCGGCACCGCCCAGCGCCGGGTACATGCCGCCCATCTCGATCAGGTCACTCGCCGACGCCACGTAGCTGGAGAGGAAGTCAATCTGCTGCAGCGCGACGTCGCGCTCCGTCACCACTTGGCCCTCCCACTGCACACGACGATCTAGAGAGGGGTCGCCAGAGGAGACAAAGGAAGTCGCAATGCGGTAGAGGCGCTGCTGCGTCTCCAGCAGTCCCAGCTGCTGTTCCACCTGCTGCCGCTGGTCGGACTGGCACTTCTTGGCGCACTCCAAGGCTTCGCGGAGGCAGCGGATGCGGTAGGGCAGGCGGTCCGCTACGGGGACGTCCGGTAGCGGCGACTGCGCCATGACAAAGCACTGCTGCATGGCCCCTTTGTAGTCGCCCTGCACATGGGACAAATAGTGGGCGTACTCCTCGGTGAGCACGCCGGCGTTGCGGCGGAGGTAGCTGGCCAAGAAGGGAGAGCGCGAGGCAAGGAGCGTCTCTCGGAGTGCGCGTGCCGTAGCCTTGTCATGACGCGGGGCGCACAGCCAGTCGAAGAGGAAGCAGTGGGCGTACTCGTCGGACGGTTCAATCTGCCAAATGGTGCCGGAGCGGCGCGGGCCGCCAAGGAGGTCGTCCACGACGCTGCGGTGATTCAGCCACGCCGCCTCCATCGTAGACACGGCGAGCTCCAGCACCTGCGTCTTGGTCTGGTGAACCGCGTAGGCACTACTGTTCCGCAGCTGCGCGCTCGATTGGCCGTTGCCTTCCGAGAGAAAGATGTGCAGCGCCGCGTTGTTGGGGTCCAGCTGCGCCGCCGCGTGCAGCAGCAGCTCCACCGCCACGTTTTCGCGTTTGAGGCTGCGCAGCTGCTCACAGATGCTTTGAAGGGCGCCGGAGGGCCAAAAAAGCGCGGCCTTGGCGCCGACCTCCGCAGCCCACTGCAGCACCTGCGACTCGGTGTACGACTGGAGCGACTCGCCCCGCGTGAGGGCGTCCATCTCGCTGCGGAGGCGGTACGCCTGGGTGCTGATGCCGCCAAAAAAGTAGGGGCACTTCTGTTGCAGCTGGATAAAGGAGGCCACGCGATCGCCCGCACTGGCGCTGACGCCCTGCTGGGAGTCCAGTAAGACTTGGCTCAGATAGCGGCCCAGCCGCTGCGCCACCTCCGCGTCGCGCATCACCTGTGCAAACGTGACTGGCGCGTCGCCAGAGTGCAGCGGGATCCACGGCACGCGCTGCAGCAGCGTCGTTGCCTGCAGTGCCTTGTGTGCCAGCTCGTAGCAGCCGTACAGCATGGTGGCCTGAAGGCGCTTCACGTCGTCGGACCGCAGACTGCGGCCGCGAGGCACGAAAACGACCACCTTGTCCTGCTGCCATTCGTGCTGCATGTCGATGGTGCGCTGCTGCTCCGTGACGGAGCCAACGGAAAGGCTGTCGAGGTACTGAATGAGCTTCGTCAGCACCACGGCCACGGGTGCGACGTAGCTCTGCGACACCTTGCTCACCGCCACATCCCACAGGAGGCTCAGCGATCGCGCGAGGAACGTGGCGAGGCCGGTAGCAAACGGTGACATGAGAACAACGATCTGCTGCACTTCCATATCCACGCCTGCGTTGGAGGCGCTTTGTGCGCCAGGCAGCTGCATGCTGCGTAAAAGGTCCCTCGCTTTGCGCTGCGCCTCCACGTTCTCTGCCGCACGGAGCCGCCGCCCGAGTTCGCTGAGGGAGAGACCCTCGTCGCCGCTGCTCACGAGCGAGCCGTCGCCGCTGAAGGAGCGGGGGACGTCGGACACCGTGTGGAGGGCCCCAATGGCGATCTGAAAAAGCATCGCCGCGTAGTCGGTGGCGCTGTAGACGGAGGTGAAGCGGCTCAGCAGGGCGTCGCGGCACTCGGCACCGGCGCTGGATAAAATGAGGTACAGTGTGTCAACTGGACGGGCCTGGGTGTAGAGGGAGAGGCCGTGGCGGTGCACCACGATGTACGTCACGGCAGGGGAGCAGGTTTGCGCGCACAGGTCGTTGAGGTTCTGCGCGGCGCGGCTTGGCAGTTTGTCGATGGCATCGACGCGCACGATGTGTGACGACGGCCCGCTAAAGACAGTGACGATATCCCGCGCGTTATGATGCGGTGCCATGATCGTCGGCGGCGACGTCGCGGCGAGCACCTCGTCCGACGCGCGGTCGTCGCTGGCGTCGCTGAAGGCGACCAGCACCGCCGTGGCCGAGCCGTAGCACACGCTCACCTCCTTGCCGGGCGGCAGATACGACGGGGTGTGCGACTGGAGAATGAGCTCTGCCGAGTACACAGAGTCGAACGTGTTCGTGTAGCGGTAGCGAAACTGATCGCCGTTGAGCGCGGTCGCCATCAGACGACAGCCCTGCGCATCTGCGTCGATCACAAACACCCGAATCAGCGGCGCCGCCTCCCCCTGCGCGGTCGACTGGGAACGGAGCTGGCGGTCTGGTTGGTGCCGCAGAGAGAGCATGTACCGCAGCCCGCCACTAGAGTTGATGCGCCACAGGCCGATGGTGCTCTGTTCACTCAGCGTGACAAGAATGCCGTCGCGTTCGTCCACGGCGAGGTCGATCAGGCCGCCGTGCGCGCCGCCCGTCCACGTCTCCCACACATTGCTGACGACGGAAGTCAGCTGGCCCACCACCGGGGTGCTGGAAAACCAATTTGTGTAGCTCACCAGGCGGATCTTTGGGGTGAAAGGGGTGTTCTCGCGCATGTAACGAACCTCGTACACGTGGCCATCTGCACCCGCACAGAAGACTCGGCCGCTGAAGCCGCTAATTTTTGTGATCACAACGTCGGTGGAGCAGCTGTAGCCTAAACTCACCACCTTCATCTCGGCAGCGTCGTCCTCGCCGACGACGCAGAGGCCGAGTAGGAAGAGCATGTTTGTGGTGGCTACCGGGAGAACGTAGGTGACATGCGGCTGGAAGGCCCCCGCAACAGGACGCACCGGCGTCCCGATTACTGTGATCAGCTCAGGAATCTCATCGTAGACGCAGAACTCGCGACCTCCCTGGTAGTCCCACAGCACCAGCTTGTTGTCGACGGTGAACCAAGCACGCGACAAGGCTGCGAAGACGCCAATAAGGGAGGAGTAACGCACCGTCTTCCAGAGGGACAAGAGCGTGTCCGGCCACGCGACGCTGCCAACAGGAAAGAAATCAGGCACGGTAGACGTCGTGTCGCGGGTGTTGAGGGCACAGGAATTGGAACGGACAATACCGATCGAATGGGGATTGGGGTGCCGCCCCGTCGCGGCGCCGGCCAGCACCGTGCTGACCACCTCTTCTACGACCGGTACAGTCCTCCTTGCGTCAACGCTCGTTTGCTGCATCGCGGAAGATGCAGAGAACGAAGTAGCGTCAAATCGTGCCCGCCTGATATATGAAGAAGCGCTTCCCGGTCGACGGGACGGAAGCAGATCCGCTAAAGACTGCTTTTGATTCTGTGTTGGTGATGGCCGAAGTAAAGAGCAGCCCTGTGATCGTCTTCCTTTCACGAAGAGGGAAGGCGCATTCAAGGTTGAGGGGCAAAGCTCGTTAATTAGCTCCTCACCAAAAGTAGAGCAGAAGAGCAATTACGTACCACTTTGGAAAAGAAATGAAGAATGAAAGGCAGGAAGTGAACGAGACCTAAGAACAAAAAAGAGGGGAAAACGTCGGATGCACCTTCAGCCCGTTCGAACTGCAAAATAGGGCGGTTGACTTCGCGCACTTTCCTCGACATTTTCCACCAACAAAACGCACGTTAAGACAAGCGTCTACAGCCTCATTTGTTGTTGTTGTTTTTTTCACCAAGTAAGTGGTTTTCTAAACAAAGCGGTCAGCAACACACGGAAAAGTGTTCGGCAGAGACCAGAGGTCTTGAAAGCCAAAGGGAATTGTGCTTGAACGCGTGCTCTCTTAACAATAACAGCATTCAAACGCGACCACATTATTGTTTTCTTTCACAAAGAAGAACACGTAACACAAACTCAGATTTAAAAAACGCACCACGTAAATGGAGGGAGAAAGAGTCAAAATAAAAATAATCGAACACGAAACGGTAAGAAAGGGACTAAAAAAAAAAAGCCAGTCAGCGTTTGTGTCACGGCAAAAAAGGCCAGCCGGCGGGGGAAAGAGAGAGGATGTGCACGTGTAAAAAAAAAAAGAGAATAACGACGGCAGAAGGCAAAAGAAAAAGAAAAACGATGATACGGTGGAAGGAGCAGCAAGAAAGCAAAAACGGATGCGACACAACAGTAGAAAGCAATCTACCGAGTGGAAAGGGTGTAAATGCTTCGAGGACGCCCGACACGTAGCAGGAATTGTGTTTTTCCTAGCAGCGTTTGGTGGATTCTGCAAAGCTTGTCGAAGATCGCGCCCTTCGATACCCTGCCTCACACCACTTAGTTGGAGTCCGAGTCTGAGTCGATCTGCAAGGCGCCGAAGCGGGATGGAATGCGTGGGCGCGCCACTTCGGCGGCCGCGATCGGCGTGGCACTGACAGCGTCGGTCTTCGTATCATTTGCCGCGCCTCCCATCTCCTTTTTCTGCTTTTCTTCTGCCGCGTCAGTCACGTGAAACGCGATGCTGCTCTCACCTAAACCGCGGTGCGACTTGCCGCCGCGCACGGTGGACGAGTTGAGAGAACTCTTCTCCGTGGATCGCGTTGACAGTGGCCGTGGAGGGGCTGTTGGAAGAGGCGGCGGCCCTGCTGCATTGCGTTGCGTTGTCAAAGCCGCGGAGGAGATCGCCGGTGCGCTCACTTGACTCTTCCGCCGCGGGGGACGTGGCGGTACCGCGACGGCGGGACGTGGGGCCAGTGGCGCCTTCGAAGGGGGAACCATAGGATGGGCAGCGGCTGTGGTAGAAGGTGGCACCTCCTGCACCTTTGCCTTCGCCACAGTGATGCTGCCCTCCGCGTCGGACTTGGCATCGTTGGTTTGGAACACGACGGAGTCGGAGCTCGCGGAGCTGTTCACCATAAGATTGGCAAACAGTTTACTCTTCTGGCTAGACGCCGTCTTCGCAATTTCTACGGGCTTCGCTGCGTCCGCGCTGACCTCGTTGCTCTCCGCGTTCGGCAGCGCGACCGAATGGAACACGATGTTGGAGGTCGACTGCGCAGCATCCTCCGCCGTGCTGGGACGGACTCCGTCGACCGAGAAGACGACCGAGTCGGTGCCGCCGGTGGCGCTGAGGTGCGAGAATGCCGCCGGCAAAGGAGGGACGTCCTCGACATTGTCCAGCTTCACCGACGCAGGCGAGGAAGCGAGGTTTTGCGTTGGCCTCTGGGAGGTGCTGCCGTCCGAAGCCACCGCAGCCTCTCTGACCCCCGACGGCTGCTTCTCGTCGGGGGAGCTGGCACGAGAGGGGCTCGCCTCGGCCTCCGCCGCAACAGGGAACGTGATCGCTGCGGCGGCTTTGGGTCGCCTCTCGGCAGCGTGTGCAATCTCTTGCAACTGTCGCTGTGTCAAGGCGGAGAGCGGCGGAATGGGTCGTGCGGACAACACAAAAAGTGCCTTGTACACCGTGTGCAAGAGGGGAAGGTTCTCGAACACTAATCCTAGAGCACCGCCCACCTCATCCTCCACCACCAATGTCAAGGGCCGCAAGTGCCGCACCCGCAACGTGCGCAGAGGCATCTGCACGAGGGTCTCACGGGCGAGAAAGGCTTGCGCCGTGAGCGTGGCGTGGTCGAGCTGCAGGCACACCCGCTGCAATCCGCCTTTCGTTGTGGAAAAGTTGTGGCGCATTTGGACGCCACGCAAAAAGCACACGGTGTCCACTTGCGCAAGTTCCGCGGCAGAGAAGAGACCCCCAGACGTAGAAAAGGTGCCGTTGAAGGACGTCACTTCAAGCTGGTTGGGCGGAAGCATCGGCACCACGTGCCCCTCTGCAGAATCAGACAGCTGTCCTTCGAGTTGGGCAACTCGGCGAGCCAGACGCGTGATGGTGCGCTGGCGCTCCTCTAGTTGCCGATCAACCGTGGCGTCGTAGCTTCGCGACAGCTGCCCGCTATTGAGGTCCATCAGCACGGAGTCTATACTGATGCGACGCAGACCGTGCGTTTGCCGATATTCGTCTTTGCGAAGTCGCTTACAGTCGTTGATGAGCGCGTCGTATTCGTCCACGGTGCGCGGGCGGAGGTCGAGCAGCCACCCGTGACTCACGGCCAGGGCAGCGCGCTTGCCCAGCGACTTGGCGATGTGCCGCTCCTGCGAAGTGATTGGCAAGCCATCTATTGCCTCAATGCTCAGACCGATGGTGAGGAGAGCCATTAGCCGGTAATACGGATGCGCAGCAACGGGGCATCCTTGCAAGCATAACAATCGGAGAGATGCTTGCTTGGTAAGTCCACGAAAAGATTCTATTTTGTTGCGCTGCAGTAGCAACTCAGAAAGGTAAGAATGTGTGCCAAAGTGCTCAAAATTAGTCAGCTTGTTGCGCTGCAGATTGATCAATAAGAAGTGTTCCTGCGATCGCTCGGCAAGACCCTCTAAAGACTCGATTTTCTGCTCAACAAGGTCGAGCCGGTGGTATTCCATCTGTTGCCGACCACGCCGTGACCCATCTAATACAAGATGTGTACGAATACAAAAAAAAAGAAAACTAAAGGGGCACAAAATACACTAAGACGCGTGTAGCATCTCTGTCGAAGCTGATGTGAGACACCCCTCAAAGCAGATCAGACCAGTTCTACCGTCCGCGCCACGCACTGCGTGGGAGTTCGAAGCACAAAGGCAAATAAAAAAGAGAAAACTCAAGAAAAGGCAGCCAAGGTGAGGGAGTGAGAGAGAGCAGTTCCAAAAACAAATCAAGTTGCCTCAACATTCCAGGAGCGTGCAAAAGCAAAGGGTATAAAAAACGCCTCTTACAAAAGTGGTTTTATCAGCATCATTCAGCGTTGTATCCAACGACGACGCAGCAGCAACACAAGAAAAAAGAAGGAATGCCGAGCAACTACTTGGTGGCCCCTCTGCAAAGGACGGCAATTTGAAGCCGGCGTGAAGAAAAACGGCAGAAGCGCAGCTTTCTCCTTTTGCAAAAGCCTCCCAACAAGTGTGAAGACGAAATCCTCTGCCTTGCGAATCGCGGCTTCATACTACATTGCATCTTTCCAGCCTCGTCATCATCCACAGTGCACACACTGTTGCGGCTTACACACCTGTGTTGCTTTTCCTTGTTTTTATACACTTTCGCCTGACGTTAGTTATCATCAAGAATCTCGGCATGTCTTCAGCTCACAGAGCACTGAAACAACAAAATACATTACATTTTTTTTTTTAGCTGGCCCTCTAATGAGAGCGACAAACGCACGCCATCGCAAGAACAAAAGGTGGCACGTGCACCCTGCCTGTTGCTTTCAATAAACTGAAGAATAACCTGCACGCACCAAGAAAACAAGCACCGGTTACGCCCGCTGACTCCTGCAGAAGCGTCCGCTTGCCTGCAGCCATCGCTGCCTCCCACATTGCCAGCACGGGGTATAAATCCACGAATGGAGCGAAACGGTAAACGTCCTTTATATCTCACGAACAAATTATACGTCTCGACCCCTTTTCAGAGAGCCGCAACGATGGCGAAAACAGTGCATTATTTAGGAGGATAAACTAACGCACCCACACAACAAAATATCAACAAATACATGTCTCGCAAGCGCGCAACTCACGAGGCAACATCACTGCAACACGTGTTGCGCGCAACGCAAATCGCCTCACGAGCCCGCCACATCCGCTTCCACGTCCCTTTCGTACTTGCAAAATTAATCCGCATCACGCGCCTGCTCCGGGCGGTTCTTCGGGCCACCCGCCTGCCGCGCAACGATGATCTGGTTCACAGAGAGGACCGTCAGAACTGTGTCGGTGGCAAGCCTAATCGCCCAGAACTTGGTCAAGTACGGTTCGATGATGCCCGTCTCCAAGGCATCCAACGTGGTGCCGTCCGCGATGTTGACGCCCTGGTACTTCTTGCCGGCGTTGTGGTCGGCCTCCAACTGCGTGACCATATCCGTGCCGTTGAAGCCGCTGACCTCCGCCAGCGTGCGCGCCACCACTTCGAAGCTGGAGGCAAACTTGCGCACGGCGTACTGGTCCAGACCAGGGTTGGCCTCGGCGTAGCGCGTCAACTCCTTCTGCAGCTCCATCTCCACCGCACCAGCGCCGGCCACAAGACGCTTGTCCTTCGTGAGGGCCTTGAAGACGTTCACGCCGTCGTCGATAGCGCGCTCCACGTCGTCAAGCACGTTCTGCGTTGCGCCACGCACTACGATCGTCGACAGTTTCGAGTCGTCCTTGTCCTGCGCGAACGTCGTGACGCTCTTACCGCCGATGTCCATCACGTCCACCGAGTCGCAGCCGCCCATGTCCTCCATTGTCGGGGCGTCCAGCCGGGTCATGACGCGGGCACCGACCGCAGCGCACAGGCGCCGCAGCTCAAACTTTGACGGCACGCGCACAGCCATCATACCAAGACGGTTGATGAAGTGCATGGCAAGATCGCCGAATGACGAGTTGGATACGATGAGGTTGGCGCCGGATTTGTAGATGTTCTCGATAATTTCCTGCATAATCTCCTCCTCCTTGCGAGAGTACTGAATAAGGTCCTCGGCGTTCTCAATCAGCGCCGTGCCCTTTGTCTCCAGTGACGGCACGTCGACGGCGCAGCTGTACACGGCCACCTTGGCGTTCTTGAGGTGCTTCAAGTTGCTCTCCGTGTTGCGGCCAATCACGAAACCGCGGACGAGCTTGGAGGAGAGGATCGACTCGCCGTCCAGCTTCACCACGCGTACGTTGTCTACGTTGAAAGAGCGGACGTTGGAGGGGCACACGTTGATGCACGCCTCCGCTACCAGGTCTGCCAGAAAACCCTCGTAGCCGTACTGTTTCGACGCGATGGCGGTGCGAAGGGCCTCCGTGACGTGCTCCTTCAGAAGACAGTCATCTGCGCTCTTGCAGATCATCGTCTCCAGCAGCTCTAAGCTCTTGTTGCTGGCCTTCTTGTAGCCCTCAATGATGTCGCTGGGATGCAGACCCATGCGAACGAGCGACTCCGCCTGTGAGAGAAGCTCACCGCACAATGTCACGACGAAGTTCGTCCCATCACCGACTTCCTCTTGCATTGCGTTGGACGCCTGCACCAGAAGCTTTGCCGCCGGGTGCTCCACCTCCAGCTCACGCAGAATAGTGGCCGCGTCGTGCGTGACGAAGAGTTTGTTCAAGTGGTTGATGACCATCTTGCACAGACCGTTGGGGCCCAGCGAGCTGCGCGTGATCTTCGACAGTTCGCGGCACGCCTCGATGTTCTTCACCACCGGATCGTCCACGAATGTGGAGCCATCCTTCAACATCGACTGCGAACCTGTTTGCATGAACGACATTTTTGGCAGTTTTGTCGTTGGCTTTGTGACCCTCAAGTTACCCGGCGTTGCGTTGCTCAATGCTCAAATAAGGGGAAAAGAACGGCCTCTTAAGCGCGGAGGTGAGGTGAAGTAAGGGGGAAAAATATGTGGATAGCAACTGGCAGCAAACGAGAATATTCAATAATGTGGGACAGAGAGTACAAAAATGGCACGAGCGACAATGCGAGGTGAGAGGCGAGAGAAAGATGGCAAAAGAGAGCAAGAAGCCGAGAAAAGAGAAAGTGGCCACCTTCTTTCTTCTCCGTTTTCTTTGTTTTGTTTATTGTGCCGCTCTTTCAATTTGCAGAGACTATCGCAACGTCTGGGAGTGTGCAGGCGTACGGTAGGTCGCGCTTTAATGCGTACTGCTGTTTGGGTCCGCCGATTGGGGTGGTGCAATGCGTTGAGCACTCTTGCCAGCACATTATCCACAGACGGTCGAACAACGACTTGTTTTAATAGAGATGCACATCACACCCACCCCTTCAGCAAAAGAGCGCCGCCAACAGCAGGTAACACAGTTTCAACCTTACTTCGGTTCCCTATTTCGTTGTTAATGAACCAAACTCAGGTTAAGCGAGCGTTTACGGCATTTAAAGAAACAAAAAACAATTAGAGAACTTCTCCCTGACACTCGTCCCACGCACTTTCCATTGGCTGGTGCAAGGGCAAAAGAAAAACAGCCGATGTGATGGGCCGCAACTCCCACCGCTTTCACGGATGCTGACATGGACAGTGCGTCAACGACGCGAATTGGTCGAGGCGCTTCCGGCTGTAGCCCCCTTTCCGAGACGCGCTTCTCCTTATTATCACACATCTTCCGCCACGCGTTAGACCTCCACCTTGGGGCGCTTGGCAGGAGCTTCCGTCGACTTGGCGGCACTGGCAAATTCAAAGGTGTGCCCGTAAATCGGCAGTCCGACCTGTTTGCTGTGCGAGCCAGTGCAGCACACACGGATGTGCAGAATATTCCGCAGCGGTGCCCCATCCGGAGAGTTGACGAACTTCTCTACAAAAGCGACGATGTTCTCCACAATTTCCTGAAGACTGAGGCCGGTGTGACCTACACGGCATGTAACCGCGTTGTCGCCGCGTCGCGGCACCACCACAGTGCGCACCGCCTGGTGCAACCGCCTCATGAAGTTCCCCTTCTTGCTGACCCAGACGGGAATCCGGCGGTGTTCGAGGAACTCGCCTGTAAGCTGATGCGGGTAGTTGTGGAGCCCGTAGACGATGAAGTGGTCGTAGCTCCTTGCGAACGCGCGTACAGCAACAGGACCCACCACCTTCGCGGAGAGCTTCTGGCCGTCGATCACGCGGCGCACCCGCTTCGCAACTGCGTCGCCGTCCTCGCTGAGGGCGAACACCTTATCCTTGTATAGGCGCTGTGGGGCGGGCGTGATGAGGCACAGGGTGCCGCTAACAGTTTCGTGAGGGACCGTGAAGTACAAAGGAACGCGGTGCGCCACAGGGGCGACGAGAAACGCGAGCTGCACATCGACCGACACACATTTGTTTTCACGGACCGGGGCAAAAAGCTCGTTAACGTCATCGGTCGCCGTGGTGGTCACTTCGTCAGCCGCTACAAAAGACAGGAGTGCCTTTACAGCCTCCTCGGTATTGACAAGGAAACTCATCCTTTAAGTGGAAACCTGCGCAGCTTACACGCGAATAGTAAACACAAAGACCCACAGCAGGTAGCTTCGGTGTCGAAAGAGGTACACGCCACGTTGCACTAACAGCTTAGCGAACTCAAGAACTTTCTGCTCTGCCGTTTTTCGTAAATCTGCGAAGACGAAAAAAGAAGAAAAGAAAAGAAAGGAGAGAGAGGAGAGAACATGTACATGAACGAACGCGCGTTCGCAGATGTTTGGGGAAGACACGACGAGGAAAGAAATGGCATCAAGTGGGAGAATGTACCTCGTCTTTTTCGGCAGCAAAGGGAATTCCCTCGCAATCCCTGCGCCAATAACGTGTTTAAGGATCTCCAGAAGCTGAGCCCCTCTCTTTGTCTGAATGTTTGGTCTTCGCCCTTCACGAGACAGTTCGCTTCAAAGAGAATGAGAAGGGACAAAAGGAAAAAAGAGTCGGATAATGTGAAGTACTATTAATATGCGCATGCAACGACTTGCGCACACCTTCTTATCGCACAAATGCACCACCTGCCACAGACAACACAAACAAAAAAAATAATGCGCAGCAAAGGCGCTTGCAGGGGGCTCGAGCCGCTTCGGTGCAAAGACTGCTTTTGAAGCCGGAAAAGGAGAGAGGACTAGCTCGAGTTCGGAGAGCTCAGGTCGATAAAGATTCAGGAGCGCCGTCCCCCAGTCCCATCGCCCACTAGGAAGAATTCAGCTTGGCCACGACTCCGGTGGGAGACGTGACGTAGACCACGGGAGAGGCAAACATCTTCTTCGTCGTCTCGTCCACGACGGGCAAGAGGCGCAGACTGCCGCACGCAAACACGTACTCGCCACGTCGAAAAGAACTGCTAACAGCCTTCATTGCTTCTGCCGAGCAGCGGACGGTGATCATCTCACCGCCCCCGGTGACAAATTCGCGCACGAACACCGTCAACAGCACGCTTCCGTCTTGCAACGCGTCGCTGTCCACAATCCTGCCAGCGACAGTGATGTTGCTCATGGACTGCGCACACGGTGTCAGCTCCACCTCTGACCACGCCGTGGTCTGCGTGGACGAGCCAAACGGCGATGTCATCGAAAGGTCCACCGGACTGGGTATGTACGCAGGCAAGTCCGGCACGCTCTTCCGCCGTCGCTGATCCTTCTCCTTGGGGAGGTCGAGGGAGTGTTTCGCTTTGCTGTGCATGCGGAGTCCCTCGTGCGTGGAAAATCTCTTTTCACACACGGAACACACGTGCACCGACGGCACCTCCGTCGCGGCCGCAGCGGGCATGGTAGAGGAGTACGCATCGGCGGTGGACACAAAGCGGGCATCAGCACCGGCCAAACCTCCACCTGGCACTTGGGCGTCGGGAGCGGGGAAAGGAGAGGCAGCAAAAGGGCTCGCAGCCGCCGCGAAGGGCGACGACGGGGCGTTGGCGGCGGAGAGAAAGGGAGAGGGAATGGCCGCGGGCGCTGCTGCAGCCGTTGCTGCCGCATCCTCCGGCATGGGGGCAGCTGGCGCAGGCGTCTCTTCCGCAGAGGCAAAGGGCGAATACCCGACGTCAGAAAACGGGGTTGTTGCGGCGCCCGAAAAAGGCGAATTGTCGATGCTGGACTTAAACGGCGACGAGACGAGCGTAGCGCTGCTCTCTGGCGCGACGGCGACGGGTTCAGCGGTCTCCTGCGGTGGCATCGGTGATCGAAGTTGGCCGAACAAGGGGAGTTGGCCAAAAGGGGTGACCGGGGCTGTCTGCTGGTCCGCGACTTCGGCCTTTGGAGCAACCTTGCTCGCCTCCCTTGTGAACTTCATGCGAAAGGGGTTGGGGCATTTCGCCGGGTGGCAAGGACCGAAAGACACCGCGGTGGCCATCACAAACGCATCGGACATGCTGAGGCTGAAAATGTTGCGCTCATCCGCCTCTGCAGGGTAAGCGGAGCTGTCCACCGCTGACCCGCCGCTTTCAAACGGGTTCTCACCTTCCGGGTTCACTACCCCGTAGAGTGGCTCGGCGTAGTCGGACGGGCGGGCGGCGAAGACGCGCATCACCATGGAGCTGTGCACAAACTGGTTTCCCATTCGCTTCACACCAATATCGTCCCACATAGAGAGCATCTTCTCCATCACCAAGCTGGGCACCTCCCGCTCTGCCTGGTGCAGCGGCTTTGGCGCCGGTTTTTCGCGACGCGCAGGACGCTCGTAGAGATCGGGTTGCACAGGCGTCACAACGGTAGGCGCTTGAGGGGGGGTGTTGCGGAAGACGCCTACCGGAGTCTGCGTTGTCTGCTCCTCCGGCTGCCCGGGCCCGGCGCCAGCCTCCACCGCGCCCTCACCGCTGTGCACCTGCTGCAGATGCAGCTTCGCCGCCATCTCCAACCGGAAAGCTTTTTTGCAGACACTGCAGTGGAAGCGCTTATCCGGCGCCGTCGCTTGACGTCGCGAAGAGGTGGCGAGAGGAAAAGACGCAGCAGCTCCGAGCACGAAGCCCTGTCCATCTACAAAGGTGTGGCGGGCCGCTCCCACCTGTCGTAAGCGACGAAATGCGCAGCGACATGCGGCAACGCCAACAATTCGAATGCACCGTTGCATTAGATAGAACTTCTGCGAAAGATATGACGAGGGGAAGAGAGAAGACAAAAACCAAAACAAAGAAACTAACGCCGCACTCGGGCGAACGCGCACTGTTGTGCATGGACGAAAAGGTGAAAACAAAGAGGAGGGATAGAGCGAAAATTCAACAGATTAGAAAAAAAAGGCGCAATGCAAAAAAAAGGGTTCAACTAAAGCCTAGCATCGTTTCAACCAGTCATATTAACTGCATCTCAGCTAGAAAAAAGAGGCGCTGAGTCATGAAACGAAACTGAGGCGGCGCAGCGGAGTGCTAACAACCACTTAAACTGTCGGCCTCGTCTAAAGTTATCTACTAATAGATTGGGGTAGAACTCTGTGAACGCTGGTCTGGAGCGCAGAAAATGTTCAGTCATTGAACACAAGGGATGACACATCATACGGCCAAAAACGAACCGGGAAAAGAAAACACACGTCGAGGGAGCAGAAGATAGCACGTAGAACGGGAAAGCAGAAAGCACCACGCTGTCGTTGAAATCGCAAACGCTATCTCCGCAGCTGCGCAACACTCGTGATGGAGCCGAGAGAGTCCGTCACCAGCAGTTCAGTGGTCGTAAAATACGCCTCGTGCACCGGCACGTAACGAGGCTTGTGAATGAGTTTCGACACCACGTGGATCACCTCGCCCTCGTTCAAGTTGGCAAAGCAATACCCAGCCATTGCAGCGCCTCTGCAACGAAGCTGAAAAACTTGCTGCGCCGCCACCGTAGACGGGCTTGGCGGCAAGCGGGCAGAGCTACCACATTCCGTCAGAAGCAGCTTGCACGACCACTCCGGCTCACCTTGCAGAATGCCACGACTTGGATTGCGAATTACACCCACACAGGCGTGAATAACGAGCTCATCAAGTGCAGCTCCGTTACAACTGGCAACGTGCCGAAGTCTTGATGAGCGCATCATGGCCCGACTGAAAAAAAAAAAGGAAATGACACGCGGTATGCTATAACAGACGCTACCACTTCTGGTAGGCTTTTTGAGCAGAAAAGAAAGCACAACAATTACGTAGATGGGAGAGATTGAAGAAGATTGCAAGCGATTCGACAGGTGGGACGGCGAAAGGTACAAGAAAGCGTTCTCTAGTGGCGGCTGCTCGAAGTCTGTTCGATCCATTGGCATTTGGTAAAAAAAAGCCTGCGCTCAACTTACGCTTCTCCGCTGGTCTCCTCTGGTGGAATGCACTACCCCAGCTCAGTGTATTGCGTGACTGCAAAAGCGCCCTGCACCGTTACAACACAAAACACACTGTCAAGCTCCCGTCGTCGACGAGAGAAACCTGAGCGTGCTGAAAAGGGGAAACGAGTTCAACTTGTCCACTTTAACGGAGCTTCATCGAGAGCAACGCGTCCTCGCCTTCCAGTTTATAAGAGCATATCATTTCCCATTAATATCACTATGTTGTTGGTGGTGTCTTGTTGTTCGGAGTTTTTGCCAGTGTTGAATACCAGAAAGCCCATGAAATATTCCCCGCGTCGAGAGACAACAATGAAAGAACAGAATTAAGAGGGCAGCGCAGCGCAACTTTTAAAACCCCGAACACGATCGTCTCGTAGACCTAGCAAAAAAAAAAAAACTACCAGTCTTCGCAACACTCCATCTTTTCGTTTCGCTTTTTCATAATAGCATTTATGCACATTCCAACACAGTTGTCAGCTAAGCTCCACCGCACGCGCCCGGGCACACATTACGTCGAAAGGAAGAAGAGTGTAAAGAAAAGATAACACATATTATTGAATGCGTGCCTGTTATTTGAACTTGAAGACATCTACTGTGTCTAGGAGGGGAAAGTTAGTGAGTAAGAGAGAAGTGTGGAAGCACATCCTCGGTCGTGAAAAACAATGTCGGAGGAAAAAGAGCACGAGAAACACAACTAAAAGCTTAAGCGCTTCATCTTATCGCTTCTTCTCTCTGTAGTTGGATGCAAACGCCTTAAAGCCCGTCTGCGCCATTACAAATCGTCATCGTTCTCATCAGTTGGCGCGGCGGAGGGGGAAGAGGGGGTCGCCTCGGGGGTAGAGGCCATGTGCGACACGACGAAAGCCTTCATCTCGGCAAGGCTGCGACCACCCTCGTAGCTCTCGGTCTTGCCTCCAGCGGGGATGAAGAATAGTGTCGGAAAGCCGTTCACCGAGAACTTCGCACGGTCGAAATCATTTGCGGTGGCATCGATCTTGCCGATGATGACGTCCGCGGACTCGAGCTCCTTGGCGAGCTTTTCAAATTCGGGGTGGAGCTTCTTGCAGTGACCGCACCACGGGGCGTAGAACAGCACAAAGATGTTTTTGCTGCCATCGGTGTATTTGTCGACCGTCTTGCCCACAATCGTGGTCAGACCCTCGACCGTCTCCACCTCCGGGACGCTCTCCGACATCAGTGTCTCCGCCGTCTCACCCTTGCTGTACTTCTCCACGAACTCGCTCACAGACTCGGCGGTGATCGGGGTTTCAGTCGGCATCACGTGATGGTGACGTTCGAAGTCCAACACAAACGCGGGAAACTTCACGTCCTTCGGCATGCCGAGCTGGAAAGCCACCTGGCGGTACTTGTCGCCGTCGACCCACGACATCAGCACCTGGCTGCGGAACTTCTCTGCGACCGCCACGAGTGACTCCTTCAGCGCAGGGGCAGTGTCCTTGTCCACAAAGAGCCAGCCCAGGGGTTTCGCTTTGTTGGCCTCCATGTAGGACTGGAAGGTTTCTTGGCCAAGCTCGCCCAAGAAATCGAGCTGGGCCTCTGACAAGAACTGCTTCGCCGACTCTACCGTCACGGGCAGCACGCCGGCGTACGCCTCATGCTCCTTGTCGTGACGGTACACCGTGACGGACTCCATCGCGGCGTCGGCGGCGATGGCTTCATCGGTGACGAGGGCGAAGTTCACCTGCGTGCGAAAAACGTTGGCCACCTTTGTCATCGTCGTGGCGAGTGCGGAGTCAGCGCTGGCCGTCTTGACGACGCACACCGGGAGATCCTCCTTCTTGAGTTCGTCCAGCTGCTCTGCCTTCTCAATCGCGGTGACGGCGGGGCCTACCTGAGCTTTGATGTAGGCAGTTATGCCAGCCGCAGTGCGCGGGCCGCTGTAGTCCTCCACCTTCTCGCCGTTGCGGAAGATCATCATGGTCGGGAAGCCTTTAATGTCAAACTTGGAGGCCAGCTCGGTTTCCTTGGTGCAGTCGACCTCCGCCAGCGTCGCCACGCCCTTCAGGGTCACCGAAGCCTTCTCGAACTCCGGCGCAAGCGTCTTGCAGTGGCCGCACCATGGCGCGTAGAACTTCACAAGGGTAAGGTCACCGCCGATGATCTTGTCGAAGTTGCTCTTGGTGGCCACCTGCACCTCCGCGGAGGCCACGCAGAGGAAGAGGGCACAAACAGCCAGGAGAAGGAAGGATTGCTTCATTGCTGTCCTCCTATGCGTAAAACAGGTGAAGTTTTTTTTTTAAGAACGCTGAGAAGGATACAAATAGGGTAAAACGAAAGTAACGGGAGACAATGCTTAGTGGCGCTGAAAACAAAAGTCAAGCTTTTCTTCTTTCGCAGCAGCAACAGAAAAAGTGAAGTAAGGGCGCGAATTTGAAATCAGAATAGAGGCAGAGGCGCAGTCGCAGAAGAGAGTCACGATGAGAGAAAGAGAGATTGGGGAACGAGTGGGATCAACGGTTTCACTACTCCTCCTATTCTTCTCTCAAATTGCGTGGAGAAGGAAGGGCACAGACGAGGTTTGATCTGTGCATGTGGCAGATCAACTTGCGTCGTCATCGGTGGCACAACATCACTGCAAATTAAAAAGTGGAGGGCAGACACATACCATCGCAGGAGTAATAAAAAAGTTTGCTTACAGTAATACTTACAGCGACGCCTTCTTTCTTTCTTTCGTGGCGCGTGAGCACTGTCATTCCGAAATGGGAAAAAAAATGCTAGGTAAGAAAGGCAACTCAAAGAAAACGGAGATACTCCACAGCTTTTCTTTTTTTTGAAGAGGAGGGGGCATTTTGTGGTGTCTAAAGCACCCGTCCGCATAGAAGGCAAACACATGCATATTATTCTTTCAAACCTTCTAGGTGCCTAAAAGAAAAAAAGGAATGGAAACGAAAAGGGAAACCTGTTTTTGAAAATATGAAACATTCTTGTGCTATTTCGTTACATTTATACTGCCTATATATAGAAGCAAAATGCGGAAAAAGATTTGCGTCATCTCAAAAAAAAAAAAAACCTGAAGAAAGAACAAGAATTGGACTTACTATAGCAGTGGAGCAGAATGTTGCCCGTATATCGTGATTTGGCACGAAAAACGACGCTTAAGCCAATGATCATCGTTTCGGCTACACTTTTTCTCTGCTATTGATGTTATTGGCTAAGAATTAAGGGAAGCGGGGTTTTTTTAATGCTTTCAACGATAGCGTTTAGGTTTTTCTTTTGCCAATCATTAAAGAGGTGCAAACACTTTTAAGAACACTTGGAAATGAGGTCAGACAAGATGAACTGTATCTGAGTTATTTAATCAGCGGAAAAGTAAAGAGAAAAAGACTTACAACGAAAATCAACGTCACCTTTCCCTTGTTAATCAGGGTCAATATTTGTATCCTAAGGTTTTGTCTGTGTGATTGCGGTTCCGTTCTGGGAGGGCGAGACCGCTGCTTCATGCCTTGCTCTCTGCACATACCCATTGCCACCAAGTGTAGACGGGTGGATAGGTGAAGGAACACAAAGCCCAACCCACAGAACGGACAGAAGCAAAAAAAGCCAGGAGCCTACTCCTGCTTCTTCGACTCTTGCGCACCGACAGCAGGGGCGATGGAGTTTCTGTACATCACATCGAAGTTCATTTTTGTGATCTCCATCACGCCGTTCACATGGAAGGGCAGCCCGTTGTCCTCGGAGAACTTGCGCAGAATACCACGTGCCTCAGGGTAGCGGTAGCGCGGCACCATTGGCAGGAGGTGGTGCTCCAGCTGGTACTGCATGCCACCGAAGAACCACTCGAAGAACGGATCGGAGCACTGGACGCCACGGGTGGCGCGGTACTGGTCAATGATGTAGTTGTACGGCTCGTCGTGCTCGATCATCTCCTCCGTCTGATGGTTGGACGTCACCACTATGGCAACGCAGAATCCACCAAGAATGACGCTACCGATAGCGACCTTCCACGGTAACAAGGCAAGCCACAGGTAGTTCACCGCCATGTGCGCCAGCTCCTTCTTGTTGCCGCTGCCCAGCGCGAAGCGGAGAGACTGCATGCGCCACGAAACATACAGAAGTGAATAGGCGAAGGGGTAGAACATGTACTGGTAGCGGCGGAGCGCGGTGTCCTCGGAGACGTCGGGGATCCACAAAAACAGAACCGGCTCGTTGTGGATGTCCGAGTCCAAGCCCTTGCGGTTGACAAAGACGTGGTGCGAGTTGTGCTTGTGCGACCACCACTCCAACGAGAAGCCGTTGATGAGGCCACCGAGAGTGTTGCCCAGGAAGCGGGCGAACTTGCTACGCGCGTGCGTGAAGTCGTGGCCAAGCCAACCAGCCTGCTGCATGCCAAGTCCGATGAGGACGGTGGCAAGAACGGGGCAGGAGTAGCTGAGGAAGGTGCCAATGATGCACAACGCAATCACAGGAAGAATGTTGCGGGTGAAGTCGATGAACCAAATGCGCTCAAACCACCCCTTCTCCTCCAACTCCTTCACTAGCTTCGCGAAATTCAGAGACACCTGGTCGCGTGGGGTGTCACCTTCCTTCAACGGAAGCGCCTTCATCCGCTTCAGCTTCTGGATTGCCTCCTTGGAGTGCAGTGAGTAGAAGGCGTCCGTTGCATCCTTGCCGTGGAACTCGTCGCACATCTGCGCACCACCGGGGTGAGAGTTGCGCCAGGAGGTGCAGTCGTACCAGCTGTCGTCGATGCGCATGACGCATTTCGGCAACGAGCTGCGGTACAGGTGCGGGTAGGTGAGATCGAAAACCATTTTTGTGGCCCCAGTGGAGTCCTTGTGTGGCTCTCAAGTGAGAGGTGCGTCGCACGTTGCAAGGCACGAAAAGCACAACAGCAAAAAGCGAGCCGAAGAAGGAAGGTCACAACGAACAAACGAAAAGGAAACAGGAAAGGTTGGGCTTTTTGGTATTCGGAGGGGTAAAAGGAAAAAAGAAAAAAAACGTTGAACGCACAGAGAGAGATGATGCGAAGAGAAGCGAAATGGCGAGGAAAAAGGCGGTGGAAAGAAACAAAATGTAGATGGAAGGAGAGAGAGTGCAAGCATGTACTCACCTGTATGGAACGTCGACTGCGAGCATCAGGGATCAGCAGAGTAAATGCTTCCTTCTGCTTTAGAAATAAAGTCCAGGTATCCGCGAAAGCTAGTTGGCCCTTGTGACTTCAGCAGTGCAATGCCATTGAGAATCTCTCATGTTCAGCGCGGATAACTTGTCATACTCTTCATTTTCGCAGAAGACAACGATGCAGTACGGCGGGGAAAACAAGAAAGAAAAGGAAAAGAACGTCGGTTGCACAGCTCGCATGAGCGAGGCAGCAAAAAAAAAAAGAAGAGGAGCAACAAGCAACGCAACCACGAATCCGCAATCTATATATGCATTTCCAGGAATACTCAGCAAAACATGAAATGCGCGTCTTCTACGTTTCTCTAAAAACAAAACGGTTGATAAGGCACTTTCAGGCATCTTCTTCCTCTTCTCTAGCTGTCAATAGAAGCGGCAAGTGTGTCACACAGCATCTTCAAGTTCTGGTTCTCCTTCTCAAAGCGAGAGCTCTCATCTTGATAGAACAAAATCTCACGCCGCAACTTCGACATTCGTGCGTTGTATTTTGCGGTGTGCTCGTCAATGCTGTTCTGAACCTCCTCTGTCTTCCTTTCGAACACGAGCCGCTCTGCGTTCGCCTTCTGGATGCGCTCGCGCAGCTGCTTACTTTCCTTCTCGGGGTTACGCGACGCGCCCATCGCAGCGTCGCCAGACAACGCTTCGTCGCGGTCTTTGATGGCGGATTGTGTTGTGTACTTGGTATCCACCAGCACATCCGCCATTCTACTGTTGGCCTCCTCTAAATGCTCAATCTCCTGCAAGAGTTGCCGGCGTTCGGCCTGGATGCGCTCTGCGACCGAGCGGGCTTCCAACTTGTTAGAGTCGGCGTAAACGCACGCGTTTCTAGAAGACTCATTGCGCAGCTCCTCGATTCTCCGCTGCTTCAAGTCGATGAGCGCGCCCATCTCGCGTTCCTTCTTCGAGAGTAGGTTCAGTGTTCGCTCCCGCTCACGCGACAACTCCTGGATGGATTTCAGCAACTCCTGTGCACGCGCCTCTTCGCCCCCGTTCGGGCCAAAGACCTTTTTTTTCAGCAAATCCTGAAGATCATCCAGCATGGACATCAAGCGAACCACCGTCAGCCGTTTCTGCGCGTCCATCTTCTTCTCCCGAAGCTCCTTGATGTACGAAGAGAGCTCCCCAATGTCGGACTCTACGCCTTTGCGACTCTCGTCCGATTCCATCAGCTGCCCAACGCAATCTTCACGGCTGGAATAGGAAATCTGGCCGCTCCGATTCTGCCCGCCTTCGAGCACCTGCTTCACGCGAGCAGCATTTCGGTAATCGGTGCTGGCCGCGGACCGCGCCTCTTCCTGCGCACCTGTTGCGGCACGCTCATCCGCCAGCTGCGTGTTCAGCGCCTGCGACTGCTGTCTCTTTCGCCGCAGAGCCTCCTCACGCTCCATCAACGAGTCCTCCAGACGCTGCAGCTCCCGCTTCAGCTCCTTGATCGACTGCTGTTGGTGACTGTCCGTCATGTTGGCTTGTGAGAACGTATGGGTGTCTGCTGATGTTGTTTTCCACTGTGGTAATTCAAAACTTTAAAAGTCGCTTCGACGCGGGTTGGGATTCTACAGACCGTCAGGTCTCTTTTTTTCGATAACAATGAGAAACAGGGAGTTTTTTGTGTGTGAGAAAAGAAGATCTAAATAACGAGCTTTTCAGCTAATTTGGCTGTTTTGCTGCTGTGAAGCACAGAAAGGAAAAGCGCCCACTTGGATGTTCTTCTTCAGTGTGTGCTTTATCGTCCTTAAACGGGAAACAGTAGATTGAGGAAAGATAGAAAATACGGCAAGTGGGGCTACCGAGTAACAACTTCTACCGTTCAACACTTTGTTGTGCTACGCCACAAATAAATAGCAAAAGTATATATACAATAAAAGAGGGGATTGTCAGCGGCAACACCGCACACAAATCTGATGGCCACTCTACCAAGCTATTTATTTTCGTTTCCTGTACGTTAGATCTGTACCACCGCATCAATAATTGTAACGGCGGAAAAGCGTCGAAAAGACAAGTTGCCAGACTTGACCTATTAGCTTCACGCATTTTGCTGCTCTGGCTCTCTTTGCTTTGCGAATGTGACAAAAAAAAACACAGCAGACACCTGTGAACAACCTATGCGCTTCTTTTCACTCCAAAGCCGGTATTGCTCCAGTGACGCAACTTGGCTAAACATCCTCTTACTTCTGCTGGGGTGCAGCCGCGCTCTTCGGCCTTCGTTGTAGCACAAGAGCGTAATAGAACCCAAAGAGGCACCGTCGCTCTTCTTTTACTTCGTACAGCATGCTTTCGCGAATCCATGCATGATAATCGTGCGTGATGGTCATACTGCTGTTCGAGACTCTGTTGAACCATCGTGCCAGCCTGGTAAGCTGGAGATAACTCGGCTTTCCAAAATCCATCACGAGGAACAAGCCGTCCTCCTTCATGTACTCAGCGGCAGAATCAAAGAGGTTGCGAGCTTTCGGCTCGGCATGGTTGAGAAGCTCGTCGCGTATGAGTATGCAGTCATACTTAGTGAAGCCTGGAGAGTGTAAGTCGGATTTCAAGACAGTAGTAAAGTTGACGGTGCTGCCTACCCAGTTGTGATCGTTGCGAATCATGAAATCGAGCGTCATGGCGCGTCGTCGATCCTCCTGCTCCTCTTCTGAGAGCGCCTCGTCAACTCTGTAGCGGCCGTCATCGACAACTTTCTTCTCAATCACAAACTCAACGCGAACCGCCTTCGACATCTCGTAAAAGGCGACATCCTTCTCGTCGTACAATTTCGGCGACAAGTCAAGCACTTTTCCACGGCAGAAGTTTCGGTAGACCCTTCGCACACACCTGTAAATGAGAAACTGTGGGAGAGCGCTGAGCGCCAAGAAAAGAGCGACGCCACCGATTGTAGTGAGGAAAAATCTATTGCGTCCTTGCACAATTCTCTCGTACTTGTCCTTGGGTATTTGCACCGGCTGATAAGACGTAGCTGCGGTTGGCTGCAAGTCTGGCCTCACGCCGTTATTGCTTTGAAACATCTGGCGTGTGAAATGAGGAAGCTGCACGGTAACGTCAACACCGCCTTTTCACATACCTGATTCTTTACCGCTGCCGATTTCCAACGCGCTGAAAAGAGGAACGATGACGGAGGAGGAAGAGAGGGGACAGGGGAAAGAGAGCGCACCTGAAAATGTGAAAGCGAAAATCCACCGGAAGCAAAGTAATATTGACACGGATGATGAGCAGTGTGAACAATAAGGCAAAGCTGTGAAGAAACAACTGGGACTCTTTACACCCTGTTGTTCTCGCGCCTCGAGAACGGTTCTCGCCGCTCTTTCTGCGCAGAAACCCTAGCGCAGTTGTGTGCCGATGTTCCTGTTACCAGTAATAGAGCCCTTTCGCGAGTGCTACCGCAGGCGCAACAGGCCATACAACTAAGCACTGTGGCGAATCCGCGAGAGAGCCATAGGTGCGCTGAACGACAAAGCACTAAGCACCGGATTTGCGAAAAAAAAAAAGAAGAGGCGCTTCTTCCTAGGGACCACTGTGCAGCCTTTCCTTATTGTTTTAAACATTTTGGTTGCTTGTTAACATATTAGTTTAGAAGAAAAAACAAAGATCAGCCAACAATTACACTGCGTATAGCTCTTCGTCTTTAGAAGAGACGCCAATAAAAAGGATACCACTCAAACGAGCCAGCTCACCAACAACAAGGGTAGACCAAAAAAAAAAGGTTTAAAGTTCCAAATACACGTCAAGAACAAACCTGTACTACTCGCCCCTTAGTTAAACACTCCTTTTATCGTTTTCACCAAAGCGCAGTGACGCGCTTGCCGCACAAAACGTAAAACAAAGCCAAAGAGAAAAGAAAAAAGAAACATTCCTTTCTTTTCCAAGAATGCACCCAAAAACCTACACACAGGAAAAAAAAATACATTTAAACTCCGTTTACCGTCCATCGCGGCCACGAGCAGTGACGCCACGTCCGCCAGCGCCGCCACGCCCGCCAACGTTGCCACGCCCACCAGCACCGCCACGTCCGCCAGCGGCACCGCGTCCGCCACGACCACGGCCGGCGGTTTGGCGGATGCGGCTGTCGCAGTGCTTCGCCAAGTTGAAGATGCCTTCCGCAGTTCCCTTCACCAAGTGCTGCAGGCGTGTGGTGTTGTTGCGATCCAGGTAGAGGTACGCGTCGTCGCGGTCCCACCACGCGCTCAGCGAGCTGGGATCGGCGAGGATCTCGTTTACTGCCCGGCGCACTTCGCTCTCATTCATGTCGAACTTGATAGAGAGGTTGGACACGGACATGGTGGAAAAATTGCAGCGATTGCGATAGCAGAAAACGAGAAGGGCAACCTCCTTCATGCAAAGCAGGAAGCGCTCACGGCACTGCTTTCCGGAGGGGAGGGTGTCGAACGTCGCCATCGCTTCCACCTGCTCCTTGGCACCAGCGTAGTTGCCCACCTTGAGGTGCTCGTAGGCCACCGCTACCTGCTCCTTAAAGGAAAACGGCTTGCCCATTAGCACCGGGGTGCGCGTGACAGTGTTGTAAACGTAGCGCTCCATGTGCTTCCGCTCATACGGGTTCTGCGCCTCCATCTTGGCGCCATCGAGAAGCCCGGAGAGGACGGCTGCCAGCTCTAACTGCGCGGGCGGCATGTACAGGTGTGGGGGGAGCATGAGATTGCGGTACTCCATCTCCGAGTGCTCGTCGTCCAGCTGGTACTTCGGCGGCGCCTTCTGGCCAAGCTGAATCTCGTTCGACAACAATCCCCACATGCCGCGCAGCAGCTCGTGCGCCGTTGGGATGTCGCCCGCAATGAAGGCGGCGAGGCCAAGCTGGGCAATCGCGCGGTTGAGCAGAATCGCCAGCGGGGCAACGGCCGGCGTGACGTGGTTGGCAACGCCGGTGCGCAGGAGGTAGTCGCGGCCCTCACGGTAGAGGCCGCACAGGCCATACTGGTAAGCAACGTGGCACGCACTCGACACGGAAAGTGAGAGGTTGGGCTTCAGTTGGATGCTAAGCTTGCGAAGAGCGCGGACCGTGTCGAAGACAGAGGGCAAGATCACCGTGAGCTTCTCAGAGGAGGGGAGCGAAGCGTAGAAGAGGTCGTGAGCCTCCTGGCGACGCTGACCGAAAGTCGCAAGCAGGATCGCGATGCACGCCTTGGACGGCTCCTTCCTGTTGTGGGACAGGTAGTAGCCCAGCACACGATCAGTCAAGAGGGCGAGGTCGTTTTCAAAGGCAATAATCTTCAGGTATTCCTGGCTGACCACGTCCTCGAACTTTGACTTGTTCTCCAGCTCGCTGCGCAAGAACGTCAAGACCCCGTGAAGACCCCCCGGAACGACAATGTCGCGTGCGGTCACGGAGGAGGAGTCTTCCACGAAGCGGACCGACGGGTTATCGAGGATGTGCTGGAAAAACTTCACTGCCCACTTGAAAGCCCGCCCCCACGTATCCGAGCCCACCAGCAGCTTGCGGCTGTCGCGCTTAAGAACCGCGGAAACGGCAATGCCCGTTGCAGAGGCCTCCAGGTTCGTGTACCCCTTGTTGCCGCAGTCGCGGATCACCTTTTCCACCTTGCTCACCAAGTTCACTTCACGGGAGCCGGAGATCTCCTCCAGAATTTTGGCGTAATCGGCCTCGGTCAGATCCTTGGCACCCTCCTCCTCCCCCTCAGCCGCCTCACCCTCCTCCTCAGGACCTTTCTCGAGCGCCTTCAGCTCCTTCTTGTAGAGATTTTCAGTCTCCTCGACAAGGGTGATGAGACTCTTCAGACTCCTGTATTCGACCTTGTTGGCAAAGTCTTCTCGCGACTTTCCCTCCAGGTGCTCCGACAGGTTCGGCATGTCTTGTAGACACGCCTGCAACGCCTGAGGCGCCTCCTTGTACTTGCGCACAAAGCTGTGCACCTCCTCACTCATGCGCTTGAACGCGTCATAAGCCTCCTTCCACAATTCATTGCCGGCGTTGTAGTCGAACGTCTTGCAGAGCGCTTCAATCGCGTTGGCGGCCTTGTCCTTCTTGGGGATCACCTCATGACGCTCCTCTAGCTCCTCCTCATCCGTCAGCTCAAACCAGTAAGGGTTAATCTGCGCCTCTGCGACTTCCTCGATCGGAAAGCTGTTCTCCGACTCGCTGTCGCTGTCGGCGGAACTGATGCTGAAGTAGTTCATCTTTCTTTTTTTAGAAAAGGCACGAAACAGAAAAAAGAGGCTATTAATTTCTGTGAAAATGGATTTTTCATTTATTTGAATTTAAAGAAATACGATTGTTACAGTGAGAAAAAAAAAGAGGGAGTAAAGAACGAAAAAGAGCAGTAGAAGAGTACAAGAAGAACACAAGAAAGAAATGAGAGAAAAAACATGCATCAAGAAGGCCTGGTCGTTAACGCTAAAAAAAAGAACTGTGCTCAGTGAAACATTGGAAAAATCAAGCGAGTGCAAATCTGCCTTTTGTTCTACAGCGTGCACGGCAGACCTTGCGGATGCCTCATCTTCACTCAAAATTTTACACACGGTGAGAAGGGAAGCAGGTTTGGTGCGTGAGAGTATTTTCGCTGTTTTCGTCTATTTGTTGGTTAATGCGTGTGTGTTGGTTTTCTGTGTACACCAATAGCAGGGGAATCGATTGTAAGTCGTCGATTCACAAAAAAAAAAACATTCACTTCTCATGAATTACATATCGAACGTTGTGGATACTGTAAGGTAGGTCTCGTTGGCGGATCAGGTAAAGCGCCCTCCTCACGTTATCTCGATTTTCTGGTGTGATTTCCTCCCCCAACAAGTTCATCAGCGACGCATCTATCGCACTCCATTGTCGCCGCATCAACGGTTTGTTGAGGTAACTGATCTTGCAGACCTCTACCACCGTGCATAACGCAGAAACTGCCGCATTCGTTGATTCTTGGAGAGGATACAGGTGGCCGCGTAAATAGCACACCAAACTTGTGACATCTGCGACACCCATTCGCTCGAGTTCTGCGCGTGTCACGTCCGGTAATCCTTGGCAGCTGGCTCTGCGGTCATCACGGAAGTCAGTGGCGGCGTTCAGCTCTCCAAGAGGGATCATCCAGGCCGAAGCGCCATCCAGTAATTGGATCTGACGGTTGAGAAGCTCGGCGGCTCGCCTCAGTTGCTTATGTGCCTCAGCCAAAGCGCAGCGGTTCACCTTGTGAGCTTCCTTTATTCCGGCAAGAATCGAGTCACAATCCATAAGCTGATCTCCGATCTTGAGATGGCTCTGTCTTTTGTCGGTTTCTTCTTCAAGGCGATCGTGCCGGTCTTTAATGGTGAAAGAGCGGGAAAGGACAACGAATGGAAACAAAGAGCAAATCAAACTTTCATTACGCTATCGACGATGCGGGTGAAGGCAAGACCACAGCAAAAGTCGCATTTAAAGCTTTCGCAAAAACGAGATCAGGACCGCCGTTCCCCAGCGACTACAGTGACTGCCTACTAGTACTTTCGCCTGTGTAGCGTCGTCAACGGACTGTGTAACGACAAAGCACCTATTGACGCCGGCTGACGTGACTGACTCCACACCAGACACGTGTTTCAATTTCACGACGATAGCTAAATACGGCGCATTGTGTATCAGAAGATACCTTGTCACCCTGGAAGTCACAATATAACCGGCTACTGGGGAAGCAGGTGGGGGTGCGATCCGTACGGAGAGCGCTCGCCCAAACAGCACAAATCCGTCAAATGAGATCAGTGCTTCTTGGGCGGCAGACGACTCGGCGAACGACACGATGGCTTGGCCTTGTCGTACATCTAAGACGATATCTTCCACATTGTGAATTAGTCGGAAAAGTCGTAAAAGAGTGCGCCGGGTATATTCGATTCCTACGGGGAAAGTCACATTGGAAACCTCCACAAACTCCATGGCGTGCCAACTTATATATATTGCTGCTTCTGTTGCTATTGCAGCTGTCTACTTTTCGCAGATAAACAGGAGTCGTTAATTCTCGATAAAGAGATGAAAAGCCTGTGTAACTTTCTTTGGCACAACTAGCTTGTTAGCAGGAAAGGGAAAAAGCAAAAAGGTGTAATTCAACTTGCTTAGGTAGAGTTCATCTATGTTCTTCTGCGGGCAAAGTAACGCTGAGCGGTTGGGTCTTTAACACGTGAGTGCTTGTAATTTAACACGCATAACAAAGCTGCTTCAGAAAAAAAAAGCTAAGAGCAGTCATTGGTAAAGCGATTATTTCTTACTTTAAAAAACATATAGTGCAACAAGGTTGTGTTCAATTCTGATGATCAGGAAAAAAAAGAACTGCAGCTAAGAACACTGACAACGACAATCCATCGAGCTTGTTGCCTTTATTCTTTTCCCCCTCTTTTACAGCCACGTCACATGGAAAAAAAAACGTTTCGACAAGATTTCCGTAGGTTGGTAGCTTGAAGAGATGCAGCCAATGGTAGCAGTAAGAGCGTTTTACAAGCTTTTCTCCCCCTCGATGGAGCCGCATCTAAATTGGGGTACCGGTCCAATGCAGCTTCTCTTTATCTAATCGCCGTTGCGCACATCGCTCCTTCTCCGCCGCGTTAACCACTAGTAACGGCCCTTGCTTGCCGATACTGAATAACACATCCAAATCGTGTAAAGCAACTAAAACGTCTTCGATGATGAGACCAGATTGTTTGCTTAGCTCACACACCGTCACCGGTGTGCCTTGTTCCTCGAGCAGAAATACTGCAAAGAGCACCTCATCGCGCCACACCTTTCGAAAAAGCGCATTGCCGCTTTTACTTAAAGGTCGCTCCGGCGTCCCAACCATATTTTCAGAACGCGCAATCTCATAGGAGAGGCGTACGAGGAATCCACCGTACCCTTTCGAACGAAACGGCGGTAGCACCATGACGCATGAGAGCGTGTTAATGCAACTTGAACTACTCTTCCATTCTTTACTAAAGTAGCCCGCTAAATGAAATCCCTCGTCGTCTACTTCAAAGAGCGTGTTGAACGAAAAAAAGTGCACGTCATCGAGGGTGACCTTGTCGGTCAGAAATAGCTTGGTAAGAAGGCACAGACGCCGTGCCATAATACCACACAGAGGCTTTCGACCATCTAGCTCAAACACACAAAACCTTCGCTGTGCATCACGATACACCTCATCACCAGGTATCCAAAAAGCATTACTACACCGCTGCAAATGCTGCTGCAGGTGATCTGCTGTGATAAAGGTAGACAGGCACGAATCACAAAGATAAACAGTCTGCCCATTCCCAAAGAACGAGGTTACCGAAGCTTCGGCTTGACCACAAAAGCGGTAACGCGTCGTTGCAACTTCGATGGGTACATTCTGCATATGAATGTCTCTAACTTAACACTGTTTTCACACCCAATTGCATATGCCCAGTTTAAGAAGAACGAAAAAGAGTCAATGCGAGAGCAAAGAAAGGGAAGAACTTGAACGAAAGCACAATGCAACTGTCTGAGGAAATTACGTAGTTGGAGAAGTGTAAATCGTATTTACACATCCGAACACGAAAATGAGCTGCTCAAATAAATATTGGTGATAAACAATGCCACTTACTTTTAAGAAGCAAAGCATGTTACCTCTTGTACGTTAGCGCTCACAGCGTGCAGTTTACAGCATCGCGTTCACTATTATCCATAAAATGGCATATTCCTCGCTGGAAATACAAACCACTTTTTTTCTTTTTTTTATCCTACCATGAAATCACAAATAATGATAATAAAACAGAAAAAAGTTGACTGAAATATATTGAAAAGAACATTAAAACAAATAACCTAGAGTGGTCTTCTATATAGCAACTAATTTTTGACTTTTCTTTCTACAACCAACTACATGAACTATTGGAACTAACTAATGGTGGGCGAGCTCAACGGCACCGGGAGCAGGGCGAAGCGTAGCCGGACCAGCGGCGTAACCCTCACCAATATCAAAGGAGAAGTCCCATGGTTTGCGATCCTGAGAACGCCAGCCATAATCCAAGGCACTCGGACCGCCTCCAGAAATATCATCAAGCTTCGACCAGAAGCCGTCCCACATGATCGCACCGACGAGCAGAAAGGGACCTCCGCAGCACAGTGCCATCCAGTAGTTCTGGCCGGGCTTGTGGTAGACCTCGCTGGACCAGAAGCCGACGCCGCGAAGACCAAAATTTGGACGCGCCTTCGCCTTGCTGTTGAAGGCAAGCAAGTAGGTACGCTTGCTTACGGAGAGCGCCGAGCGGAACATTTCTTGTGTATGCACACGAGAGGAAGCAGGTTAAATACTATTCTGATGGGAATTAGGTGCATAGAGATGTGAAGTACACGGAAACATGCAATAGTAGAAGATGCATTTTTTAAGAAGGCAGGAGAAGTACACATGAGAGAAGTGACTGCGATAACTTACCAACGCATTTAGCTCGTGCAACGATATATTCACCAACTTAACCAGCTGACATTATATATCCAGTAAAGGAAAAGGAAAGCTTCATTTTAGTGCGTGGGTGCGTTGGCACAAAAGCACCAATGATAGAAACCATAATAAACTGCACACAATTGTGCGATGTGCAGAAGCTAGTAAATACTATATTGTTTGCTTGTTTGTTTCGACTCAAAAGAGACGTGTGATTTACCATTTCTCCATTTTGAACTCATATATAAACAAGGACCAAGAAGAAAATGAGAGGAAATAAGAAAACGGAAATCTAACCCTTCCGGGTAAATTCTATCATTTAATAATTACAACCAGAGTGTCTTTTTTCTTGCCTTCTCGTAAACTGCTTAAATGCGATCTAGGATCTATCAGTTAGAGGGCACATAGAAAAAAAGAAAGGAAGAAAAAAAAGCCACTGGAGGGTGCTCAAAAAGTAGAAGAGTAGATCAAAAAAAAGGCATTTAGAAAAAGAATGAAAGAGAAAGTCTACTGACCACTTCTGTTTTTGTGAAATCGAGCTGGCTAACACAGAAAAGGAAAAAGCCCGACAAGGCGCATGTGACAGACAAAAATCTGTTTACATAACTGCTCTTTTTTATCATTCAAAGGGGCACATCGATTTTCGTCAACAGTTACGCAGGTTAAACAGTCTGGCTAGAGAACACATTAGTTTCTGAATTTAAACAATCCGTTTCTTTAATGTTATATTCTCCACCTGGTGCGGGAAACGAAAACGTGGAAACATGCGGAAAAAGTGTGTTGCAGCTCGATATCAACAAAAAAAAAACGTCATCTGGCTTTGTCGTTTCGATGATGAAAAAACTTTTGTTCATAAGCATTGAATACAGAAGATTGCTTAATTTCGAAAAAGCTACTGAAAGAGAGAGAGAAGAAAAAAAAAATTACACGGCGACGATCGTCCATAAATGTATAGAGAACAGAAGGGGAAAAAAAGCTGTAGTAAGCATAAAAATGATGCTTACGCACATGAACTTCTTCACGCGTTTACGCACGTAAACACAGAGGTATCAGAAAAGAGGTGCAGCTGTGCGTTGTAAGTTTAGTCATGGTTGCGTACCTTCTCCATCCAAATACGGCATCCATATTCGCGGTACAGTTCCTTGAGTAACTGCACGAAATCGATGCGCGACCGAGCCTCGTAGTAAAAGGTGAGTTTCTTCTTGTCAAACTGATACTCAGCGTACGCAATCTCCATTGGAAGACAATGAGCGCAAACCTTTGATTGACAGAAAGCGGCAGCCAACGCTTCCGCATCCTTCAAGTCCGTTGCCCAGTAATCCACCTCACGCTGAGTCGCGTGACGAAGAACGCTCCCGACGGGGCCGGTGCGCTCCACATAGGTCTTGTGCGATGCGGTGTTGATGCGAATCACGACGCCAATGTCAATGCCACGATCACCCTGGACCACCACATACTGCCCTTTTTCCACCTCGACGGACGACGCAAACTCAGCCTGATGGCACTTGAACTGGATCAAAGTGCTGCACAACGATGGTCCACCCGGAGCAGGAGGAGCTTGGTCTTCCTTGTCTTGGAATAGCTCCTGAGTTGGAGTTGCAACGGCCGTGATCAGGTCGTCCACCAGTTCAGCAGCTGACTGCACGCCTTCGGGAAGGCATTTCCATTCGTATGGGTTGTGGGAGAACGGTGGGGAAATGGAAAGAGGTATGAAAGGTGTCAGGTTCTGCGCCACATTCTTCGTCTTCTGCGGTACCTGCAGTTGGAACTGCACGTTCGTGATGTCAGTGAGCGGCGCAAGCATCATTTTTGATACGTTCAGACACAAAAGAAGATGAAAATCAGAAAAAACTGTATGTCGTTAGAGTATTCGTGTGTGTAGATGATATATAAAGGAGAAAAATTGTATGCTCTTATATCAGCAACAACAAAAGAAAGTACAAATTTAGAAAAAAGAAAATCTAGAAGGGTACAGGAATTACGATGAAAAGAAAAGTGGTTAAGGCAAACACACCGCTAGGCTAGTTGACCTCTTTCCAGCTTTGTAAATCGATGTGAGCACAAATGTTTTAGTGCTAGCAGCGAGCAGAAACGTGAAAGTAGAACAAGTAAAGAAAATCGGAGACGCAAGAAAATGGATACGAATGTCATTGTTGAAAAGGACGAAGATGGCATCGGATAAACAGTTCCCGCAATAGCGAGAACGATAGGGGTAGGTTGCATCAGAATGAGAGAACGAAACACGCAGTCATTACAATACTGTGAACGCGCGAAAATAGAAACAGACAAAATACTGAGTCGTACTTGCGACCTTATCCGCAATTCATTGCGAGTCGCAGACCACCAGAAAACAAAACAACGTTCTTGTTTCTCTTTCGCATTTGCGCGCTTCAACACCCACAAAAAAACATTAGGGAGATTAACAATACTAGCAACAAAAAAGATTAACGAATGTAAGGAAATAGTTCACTGACGTTAAAAATTACCGGAGTTAATTGTTACATATAGGGAATGCGCATACCAGAGCGCTGAAAAGGGAACGCTTAGCTTTTAAACCCCTTCAGGAAAGAAAGCAGCCAAAAACAATTTTTGAACTATCCTGCCTTTTTGCGAAGTTGGACGTTTACTACCGTGCACTGATGGAATGGGGTCTTTCTGCGACATCTGGGTTGGGCCTCGCCTTTGCTTTTCAGGGCACTGCGGG